CCAGGGCGTATCGAAACTAAAACGCCCCCCAAACCCGTTAATTTGAATTTCAAATCTACCCCGTCTTTTGGAAAATCAATGATTGTCGGTCTCACACAACACCGTTTTTCTTCAAACTTGTTTACAGGATTATATTTATAATCTGAAAATCTGTATTTTTGAAGAAATTTCGGGGTGAAAATCTGTTTTTCGTCTTCGGGATTCAGCTAAAAAGTAATTGGAGAAAAATCACGGTTACAAAACTAAATCAACAATTCTAAAAAATTCGAATTTCTAAAAATATATCGGGATAAATTAAAACGGTTGAGATTACTTCATTTACAAGTTTATATCAAATTAGTTTTACAGTTAACATCAACGGTAATGTCTCAGAAACTAATATTGCCTTTGGGGATATTTCATTTGTGTGATCGTGGCATAAGCAACGACTAAGATTTGTTTTGAATTTACAAAAATGTATTCAACTTCATTCAAAATTGAGCTAGACGCTTCAAATAAAAAACATTTTAAGGCTGTTCTCTTCCTCTATCATCATCATGGTCATATTTTCAATGGTTATGGGGGAGGGTGCGATCGCACCATGGCACCACCTCCTGGCTACGCCTATGACATTGTAAGACGTAACAATTTACACTTTCAGTGGACGCTTCGTCGAAAATTGGGATAACTTAAATTATGCAATCAAAACCTGACACGTTGCATCATGTAAAATAACACACGTCACCTCTCTACTAAAGTAACGATAGCTATTTACAGATTTAAATCACATACAGTATTCATTGATTTGCCATGTTTTTCAAATATAAAAAGCTTTCTAATGATATTTAACTTAATATGTTATTATGTTATTAATATGTTAAATTTTCGTATTTTTTGTTCTTTCTGGGTACCCGGTTTTTTCGACCGGGTACCGGGTACCAAGTTGGAACCCAGTATGGAGGATTTAGTACCCGGTACCCGGTACCCGGTTTTTTCTACAAACCCCATCCCGTATATATTTGCAGAATGGATTGAGACACGATGTAGGTCTATTAAAATAGCCCTTTATATTCAATTTTGTCCAAAGTTGCTCCATTTCGGCCACACCTGTACACACATTGTGCTATCTACCTTTGGCTGTGATTGCGTTCAGCTTCAGATATAAAGCAACACTGAGTCGCGGACTGCGTTGGACAGATGGATGGACTGCGACTATCAAAAATTCCAATTGTCTATGTAATTGTACGTTTTCCGCTTACCAAATATCACACGAAGATGTAATTGTAACAACAGAACATGAATAATTATATTAATTCGATGTCATTTCTGATTCCTTTGTTTAAATCGGTATATTAGGGACAAATATTGACAAAATTACATTTTTTGTGGCAGATTTCGAATTCATTTGTGTTCATGCTAAACTATTGGACAGCCGAGCACCAAGAATGCCATTGCAGGTGGAGTATGAATATGTTGATCACCGACTGGAACATACTAGCTATTCTGTAGAATATCCAAACCAATAATCTACCCCAAATCCTAACATGCCTTCCAAATTAAGTTTGGACTTACCGCCATTGTTCAGCTATAATGCGTTGTAATCTCGTTTTGAATTACGCGAGTCGCAGTCCGTGGCTTCGCCCTCGTTTTGCTTATCCCCCGTGATGCTTATTAAGCAACAATAACGTTCAATAGAGTGAAATAATTTTCACAATACTGACGAGAAAACATGTCCAAATACATTTATCAAAAAATTATATTGATTCCTTTAAGCCAAAAATACCATTTCATATTTGCTTTAGGTATCTCGAAAAAAATGATGCATTAAATGTATACAAAATGTAGTTCTTAAAGAAGTTACATCGGTCCTGATTGTATTACATAAGAGTAATAATTTCTGAATTGGTCTCTTGCCAGTAATTTAGAAAAGCTGAGAGTAAAAATGAAAATGTATCAATCGTTTAACTCATATCTGCTTTAATGGAATGCACAAATGGAATTTTTGTATACTCCTCACAGTAAGCTATCATAAAGGATTGTATACAAAACATTTGATAGCCTCTATGTATTATGCATCCCTTCATGATCAAGCTGGTTCAATATTCTGTGCTTGAGCCTGAAGCTGTACAAGCTGTTATCTTGACATCTTCATATATAGTTAGGTGATTTGTGTCCTGAATTGATATAGCAGCAGTAATGTATCCCATATATGTAGTTAGGCTTGAATTTCAAAAAGTATCAACAGTTTACGTTATAAGGTGACAGCCTCATTAATTTTAGCCAGAGAAGACATTTAAAGTCTTTTTTGGATGTATCAGTGACTTTACAGTTTCATACCAGACAATTGATTATAATCCAACTATTATAATACAAGCTTTCATTTTGTGTTTAATATAAGTGCGAGATAATATGAACTAACATTCATTAATCAAATGTGAAAGTTGATACCAAATGAAACATGATACTGCATTAACAATTCAGTTGGACAATGCTTAATTACTTATCATACAGAACATGAATTAATATTACAAGCAAATATTCATGGGTACTAACCAGATTTTGTTATACAATATACTGTGAGTATGCTCGGCAGTAATAATCAACGCATTGGCAGGGGGCTATATGTAATAAGGGAACCCAGTGGTACTATGATCAGCTCTGCGCTCCCTTAAGAAAAAAGCCATGGTAACCATGGTATTCCATGGTGCGTCCATGGTAATCCATGGTTTTCCATGGAAATTCATGGTTTTTCATGGTATTTTCCATGGAAATTCATGGATACCCATGGTAATCTTCCATGGATATTTACCATGATTTTCCGTGGTAATTGGTGGTTTGGTAATTTTTACCATGACACTTGAGTTGTAAAATCAACAATTTTGGCAGGTTTTGTTTTTACCCAAATCTTCCAAATTGAATCAATATTTTAACGAATGAATCCAAGCTGGATTGAGAATAAGTCTCATTAATCATAGATAAAAGAATATGACACCCCCCACCCCAAAATCTTTGAGAAAGTCAGACCTTCTTGACAAAAGCTGGTTTCAGGCCTGAAATACAACCATGTTTTTACAATCTGAATATATTTTTAGTACATTCTGTACATAGTGTCATATGACAAAGAACTGTTTACTTAATATTTTTTTAATTGATGATTTGACCCCACAATTAAAAGTAATAATTTGTTTGCTGGGATTTGCTATCATTTAACTTTGGCACTTATGTAAAAAAAGACAAAATAAGTGATAAAATCAGCTCACTGGATTCCCTTATTGCAGACTGAATAAACATTTTTACTTGGAGTAAATCCTATTTGGTTTTATTTGATCAACAATGAGTTTTTGACTTGCACTGTCTACACTCACAGACAATAATAATTACTGAAGAGGGAGTATTAGAAAGAGTAAGATTATCATGTATAATAACAATTAAGATCAGAATATTTAAGAATTATGCAAATGATCTCTTACAATCTGTTGTAAAGAGATTAATCTTTTGACATTAATTTGAGAGTTAAGACACCTAATTAACATAGAATAATGGCAACCAAATATTTAAAAATTATGCAAATGATTATTTATTCCTATTCAAAGACAAATCAATTTTAATTACTTATACTATGTTTCATGTTTTAAGCCAAATGGTGTTGTTAACCCCCTCCCCTTCCTTCATGCAACTTCTTTTTAAATATAATATTCTTACATAGACAAATTGAATTTTTATCACTTAGGTATAACATTTCAGTTTGCAGCCATAGGCTTGTGTTTAATCCCCCATCTCAATTTCAAGTCAAAATTCTGTAAAAGTATATACTTTTCTGTGGATTTTTCAGATAATATGCTTATAAAAGTTGAATGGGACTTAATTTGGAGAAGTTCATTTAGAAACATAATGTATTATTCATTTTTCTGCTTCCAAAAGACCAAACAAATAGCCCATGGAAAACCATGGACTTTCAAAAGATCAAAAGAATAATCATGGAAAACCATGGCTTTTGATTGCACTTTCCAAAACATCAAAGAAATAATCATGGAAAAGCATGGCTTTCGATTGCAATCAACCGTCTTCCATGGCTTTTGATTGCAGTTTTCTCAACTTCAAAGAAAGAAACCATGGTTTTTGATTGTATTCTCAAATGTACGAAATGTAATTTAAGAAAATGAGTTATTTATTTCTTAAATTACTTCATATTGATTTTTAAAACTGAAAATTAAAGAAAGTATTGAAATAAAACAGAGCTTGGGCTAGTTTGACTTAATCTTTTTCAAAGGAAAGAAGTGTTTGGCCTAAAAAATAAGCAATCTCTATCTAGTCTTGATCTACACAAAAGACCTTTGCACAATTGTTTTTGAAATCTTGTGGCCTACTCTCTGCTCTGCTGTTTCACATATTTTCTCATTTGTAAGCTGAGTCTAACATTCGATGAATGTTCTTGCTATACCTTCAAAATGAAATGTCCACCCTTTTTTCTAAATGATAAGTCTCAGTCTAACTGGGATATATCATCAAAACATTCATTTTGGAGATTTTGGTAAATACAAATCCTACCAAAATTGTTGATTTTACATCTCCATGACACATCCATTAAAAACCAACAATTACCACGGAAAATCATGGTAAATATCCATGGAAGATTACCATGGGCGTCCATGAATTTCCATGGAAAATAACATGGAAAACCATGAATTTCCATGGAAAACCATGGATTACCATGGGCGCACCATGGAATACCATGGTTACCATGGCTTTTTTCTTAAGGGCGATCCTCAAATGCTCACAGTATGTTGAGGTTTAGTAAATACAAGTGAATATTCATAAATAACAACTTTCATGACAACCATCAAATCCTCTATATGAAATTCAAATTTGCCTGCCTAGCCCCTGACAACCAAAAACAAGGCATTTATTACAGACAACGAAGACCAACCAACCGCTAACTGCCAAATACCATCCACAAAAAAGTTGGAGCCATAACAATATGTCACCACTTTAGGTGACATAATAAGACTGAAATGACTCACTTGTTTCAGAGGAATTTTTTCTTGCCAACTCTTCCTCTTGTTTGATAGATTCAATCTGGAGTTGAATCTGTTGGTATCTGGAAAGTAAGTCATCATAACTGTCAGTGGACTCACTAGACCCTTGAGGATTTGCTTTGCGGTCTCTGGTATCTTCGCTTGAATTAAGGAATTCACAACTAGGGAATTAAGATATCATATATATTAATGATTCACAATATTTGATGATTTTTGTCCTATTTTCCTCATGATTTCTGATTTTATACATGGTACCTTCTTTGTTCAAATCTTCTACAGCATTGTACCTCATACACTTTAGATTTAGTTAATAGGTACTTGAAAAACTCTTTGCACCCAATTATTATGAGGACAGTTTGCATATTTTCACCATAGCAAAGTTGAAAAGAAGTTGAAGGAAAAATCATGAAAAATTGCCAATAGTAAAGATTGAGAGATGGGTCCTAGAAGAGAGTGAAACATGTAAAATGGGAAAAAGAAGGTATTTCTATAGTTTATAAACACAGTGACCAGTATTCATCATATCATAGATATAAGATTAAGTAGAGAACCTCTCACTATCTGCGGATAGTACAAGGTTCTCATTACCAGAGAAAGAGTCCTAAAACAAAAGCTTTCTTAGATATATCATCTAATCCTAATCTCTCACCATTATGAGTAGGACTTCAGGTTATGTACCAAGAGAGAAAATTTGATAAAAGGATACAGTTTTTGTCTCTTTCCCTCTTTTGAGACTCATTTCTATATCTCCCCTCATATCTTCTTGGTATATTTGATTGGTAGTTTCTACGCTCTTTGTCTGGCCTTGACCATCTCGTTGGTCTGGGTCGTTGATTGTCACGAGTTGGTGGTCTACGAGTTGGTGGGGGTCTTGAAGAACTTGAACGAGTTCCAGCATGATTTTCATTTCTGCTATTTTGATCTAATTTTTCATGTTTGATTTGAGATCTCTTATACCGTGGTTTAGCAATAGGCTCATTTTGTTGGAATTTCTGAGAACTGAAATTCTGATTTGATTTTGAACAAGAATTTTTGTCAATTATTTTAGTGTCTTTGTTAGTACTTCTAACGTTGTTAACCTCTAAATTTTCATCATCGTCTGATAGCTCCCCTTCCTCCTTAGAGATATCCGTATCCATTATGCCCTTGGCATGAATGAGAGATCGTATATTAAAATGTATTTGGAGGATAATTTCACCGAACTTTCTTGCCAATGGAGGCTTGCGTCAACTTCCGGATGGAATAGCTTTATCACGAAATGTATCATGAATACTCTTATTTGTTGTGAGAGAAATGATGAAGTAAATATCTTCCTTTGACAGAAACGATACTATTTGAAATGTTTATTAAGCCCATTCAAATGCCAATACTCGGTAATAGATTTATTTTTACATATTTAGAATTTCGTGACTACAATCATCCACTCCAAGAATAGAAATGGCGGAGAATCTGATGCGAGAGTTGGACCAGGCCGCTCAAATCGTTTTGGTAAGTGAACCTGTAAATATTTTTACAGTTAGAACTGTTCAAAATTGTTTTATGATTATGATGAATCATTAAAAGATGTGTATGATGTTATGATACTTTCAGAATCGATACAATTCTAACTTTTTTTCATCAGAATTAAATTTCTAATATTCTAATGGGCGATAATAGGTTAAGAAATATTAAAGGGCATTCTCGGTGAATAGTGCCCAAATTGAATGCCCAAGTTTTCTGTCATTCTAAGGGGTCTTTTTATGGAATTTGCTTTAAATTAGTAAAAAATATTTGTAATTTGCTTTAAATTAGTAAAAAATATATGTAACTGATTTGCAAAATAAATATAAAAAATTTCTAAAAAACTGTCTTATTAGTGTCTTATATTAACTCGGCGAATAGTGCCCAAAAGGAGTGTTTTCAATGGCAATTTAACATGGGTTGGGCACTATTCGCCGAGTTATATATAGGGAAGGATCAGTTTAGTGTCTTATATAACTCGGCGAATAGTGCCCAAAACCACATTTTTCAATGGGAAGTTAACATGGGTTGGGCACTATTCGCCGAGTTATATATAGGGAAGCATCAGTTCAGTGTCTTATATAACTCGGCGAATAGTGCCCAAAACCACTTTTTTCAATGGGAAGTTAACATGGTTTGGGCACTATTCGCCGAGTTGTATATAGGGGAGGACCAGTTTAGTGTCTTATATAACTCGGCGAATAGTGCCCAAAAGGACATTTTTCAATGGGAAGTTAACATGGTTTGGGCACTATTCGCCGAGTTATATATAGGGGAGGACCAGTTTAGTGTCTTATATAACTCGGCGAATAGTGCCCAAAAGGACATTTTTCAATGGGAAGTTAACATGGGTTGGGCACTATTCGCCGAGTTATATATAAGACAGTTTTATATACATTTTAATTCATTTTTTTTATTTTTCAAACAATATTTTATGATTCTTAAATTGCCCTTTCATTCTAAAGAGGGATTTATTTGAGGGGCCTTATAATAAAAAAGGGGCATGGTATTTTTGGGGGAAAAGAAATAGAAAATTAAGAAAAATACGAAGATTTAAAGTTGGGCACTAAATAAATAGTGCCCAAAATACAATTTTCAATGTGTATTTAACATACTTTGGGCAGTATTTACCTATTAATGAAAATATAAAATTATGAAAAAAACTAAGATTTAAAAGTTGGGCACTAAATTAATAGTGCCCAAATTATTTTAAATATACTGCTTTTTAACAAATAAAAATATTGAAAGTTGGGCACCGAAGTAATAGTGCCCAAAATATATATATAGGTATATATATATATGAATAATAAAAAAAAAACAATATTTCAAATGAAAGAAAACTGTATACAATGTACTAGTGTATCGTTTTTACAACTAATAAGGAATAGTTCAATATATAATCCTATTAGGATAAAGATATTTGACCTTGATTTTGTACATGCGATACCTTACATGTTCTGTTATTGGGCCATAAATAAGTACTAGTCATGGATTTGCAGAAGTTATAATTTTCCATCCAACATTGATTTAATTATGGTGAAAAATGTACAAATTATTAAATATGTTAATATAAGGAATTACCTTTATCATTATTCGGCGAATAGTGCCCAAAACCACATTTTTCAATGCCAATTTAACATGGTTTGGGTACTATTCGCCGAGGTATATATAGGGGAGGATGAGTTTAGTGTCTTATATAACTCGGCGAATAGTGCCCAAAAGGACATTTTTAAATGGAAAGTTAACATGGTTTGGGCACTATTCGCCGAGTTATATATAGGGGAGGACCACTTCAGTGTCTTATATAACTCGGCGAATAGTGCCCAAAAGGACATTTTTCAATGGAAAGTTAACATGGGTTGGGCACTATTCGCCGAGTTATATATAGGGGAGGACCACTTCAGTGTCTTATATAACTCGGCGAATAGTGCCCAAAAGGACATTTTTCAATGGAAAGTTAACATGGGTTGGGCACTATTCGCCGAGTTATATATAGGAGAGGACCAGTTCAGTGTCTTACTATAACTCGGCGAATAGTGCCCAAAACCACTTTTTTCAATGGGAAGTTAACATGGTTTGGGCACTTTTCGCCGATTTATATATAGGGAAGGATAAGTTTAGTGTCTTATATAACTCGGCGAATAGTGCCCAAAACCACTTTTTTCAATGGGAAGTTAACATGGTTTGGGCACTATTCGCCGAGTTATATATAGGGAAGGATCAGTTTAGTGTCTTATATAACTCGGCGAATAGTGCCCAAAACCAATTTTTTCAATGGGAAGTTAACATAGTTTGGGCACTATTCGCCGATTTATATATAGGGAAGGATCAGTTCAGTGTCTTATATAACTCGGCGAATAGTGCCCAAAACCACATTTTTCAATGGGAAGTTAACATAGTTTGGGCACTATTCGCCGAGTTATATATAGGGAAGGATCAGTTTAGTGTCTTATATAACTCGGCGAATAGTGCCCAAAACCACTTTTTTCAATGGGAAGTTAACATAGTTTGGGCACTATTCGCCGAGTTATATATAGGGAAGGATCACTTTAGTGTCTTATATAACTCGGCGAGTAGTGCCCAAAACCAATTTTTTCAATGGAAAGTTAACATGGGTTGGGCACTATTCGCCGAGTTATATATAGGGAAGGATCAGTTCAGTGTCTTATATAACTCGGCGAATAGTGCCCAAAAGGACATTTTTCAATGGGAAGTTAACATGGGTTGGGCACTATTCGCCGAGTTATATATAGGGAAGGATCAGTTCAGTGTCTTATATAACTCGGCGAATAGTGCCCAAAACCACTTTTTTCAATGGGAAGTTAACACAGTTTGGGCACTATTCGCCGAGTTATATATAGGGAAGGATCACTTTAGTGTCTTATATAACTCGGCGAGTAGTGCCCAAAACCAATTTTTTCAATGGAAAGTTAACATGGGTTGGGCACTATTCGCCGAGTTATATATAGGGAAGGATCAGTTCAGTGTCTTATATAACTCGGCGAATAGTGCCCAAAAGGACATTTTTCAATGGGAAGTTAACATGGGTTGGGCACTATTCGCCGAGTTATATATAGGGAAGGATCAGTTCAGTGTCTTATATAACTCGGCGAATAGTGCCCAAAACCACTTTTTTCAATGGGAAGTTAACATGGGTTGGGCACTATTCGCCGAGTTATATATAGGGAAGGATCAGTTCAGTGTCTTATATAACTCGGCGAATAGTGCCCAAATGGACATTTTTCAATGGGAAGTTAACATGGGTTGGGCACTATTCGCCGAGTTATATATAGGGAAGGATCACTTTAGTGTCTTATATAACTCGGCGAGTAGTGCCCAAAACCAATTTTTTCAATGGAAAGTTAACATGGGTTGGGCACTATTCGCCGAGTTATATATAGGGAAGGATCAGTTCAGTGTCTTATATAACTCGGCGAATAGTGCCCAAAAGGACATTTTTCAATGGGAAGTTAACATGGGTTGGGCACTATTCGCCGAGTTATATATTGGGAATAATACGTTAACATAAGACAGATTTTATGTGTTTTTATTTAAATAACATGATGTTACATACTGAATAAAGAAATAAATATTTCATATATATATATAACCTCATAATATTTTTAGTTCTATATATAAGTATATTTAACCTATTTTAAAAAAGACCCCTTAGAATGACAGAAAACTTGGGCATTCAATTTGGGCACTATTCACCGAGAATGCCTATTAAAGGTTCAATAAATAGTGCAGAGACGTATCCAACGATCATGGTCCTGGTGTCAAAATATATCGTATTTTGGATATTTCATCAAGGCTAACATCTATTTTCATTAGCTACAAAGAAAACCCCCGCTAACTGCAAGAGTCGACGGTAATAGACCATCAACGGCGGTCATATCGTGTACCATTCATACGGTTATATCAGACAACCGCGGTTATATTGTAAACATGCTTACATGCGGTCTTACCTAATCTCAGCTGCAGTAAGAATTTTAAATGGCGGAGATTCAGAAATGTTTCAAAAAACAAAATGCGGGACGTCCATCCTTTCAATTGCTTATTTAGAAGTCTATTTGCAAGTCTGAATGGTGGTATTCATCGACAAGTGCATACATTTTAAGAAAATAGATATGGCGAAGAAGACATTAGGCCAAACGATGCACTAATAGCTCGGGAAAGGTAAAATGATTCCCAAATTTCATCTGTGGCCTTTATTGAACCTTTAAATTAGATAAGAAGAAGTGAGTAGCTCCCATAATTCTTTCATATTCTATCATATTCGGGGATTCGCCATTACGTCATCTCCCGCATCATCTCCAATCAAATTGCAGGATGCGATCACGTGAACATATCGTGGAAATGGCGTACATCATTTCAATATCATCATTTTAAACCTACGGTAATACTATTGAAGTTACTCAATCCAAACTTGTAGAGAATACTCATAAAACTACAGCGAACATTGGCCGATTCAGTTTAATGGCAAATGAGGCCTGTTTTAAAATTTGGTTTCGAACGTGCCAATATGAAAGGTCATCTTTGGGAAATCTCCCACCCCCCTGAAATTAGATCATATGAGTGCCTACTTTCCTTACTCAGTTTGTTTATCTCGTGGTATGAGGAAAGTAGTTCTATTAGAAACCTGTTTGGGGACTTCAATGGTATACTACAGCACTATCTTTGGATAGAATACTCTCATTTGCTGGCATATAATGCCCAGAATTTATCCCGTGCCAGGACTATAGTCCTGGATTGAGAGCAATCTTTTGCCTGTACGATTACAACTTGAGAGAATTATCTACGCTCCTTACACTTAAGATACCTACTTCAATAGATTCTTTGGTATTTTAGCATTCTTTTCGTGTAGTTGAATCCACAATTGTCTGGGTTTATCGGCAGAAATTTTCGTTTTTGATCGCAATATTTGCGTCAAATTCCTCCATTTATTGGTACTTCTGGGCCACTTCTGGGCCAGTCAAACGGGGATCCCCCTTTTATATCCAACCGCTATCTTGAAAAGTGATGGAATCTCTCTCGATGAAAAAGAAAAATGTTCCTGTTCTGCCGATTTACCCAGACAATTGTGGATTCAACTACACGGAAAGAATGCTAAAATACCAAGGAATCTATTAAAGTAGGTATTTTAAGTGTAAGGGGTGTAGATAATTCTCTCAAGTTGTAATCGTACAGGCAAAAGAATGCGCTGAGTGCAGGACTATAGTCCTGGTGCGGGATAACCCAGAATAACTGGGAAACATGTGATCATAACAGTGAACGGTAAAATATTTGGGATTATTTTGAGATGATTTGAGATGCTTTGCTGTATTTCTCTGAAATTCTTTGAAAATTGATGGGCTGCGATTTGAGAAATTCTGATTCGAACTTTGTCAATTTAACATGCATCTCAATGGTACAAAAAGTAAAAGACTTCTACCTATTCGAAACTACATTTGTCAATGAATTTCGAAAAATATATTGAATTTAGTCCCATTTCGCATGTCTTTCTGTGTGACAATTTGAAGTTTTGCAAATTAACCCCTTAACTCCTGGAGACGAATGTTGTACAAATGTGTACAAATATCAGGGAGTAATTATCTAAAATGACAAAGATATGAGAAAAATGCAGGGTTTCCATTTTTTGACCAACCTGTAGTTTAGAAGGCTTATATTTAACTTTGTTGACTTGAGCAATAGTGTCAGTCCAATTGGGCCATCATGGTCATTACTGACTTTGATCAATGTTCTGAATAGGTGGTGATAATAGTAGTAACCTCATTTCAGTAGGCAACATAGTGAAATCTTGATTTCAGACCAATATTTAAATAAACATAACACAAATAAACATTTCAACACTTTATATAAACATGTAAGAAGTACATCTAACTGATAAATGTAGGCCTTAATTTTTCATTTAGGCCTTGATTTTTAATTGAGGCCTTAATTTTTCATTGAGGCCTTAATTTTTCATCAAGACCTAAATTTTTTATTGAGACCATAATTTTTTTATTAAGGCCTTAATTTTTCACTTGAGTTATTGGAATAGCTTCACATATGAACTGGTAACCATAGAAACAATCAACATCATTCCAGCCATTGATATTTACAGCTAGGCATTCTTCATTTTCTTCATTGCTTGGTTCACCTTCCATCCAAGTAATCCCGTCTTTAAATGGTTTCTTTTGTTCATTGGGATGTGTGGACCAGACCCATGTTGAATTTGGTTTAAATCTTCTACCACCAGTTAATATATCTATAAATAATACAACTATAAAATATGATTTTGTAAAGCATAGAAAAGGCATTAAAGCCCTATTATACAGTATTCTCACCAGGAAATTTTAGACCCTTGATTTTTCGCGGTATCGCAACTACTCCTCCCCCATGTCAGATCAGAGATATCCTATCCTGTATAAGTATACTACTCCTCCCCCATGTCAGATCAGAGATATCCTATCCTGTATAAGTATACTTTTCAAAATACTACTCAAGATATTATTCTTATTTTGATCACAATATACATTTCTGAAAGTTTTCTAGCTTCCTATTCCTTGTTTGTATCTAGTTCTATGTATTTTCTCAAGAGTTTAATCACAAATAATGTGACAAAAATGTAAAATAAGATTCTGAAAAAATACTTAAGACTTCGGAAAAGCTATTAGACTCTGGAGCAAGAGGATCTAAAGACAGTAGACTATAGAGAATCTCTGGATTCTAAAAGTCGAGTGAGAACCCTGTACAGGATGAAGAACTTCCCAACATCAACGAAATGCTTATAAAAATAAGATATGGAGTATATTTTTGTGACTTTTTATTTGGTTCGGACAAAACAATAGATCCAGTGATACTTCATTATATTATTAAAGACTGTGGTCATATAAAAGCTCAGAGTTAAAAGGCTAAGTTCTAGCTCACCTGCACGCATTTTATCAGCTTTCAGGGTGCTGATGATGAATTCATTCTCCTCGTTTGTTTCAACAATTAATAAATATCCTCCTAGTTTCTTACAGTAATTGCTTGCTTGTTTGAAGAACAGTCGTGTATCGCCGACAAAGTTATAGCACGACTTCAGTTTTGGATGATACATAAAGCCAGTTGGACATTTAAGCGCTAAAAACAAAAATGATTTTTAGCATTAGGAGATTAGATTATTAGATTCTAATGTAAAGTTTGCTTGATTTAGAGCTAATTATAAGTTGGACATTTAAGTGCTAAAATGAAAATAATTTTTAGCATTGGGAGATTAAACTTATTGGATTCTCATGTAAAGTTTGCTTGGTTTAGAGCTAATTGTACTAAATGCTAGAGAAACAATATACAGTGTACTGTATTGTTCATTGTGATTTGCCAATCTGTGAATTTGTCATTTTCTAGTTTACCTGGTAATCTCCAATTTCCTGGAGATCCCTCCTCAGTCTGGAAAGATATGGCCTCAATCGGCATCCTTGGGTTCTTGTTAACTTTAAAATCTCCCTCCAGAATGATATCCACACCAACAAGATCCCCAGTTCCTATTTTCACCATCTTCTTAGTCCAGCTGACCCAGAATGGCACATATTCATGACATGAAAGTAGTTTTCTCTCGGTCTTTGTTATAGACCCAGTGATGCCTTTCCTCTGCATGTAATTCATGTAGTCCTCTCCGAAGCTGCCAAGTACGATCTCAATTACATTTTTTTCTGTATCATCTGGTGTAGCATGTAGGTTAATGTGAGCATTTTTACATGTCTTTAGTTCAAATAGAAGATGGTTGGTATCTTCAGTGGATATGTATCCAGAATCATAGGTTACATCAGCAGGAGTTGCAATCTCAACAACGACACCTTTAATAGGAATGAAACATAGGTTGAAGATATTGTGTAATCAAAGTAATGTATAAAATGTGGACAGATCACATAAAATTATGTGTTCTTTATTGACATGTATTAACATTATTTAAACAAATTGTTTAGAATTATTTGTCGATGCAAGGAGCAGCATTGATAGCTTTTTCAATTTCGATATACATGTATTTCTATTCTTATTGATTAAAATTGCCGCTAATGTTTTATCAATAAAACTTCAATCAATATTTAATGAAATAAACATATAGAATATAATGATAATGACACAAGGGAATATAATTTCATACCATTTTGGACAAAACCTATCCTTTAGTCTTTTCATCATTTACTCAAACTATTTTTATGAAACAGTATTTGTATAGCATATATGAAGGCATTGGTTCTTTGTTAGCATATGATGCTTTAAGCTATTGCCTCCTATTGTCACTACAGAAGCAGTATACACTATTGCTATGGTAGTGGTAATATCATACCTCTTGGTTTCTGACAAATATGATTCAGGGTGTCTTGCAGGGTAGACTACTCATGCCAGTTTGATTTACTAATAATAATAATATCATACCTCTTGGTTTCTAACAAATATGATTCAGAGGTGTCTTGCAGGGGAGACCACTCATGCCAGTTTGATTAATAATAATATTACACCTCTTGGTTTCTGACAAATATGATTCAGAGGTGTCTTGCAGGGCAGACCACTCATGCCAGTTTGATTAATAATATCATACCTCTTGGTTTCTAACAAATATGATTCAGAGGTGTCTTGCAGGGGAGACCACTCATGCCAGTTAATTAATAACATCATACCTCTTGGTTTCTGACAAATATGATTCAGAGGTGTCTTGCAGGGGAGACCACTCATGCCAGTTTGATTAAGCCCCACACATAGGGTACCTTTTTTTGCTTCTGTTGGCTCATCAGCTCCCCATGGGCTGCAAGTTAAAAAAAAACAATTGATACATTTTTGCAATATTAGTACAGGGGTGGGCCAATATATTGAAATATATTTGTATCAAAACAAAATGATTATATAATGCATATACATGTATAAGTTGTATAAGGTTTACAAGTTGAATTTTAAAACACTTTAGAATGACTTACATGGTTTCATTGTTGAATACTTTACCATTAGACCATGTCCAGGTGCCGTTTTTGTTTCTTTGTAAGCCAGTCCACCATTCTTCACTTCTGGATTTGTTAATTGCCTGGTTCATTATGAAGTTCTGTTGATATGTAAATGAATGAATATAGTAAAATCATATCAAGCAAGGAAATCTGATTGTTTTGAGTGACAGCATTTTTATTAATTAGTTGATAGTTGATATTAGATGTCATGTTCATATCAAGAAAAATGGTCTGATATTATACAGGTGCTTACTGAATATGGGTTTCACTGGCGGATTAGGTGCCTGGGGGCACGGGTGGGCCCAGAAAAAAAAATTGGGCCCCAAAAAGTGGGCCTTTTTGGTCATTACTGGGCCTTTTAAGGCATTATTTTTTAATTTCAGGCCAAATTTTGAAGAAAATGGGCCTCTAAATTTCAAAATTTGGGCCCACTTTTGGGTTTTAGGGGCCCAAAATTTTTTCCCCGCAAGCGTGGAGGTTTTTTCTCTGACCTGAAATTTGGGCCCCCCTTGTTGGTTCCCATATCCGCCCCTGATGGGTTTTATTCCAAGGGACAATATGATATTTCCCGGGGGCCCAGAGGGTACTTGTTGTCCTATTAGATCATTATAGAAAGGTAATCAAGAGCTCTGTCAAAGTCACACCCGGTGATCGTGAAAATGGGACGGAGGGGGGAGCAAGCAATTTCTGGTAGAAAAATGAACAAATCTGCAAAAATTATTTTAAAAGTCAATGTTTTTGCTTTAAATCAAGCATCAACGGTCTACACAACCTGCAATAAATATTTGTAAGTGACATTATCATCATAAAATTAATGACCTTAATGACTTTACAAAAAACGTTTCCATACGTTGTATAAAAAATAATCGAAAATAATTAAAATGGGACGGAGGGGGGAGGGGGGCGGAGGGGGGGGGAGCAATATCTCTATAAGATATGATATGAGATGTTACTTGATACTCTTTATATCCAGATTTTCCCATTATCTCCTCAATTACAAAGGGTCAGGAATTGATAATATGTTGTACTTGTTAGGTTTAGTTAGAGGGGTCAAATTAAGGTTGGCAAAATATTCCAGGAGACTGTTTATCTATAAATGTTTACCTGTCTTAACGTTTTTACTTGCTGATTTGTAGGCATATCATACACAGCACATCACACTTTGGACATGTAAGTTTCAGCGAAAATGTAAGTTATTCACAGCGAATAAACAATCTACTTGATATTAATTATGCGATATATTTTAATTATGCAGAATTGAATAAATACAAGAAGCTCACACGTCTCCAACTCACGACCTTATGGTTATGACGTCTTTGTCTAGCTGAGATTCTGGCGCTGTAGACTGCTCGGCCAACTGGCAATGCCAAAAAAACATGTTCCATCAGCCGATCTGACTAGAGAATTTACATGTAATAGTCAGCTATAGGAAGGTTCCCAGTGAATGTGCCACATTCATGCCATGGGTGCAACCCCTATTACGCCAAAGAAGCGTAACAAGTCATTTTTTGAAAATGAAATAAAAATTTGTTAATTATTTGAAAAAATTTTTGTGTGCTTATTAAATCAGTAAGCCATATCTCATCCGGTTTCCATTGGGACAGGCTCAAATCGTTCTGATATCAATGTTTTTGCATGCTCAAGATTCTCTATTTTGAAGAAATACAAATGCATTGTCAATGTATGTTAATATTTTCATTGACCACATAACTTTAAATCTAAGCAATATAGTTTCTATATGCATGGATTGTCGCTTGGTGCTATGGTCTCTCATCATGTCGTATAGGCATTTTGCTCCCCCCCCTCCGTCCCCTCCCCCCCTCCGTCCCATTTTAATTATTTTCGATTATTTTTTATACAACGTATGGAAACGTATTTTGTAAAGTCATTAAGGTCATTAATTTTATGATGATAATGTCACTTACAAATATTTATTAATTTTATGATGATAATGTCACTTACAAATATTTATTGCAGGTTGTGTAGACCGTTGATGCTTGATTTAAAGCAAAAACATTGACTTTTGCACGTTGGTGGCGTTGCGCCTTTTTTAATAGATCTTATACCTAAGAAGAGAATCGGCTAAAAAAAATTTGTAGAATACGTGACATATTTTACCATACCGTGCGCCTATTTGTTTAGCAATTAAATCATAAACCTTTTCTTGAAAAAATAATTTTTGCAGATTTGTTCATTTTTCTACCAGAAATTGCTTGCTCCCCCCCCTCCGTCCCATTTCCACGATCACCGGGCGTGAAAGTTAACTAAATGCATGTACATCATACTGTGATATACTTATAACATGTATTGGGCAACATAAACTAATCTAATTGAAATCATAATATTAATCTTACTATTTGTTTTTCCTTTGCCATTGATGCAAGATTACCGCCTTTTAATATGCAATTCTCCATTGCACGAGACCATTTTTGTTTTGACTTTTCGAACATATAACATTGATCGCCATCTGGTCCAGTCTTCCAATTGTCAGGGCATGTCTCCATAGCTGTTAAAAATTATATGCACAATTTATACAATGTCGAAATGAATTAAGCATAGCTAGGTAGCCCTTTACAAGAGCTTAGATAGTTATTTTACAATTACACAAAGTGATGATCTAACCTATATTCAAATAGAATAATTTTTGTATATATTTCTGCCTATAAATAGTCACCGATCAATTTTACTCACTTTCACTTCTTTCAACTCTCCATTCTCCTGTTCCAAATGATGTTCGAAATGAAATGGCATTAACAGTTTTTCCAATTGGCTCAAAATCTTTCTTTTGTAGTAAAATAGTTCCTTTTCTCTCTGTATGTCCTGAGCCAATCTTGATGTAATTATCTGCCCAGCTTATCCAGAAACTGCGGAATTGATTACAGCGTAATAAATCCAGTCTTCCCCTTCTGTTGTACTTCCTTATCCAAGGTTTATTGATGTTTTTTGGATATTTGAAGATTGCAAGGCCTTTTCTTTTCCTTCTGGCATATCCATATACTCTTACATCACCTATGGCTATGTTGTATATTGAAGATGTTTTGTCACCTGAAATCAAATATATAACATTCAGTCTGTATACAATGGGGGTGCGGTGGTTCAGAAAACTAGAATATCAAAATTGAATAAATAAATATTTTCATAGGCTTTCAAGAGAAAGCCCATGGTATTTTCAAGACAGACAGTCAAAAGTCAAAAACCCCAGACAAAAACCTCAATGAAATAAGGCGTATAACTTATTAAAAAAAACACTTCACCTGCTCTGGCTTCTAACTGGAGAGAAGCCACACTACAAGTCTTAACTTGAAATTTGAAGACTGTTCTCTCTCCTGTTGTCCACCAGGCATGATCCACATCATATATTCTCTCCTTCCAGTCATTTGGTGTTCTTACCACTATCCAACTTGTACCAGCAACTGTTGGAATGGATTCATGTACATGGTTATTAGCATCATTGATACAACATGGATTTTTTTCAGCAGGGGTGGTTTAACCATATAGGAAGACAATCCTATCCCATATTTTTTATCCATTTTGATAATTTGATAATTTTTATGTCACCACCAAAAGTGTAGTGACATATTGTTATAGTTTCCAATTTTTTGTGGCTGGTGTTCGGTGGTTGGTGTTAAGCATCTGTAACAGTGTTTGGCAGTCAGTGTCTGTAACAAATGGCAGGTGACATTTTGCCTGTTAATGCCTTGTTAATATTTTGACTTGCTCTTATTCTGACTATCCCTTACAGATTGTTTAAGCCACTTTTTAGATATTATCCAAGGGCATCAGTGTAGTTAAGACCATCTGACATGCAAAAATTGAAATGGGTAAAAAAATTAATATCAATATTATTTGTTTGATTAGTACACTACAGGTTTATTCATTCCATTCATAGTCCTCTTGTATCTCCATCTATTGTGTATACAAGTACATTGTTGTAAATCATTTTATCATTTAAAAGGTTGCATTGCTCTTAAACTATGATAATGCATATTTTATAGATTTCTATATAATCTGATTGGTTCGCACATACATTTCACCAAATTACACACATTAAAGCTAGTTAGCAATCTCTCTGAATGTTATTGATTCCTTTCATTTTGGTTCAAATTCATGCTTTTTGAGAAAAAAATTGAAATTTATTCTCACCTTTGGTAAGTATGTAAACTATAAACAGGAACCCGCTAAATGTCCCATCCATGGTTTTTCTCCTCATTCATGTAAAATTGAATTCTGGAACAGATAGATTGAAATAAAAGTGCATGATCCAATAATAGTATCACTATATTGGTCAATACAGTATATGTAAATGATTTCCATATTAAAACTATTATATTGGAATCTCATGGTTGAGTGATTAATATTTCAACAATGTTTGATTGTGTGACTTTTACATGAAATGCCCTGGTTAACATGTGTTATGAAGGGAAGAGTTCAAATTCAATGTGTAATGTACTATATCAATAAGTATGAATGGAAAATGAAAGAGGTGAATAAATAAATTATATTCAATGATCGGTGTTGTTGTTTTGTCATCTGGGCTTTTTAAGTCCCTGCCAGAATACAATGAACATACATTGTATTTTGTTTGTCCATAACAAATATCAACTCTAACCAAGATAATGGGGATGAGATAAGATCAAATACAAATAAACATATATTGCGTTGATGCATGACAATTTAGAAGATGGAGGAATCAATATTTTTTTATTTTATTTATTTTAGTTTTATTTGATATGTAGAAAAAAGAATACAGACACAAGCAATATTTATTCTCTATCAATAAAAAGGGATATTGAAAATCAAAGTAAATCATCAAACATTCAATCAGAACCCCTGAACATTAAAACATATAAATCATACAAATGGGATCATATGAAGAAAAATGAATTTAAGGTGCCATGGAAGTTAACTGGAAATGACGAAACAGGAAGTGACAAATTTTTTTGCATTTTTTGACATTTTTTGAACAAAGAAGAGAAGACGGACCGGTTCGGGGCAATCTGCTTGTAGCGAGAAGACGGACCGGTTCGGGGCAATAGCTGATGAAATTCTTTGTCACAAAGTTTGGCATTTTTTATAAAATCAAACTCGCGTCATTGAAACTCACAAGATGTAAATAGCATGTCATTTACATCATACCTTGATGGGAAAAAATATATCTTATATGTTAGAAGTACTAAATAAAAGTTATCGTGAAAATGAGACAGTCGTTCTCGAGAGAAAAGAGCATAAATGCGCATTTAGAGAGTTTTGGTCCGTTTAAAAATCTGTAAAAAATTGGGGTACTTAAAAGCATCGGGAGGCATCATATATTTCAAATTAGACACGAGGAAGTCAATATTGAGCAAGTTATGGCTATTTTAAATTCAAATAAAACCGTTAACCCGTACCGGTCCAGCTTTTGACTTGGATTCAAATAAACAAAACGACCTCCATTTTTGTGTGCTTGATAATTTTTTGAAATTATTATTTGATTTCAATCAAACACCACAAAATGTGATCACAGAATTTGTATAATAATGATAATTTATAGTTGTTTTATTACCTATTATTCTGTGGCTTAATAATCCATCACATGTTATATTTTCAATATTAAAATCTTTTGTGCTATTCCCTTTGAGATTCACAATCCAGTTTTATTTTGAACTAAAACAACATGTTGATATCATAGTATTTTTCAGTTTGTTACAGTTCATCAAAAATAATGTATATTGTATAGTATCATCATTGCATCAACCTTTATATTATGACTCTATTATTTGTTAAATGGTGATTTTATAATGTATTTTCTTAACTCTAGATGTGTTAATAGTTCTGTAATGAAAATGTTAATGACATCCCAGTAAGAGGATATCTTATTTTTCTTTATTTGAAGTGATTCGTTAAGTGTCTAATATTGTCTTGCTTTTTATGTAATATAAAAATGCAAATCAATTAGAGACAACATTATAATCAAATGTGATTTAAAGATGAAACATTAAAATCAAATGTGATCTAAAGATGAAACATTAAAATCAAATGTGATCTAAAGATGAAACATTAAAATCAAATGTGATCTAAAGATGAAACATTGAAATCAAATGTGATCTAAAGATGAAACATTATAATCAAATGTGATTTAAAGATGAAACATTAAAATCAAATGTGATCTAAAGATGAAACATTGAAATCAAATGTGATCTAAAGATGAAACATTAAAATCAAATGTGATTTAAAGATGAAACATTAAAATCAAATGTGATCTAAAGATGAAACATTGAAATCAAATGTGATCTAAAGATGAAACATTAAAATCAAATGTGATTTAAAGATGAAACATTAAAATCAAATGTGATCTAAAGATGAAACATTAAAATCAAATGTGATCTAAAGATGAAACATTAAAATCAAACCTGACATAATGATAAAACATCAACTTTTGAGCCAATGGTTAAACATAATATATGTTAAATACATGTTCAATTTAATACATCAATTTCACATAAAATTTTTAACCTGAATTTGTTTTCTTTTGTTGTAGGCTCCTCCTAATATAGTAAGCAATGAACAAAGACATTGTGCTGAAAATCTCTTTTTGAATTTCCGCAAATCTAAACTGCCATACTCCACATGCAGGGAATTACTAGGTAAGCATGTCCATATATTTACTTTTGAAGTTATGTTTAAATCTAAGCTTTATAAATGTCACTTTTTAAGGGTAACCTTTAAAAGTTATTTGTTTATCAATGAATGATTTTTCTCACAATTTCTTCAATTTTGATTATTCTTAAATGTTATTTGATATTTTCTTGTAATGGGCTGGATGCTTATTATTATGTACCAGTAATACAGAGATTATGGTATTCATCATTTTTTTATGTCATCACCAAAAAGTGGTGACATACAGGGTGTCCCGAAAGTATGGGGCCCCCCCTAGGCAGACATATACCAGTGTCGTCATAGTATGTGTCATATATCATTTTAAAGCTTATCCAAAGTTACATTGATTCACCAAGTATCATGGTTGAACTCTCAAATGTGAAAAAATTACAGACATTTCAAAATTTAGTGTTTGGTCAAAATTAAGTTCAATTTTACACCAAATCAATAGTCAATGTGTTCTCCCGGGCCATCTTAGCAGCAGCAATTCTTTTTGGGTCGGATGGGTATTGAGTTGGAAAAAGAGAACGGTGAGGGTAGAAACTCTAAGGAAACTCTTCTAAAGTGCCTTAACAGGTTTTAAGAGGGTTATAAAATTCCACACCCCTATTTGGAAGGGCTTTTAAGGTCATATTTGAAAATAATTGCTGCTGTTAACATGGCCAAGGGGGGACTCATTGACTAGTAATGTGGTGAAAATTTTAACTTTATTTTGACAAAACACTAACTTTTGAAATAACTGTAACTTTTTCCTATTTGGGAGTTAAACCATGATACTTGGCAAATCAATGTAACTTTGGATAAGCTTTAAAATGATATATGATACATACTATGAGGACACTGGAATATGTCTGCCTAGGGGGGGCCCCATACTTTCGGGACACCCTGTATATAGTCTCTATTTTTTGTGATGCCGGTTTGTGATCGGCAGGTGACGGTTGGTGATCGGTGGTTGGCGTCTGTAACAAATTCTTAAAACTTCCAATAACTTAACAAATACTGTTTAGACTGACTTCAGTTTTTTCAAAACCTACAAGTTTTTAAAAGTTCAAATCTGACTTTATATTGAAAATTTGACCTTCAGTGACCTTTTCAAGGTAAAAAAAGGTAAAAAGGGTCTTTTTTCAACTTGCTTCAAATTGATCAATTCTTTTTCAAAATCAGAAGTCCTCAAAAGTTTAAATCTGACTAAAGATTTCACCTTCAATGATATTCTCAAGGTCAAAAAAATATTTGACCTTCACAATGACCTTTTCAAGGTCAAAAAGGTCTTTTTTCAACTTGCTTCAAATTGATCAATTTTTTTCAAAATCATCTACAAGTTTTCAGAAGTTCAAATCTGACTTTATATTTATTTACCTTTTCAAGGTCAAAAAAAGGAAAAAAAGTGTTTTTTTAACTTGCTTCAAATTGAAATTTTTTTTAAAAAACCATCTACAAGTTCTCAGGAATTGAAATCTGACTTAAGATTGAACTAACAATATTGTGAGCAACTAGGTGGTGACATATTGTCATGTTATTAATGCCTTGTCTAACCTTTATTAGGTGAGTTATTGAGACACAAGCTATTATTTCACCACCAGAAATGGTGACTTATTGTTATAATCACCAACATTTTTGTGGACGGCATTCTGGGGTTGGTTTTTGGCATTTGGTGTCTGTAGTAAATGGCAGGTGGTGATATTTTGCATGTAAATGCCTTGTGTTGTTATTGTTGTAGAAAAGAGCAAGAATGATTATGTACTATTCCAAGCTGCTAGTACAATCAAGGAAAGTGTTGTACGTGAATGGACTCTTCTACAACCAGATGATATACAATCTTTGAGATTATTTCTACTGAAATATGTAGTGGACCATATAGAGTAAGTACTGTTGAAAGTATTTGTTGAAATGAGAAAAATGAAAAAAGATGAAATAAATAGTTTCAAGATACATGCAGTACAATTGAGTGATTATTACAACAATTGTAAAATATACAGAAAATAACTGTAACCATTCAGTTTCCATAACAAATTCTTATACTTTTGCAACCATTTGCATCGACTCACCAGCTGGTGACATTATGTCATGGTGGTAATGTCTACAATTGGAGAATACCTGTTTGACTAATACTACTTTTTGTTGATTAAGAGCTCTGTGTGGCTTTTTTAAGATTCAAAGTGGCCTCTTTTTTATTAGGTTAAACTTTTGTAAATTTTGTAAATATATATTCTCCCAAATATTGGAATTTATGGCTTTTACATCATCAAATCTTAGGGCCATTCACAATGTCCATTTAGTTTAGTTTACAACATGTAATTTGCAGTTTGGTATGATAATTACAGTGTGCATTAAATTGACTTGTCACCATTGTATTTGACTTTTTCAGTTTAAAGCGCTATGTTCGAAGGCAGATATTACAAGCAGTGGCAGTTATGTCTAAACGTGGTGCTTTAGATGGAGAAAAACTAAACAAGGATGCCATATTCAATGATGTCACTCAGCTTATAAGTAGCGGAAATCTTTCAATGGTAATTGCCTTATAGCTATAGTGGTAACCCCTAAATCCAGAATTCTAATCATACTTGTTAAAAGAAATGCACAAAGCTGGTCAAAAAATCTGTAACAATTGTTACACAATTGTCTTATGTTTTATGTCTTATGTTGTCTTGTATACAGATTTTTATAATTCATTTTCAGCAACTTGTTGCTTGTTCAATCCTGACATCTTTACTGGATGAGTTCTCAAGTACTTCAAAGTCGAGTAAGATAGGGCTAACATGGGAATTCCATAGCAAATGCAAGAGATCATTTGAGGTAAGTACATTTGCAAATCTATGTATATATAGAGATTATCCTATATGAGGTTCAGGATATTGGGATTATCCCGAGGCAAATATAATATATCTGCCGAGGGCCGCAGGTCCTGAGGGAAAATATATTATATTGGCCAAGGGATAATCCCAATATCCTAAACCGACTATAGGATAATATGTTTATCCCATACCAATCTTGGTCATCTGGTTCACATTGTTCAATCATGGAAATATTTTAGAATATTCATGTCCAGTTTTGTTTTCTTGGCCGTGGGCGGATTTTCCTGTTCTCTCAAATATTTCCACATTTATTTCTCGAATTTTTGATTGATTGATTGCTCCTTCCCTTTTTTAAACCATCAAACAGATCCCGATTGTCTGTGTTTTCTCCATTGTCGTTTACAGTCATTACGCGAACGTTACAAATTATGAACAAATATGCGAGCGGCGATTACTATGATGACGTAGCGGGCAGATATACTATATCTGCCCGCTCAGAGCGGGACGTATAGGGGTTATGCACTGGGAGGTTTTGGATACAGGGAATATCCTGAGGGACCGAAGGGACCGAGGGAAGATGTATTGTTTATCCCAAGGGATATTCCATGTATCCAAACCGACCGTGCATAACTGGTGTATCTCATACTTGAGTGGGTTTAGGGTAGATATAACCTTTTCCACCTTTTTCAAATGACAAGATATATTTAACATTTTCGTAATATTCTTTTTGTTCAATACAATGAAATTGTAACATTTAAACTTAAAAAAATTAAATTTTAGAATTAAAAAATTAAAACTTTTGATATTTAAACTTTTTTAAACTTTTGAAAAATTCCTGGGAGCGGGATGGATATATTATATCTGCCCGCATTTGGCCTGGAGCGGGACATATACAATATATCCTACCCGCTCCTCAGATACGATATATATTCCCGGGTGATATCTACCCCAAACCCACTCAAGTATGAGATACAAAGCTATATCTGCCCGCTGATGAAAATATAAGTTTTTACAAACCTGCTTTATGTACCTGTTACACGTCCAAGTATGGGATAAATATATATACAGGGTGTCCCAGAACTCATGAGAATTTTTTGAGGGGGATATAAGGCATTAATGATTTTATTTCAAATTAAGTGCACTTAATAAACAAACATTGAGGAATAACTGACATGAATTTCAAGCACATGTCTTTTATATTTCCGAATTTATTGACATTTGAATTCTACATCGCCACAAACCCAGGAGTAGTCAGAGAAATACAGCAATTTATGTCACATTTTGATAATATTTACCCAACTTCTCTACTATAATAGCATTCTTTTCATTGAATTATTTCAGCGTTTCAGTACATTAGTTGATAGGATCATACACATTCAGCTAACGTTTCTCTACAGAGTTATCATAGCATATTATCTGCAGTTGATGTCTTTTCAACTACTTTTTAAACACATTCCCAAATCGTTGTATAGCCATTTCTGTAGGGTCCTCTGAAACAACATGACTCAATTCTTCCTCCGTTTCAGTGACATGGCCCACTCATTTTTGTTTAAGGTCCCCAAAGAAATGAAGTCTTGTTGAGCAAAATCTAGCAAGTATATGGAGCTACTGTATACTGTAAAGCTCAATAGAAAGTAAATTGGATGCACTACTGACATGAATGTAGTGACTTATTATTCACTGATGCATTGTCAATATGTAAGGTCATATTGGCTATCAAATGGGGACATTTCTTACAGTCCCTCAGGAACATGTCATTATGATCTTTCAGCAAACCAAATGTACAATCTGTTGATGTATTGGGTCTCTATCAAAATTTATATATCGTTTTATCAAAGTGCACAACCAATATGAGAAAAATGCTCAACTAAGCTTATACAAAAAAACGTTGGTTTTAAAGTTGAGAATTTGTATAAAATTGACAAAATGTGACATAAACTGTTGTATTTTACCGACAACTCCGGGGTTTGTGGTGATGTAGAATTCAAATGTCAATTAATTCGGAAGTATAAAAGATATGTGCCTGAAATTCATGTCAGTTATTCCCCAAAGTGTGTTTAATAAGTGTATCAAATTTGAAGAAAAATCATCCATGCCTTCTATCTCCCTAAAAAGATTTTCATGAGTTCTGGGACACCCTGTATATTACCTCTACATATGGCATATCCTCTATTGATATAGATTACCACCTACATATATTCTTTGTTGATGTAAATTACCCCCTAAGTATGCCTTTTTTGATGTTATTTTAGGATGCAGATCTGAAGAAAGTGTTCTCATTCTGTCTACAAGTTCTCCATGAGCTTGAGAAATGTGCGTCACCTCTAAACAGAGACGTCACCTATTTGTCCATCAGATTCCTCACAATAACCGAGCAGCTTCTCAATTGGCAGTTCTCATCAAGACATCATATCCTTTTTGACTGAAAATGATATGTTCTTATGAATGGAAAATTACTATAATGAGGGTACAAAGATGTCACTGTCTAATGGTTAGAGAACATTCAGCTTGATGAATGACACTGCTATTGAAACACTTCTCTTTGTGCATATAAAATGTGATGTCAAAGCTGACACCCTGAGTCCGCAATATTATATCAGTATGGAAAACATTTGCCTTATCCTACCTACACATTTGTACATAAACAGGTTGTTTCATAATGTCCATCCTCCCATCAATTACCAATCCTAAATAGCATGCCCCACATGTTATATATAATATGAAAGGTTGTTCAATTCTGTATTTATTACATATAAAGACTGATTAGATGTTAGTATATTACAGATTATGTTAAAATTATTCTTAACTCTTTGTCACCTATCAGGAATCGTATTGGATCATTCATGATATATGGCAGTGTGCCATTCAGACCACTCGAGACATGGCAGGATGTTATCCTGGATAGAGGTGTCTTAGATCTGTTCTTCAAGGTGCAGTATTTTTATACATTAGATAATACAGTTACTTTTAAAGTGTTGAAAGTGACTTCACCATTTTTGTGGATGGTGTTTGGTCATTGGCATTCGGTGGTTGGTGTTTGGTGGCCAGCATTTGGTGTTTGTAACAAAAGGCAGGTTGTGCCATTTTACATGTTTATACCTTTTCTATTCTGTTACTATTTTGGACATTTTTCAAAATTATTGCGAAACATATCGTAACATTGAACATTAAATTGAGAAAAATGGTTGGTTTGCTAATTAATCAGTCACAACTACCCATACAATATTTCACATGATAGAGGATACATATATGTTAAATTGTACTTCCTAGATCCATGAGAAAGTAAGACACAACTCTGAGATGGCGCACCATTCAATGCAGTGTATCAGTCAACTAGCAACACTAACTGGAGCTGTGTTCTCTGATGATACAGCCAAGAGGGATTATGTGGCACACTTCCTGCAGGGATTTCTTGCTCTCTTGGCTAGGTTTGTTTATGTACACACGTAGTTAAGTTAGGCAGTATCAAATAAATTTTGGATCTTTTGTGATATTTCTGTATATTTTTAGACAAGTCAATGAAAATGGCTAGATTACTGATTCCACTTGTGCTACCTTAATAAAGATCCCATCAAAAAACTGACTCGTTTAAATATTGTTTGTCTTAATATCTTTGGAATGATGGTCTTGATCATAATCTTTTGAATTATAATAACATTGTTTGAAAAACACCTTTATCCATGATGAACATAATATTTTACAGCATAGATCTCCAGGACTATGAAGCCCTTGGTGTTGCTACGACGATCAACAACCTACTGACCATGTTTTCTATGGGAGTATTCATTGAGCTGCCCAAAACATTGTTTGAGCAGTTTGCCAATGCTCTAACACAGCTGACCTGCAGGTTTGGGCAGGCAGCTGCACTAGAGGAAGCTGTAAGTATAATATGTTGCTGTTACCATGGATATAATGACATCATAGTAAAAGAACAGTCTACTTAATAAATTAACTTTGCATTCTGTTAAGGGTATTCAGTTAAACATTAAATTTGAATTTTCACATTTTCACAAATTTTCACATCATTTCCTTATAAAAATCAATGTATAATCACAGAAAAGAACTTATATCAGGGTGTAATACAGATTCTGTATCCCACTAGGTGAAAAATCGGGATAGTGTAATGTCATATGTACCAATCAGATTACTAAAAAATCACACTTATTTTCTGATTGTACTTCCAATACCATTTTTCAGATGAAAGGAGAAGATACATTGTACAGAGAAGCATACGGAAAATTACTAGATTCATGGATGAACTTTGTCACCGATGTTGACAACTTTGCACCAGAGTTCTGGCGAACACAATCAACAGAAGTTTTTACATCTTACTTGCAGAGTCATCTCGGTCCACCAGATGGCACTAGGAATCAGGTATGATTTTTAATCTTTTTTGATAATTTTCATTTTATATAAATGTCACCTAGTCCATGAATTATGTATAGCAATACATTTAGTTCATGAATTATGCATAATGACACATATAGTTCATGAATTATGTATTACCATACACATAGTTCATGAATTATGTATAACCATACACATAGTTCATGAATTATATATTACCATACACTTAGTTCATGAATTATATATTACCATACACATAGTTCATGAATTATATAATACCATACACATAGTTCATGAATTATATATTACCATACACATAGTTCATGAATTATATATTACCATACACTTAGTTCATGAATTATATATAACCATACACATAGTTCATGAATTATATATTACCATACACATAGTTCATGAATTATATATTACCATACACTTAGTTCATGAATTATATATTACCATACACTTAGTTCATGAATTATATATTACCATACACTTAGTTCATGAATTATGTATTACCATACACATCGTTCATGAATTATATATAACCATACACTTAGTTCATGAATTATATATTACCATACACTTAGTTCATGAATTATGTATAACCATACACATAGTTCATGAATTATATATTACCATACACATAGTTCATGAATTATGTATTACCATACACTTGTTCATGAATTATGTATAACCATACACTTAGTTCATGAATTATGTATAACCATACACTTAGTTCATGAATTATATATAACCATACACTTAGTTCATGAATTATGTATTACCATACACATAGTTCATGAATTATGTATAACCATACACTTAGTTCATGAATTATATATTACCATACACATAGTTCATGAATTATGTATTACCATACACATAGTTCATGAATTATATATTACCATACACATAGTTCATGAATTATATATTACCATACACATAGTTCATGAATTATATATTACCATACACATAGTTCATGAATTATGTATAACCATACACATAGTTCATGAATTATATATTACCATACACATAGTTCATGAATTATATATAACCATACACTTAGTTCATGAATTATGTATAACCATACACATAGTTCATGAATTATATATTACCATACACTTAGTTCATGAATTATGTATAACCATACACTTAGTTCATGAATTATGTATTACCATACACATAGTTCATGAATTATATATTACCATACACTTAGTTCATGAATTATGTATAACCATACACATAGTTCATGAATTATATATAACAATACACTTAGTTCATGAATTATGTATTACCATACACATAGTTCATGAATTATGTATTACCATACACATCGTTCATGAATTATATATAACCATACACTTAGTTCATGAATTATGTATAACCATACACATAGTTCATGAATTACATATTACCATACACATAGTTCATGAATTATGTATAACCATACACATAGTTCATGAATTATGTATTACCATACACATAGTTCATGAATTATATATTACCATACACATAGTTCATGAATTATATATTACCATACACATAGTTCATGAATTATATATTACCATACACATAGTTCATGAATTATGTATAACCATACACATAGTTCATGAATTATATATTACCATACACATAGTTCATGAATTATATATAACCATACACTTAGTTCATGAATTATGTATTACCATACACATAGTTCATGAATTATGTATAACCATACACTTAGTTCATGAATTATATATTACCATACACTTAGTTCATGAATTATGTATAACCATACACATAGTTCATGAATTATATATAACAATACACTTAGTTCATGAATTATGTATTACCATACACATAGTTCATGAATTATGTATTACCATACACATCGTTCATGAATTATATATAACCATACACTTAGTTCATGAATTATGTATAACCATACACTTAGTTCATGAATTATATATTACCATACACTTAGTTCATGAATTATGTATAACCATACACTTAGTTCATGAATTATATATTACCATACACTTAGTTCATGAATTATGTATAACCATACACATAGTTCATGAATTATATATAACAATACACTTAGTTCATGAATTATGTATAACCATACACATAGTTCATGAATTATATATTACCATACACTTAGTTCATGAATTATGTATAACCATACACTTAGTTCATGAATTATGTATAACCATACACATAGTTCATGAATTATATATTACCATACACTTAGTTCATGAATTATGTATAACCATACACTTAGTTCATGAATTATGTATAACCATACACATAGTTCATGAATTATATATTACCATACACTTAGTTCATGAATTATGTATAACCATACACTTAGTTCATGAATTATGTATTACCATACACATAGTTCATGAATTATATATTACCATACACTTAGTTCATGAATTATGTATAACCATACACTTAGTTCATGAATTATATATTACCATACACTTAGTTCATGAATTATATATTACCATACACTTAGTTCATGAATTATATATTACCATACACTTAGTTCATGAATTATGTATTACCATACACTTAGTTCATGAATTATATATTACCATACACATAGTTCATGAATTATATATTACCATACACTTAGTTCATGAATTATGTATAACCATACACTTGTTCATGAATTATATATTACCATACATATAGTTCATGGATTGCTTATTGTCATGCCTGAGTTGAATTTTATGTATAACCATACCATAAACTAAGGTGTTTGAAAGATAATGGATTTTTATATCCTGGCTTATGTCAATTCAGTCAATGAATAAAACAGTAGTATGCAGATTCAATGTATCCATTATTTATTACTAAAATAAAACAATAAACAAAAGTAAACAATACTTGGCTAAACAACTGAAAGTTGCAAAAGGTATATTTATTTAGATATGTTGTTTATTAAAGTGAGTAAGAGTTTTAAGGAAACAGCTTTTGCAAAAGAACATTCCTAGATTCTAGGTTTTATAGTTTGTAGATGTTCCTTATAGACTGTCAGTTGTTTGCTGAATCTGGTTTGTCATGCCTTTTCTGACTTTTAAGATTTAAGCCAGGATGATTCTTGTCATGATGTGATTAGCCATCATGCTGCTTGTTATTTTTTCAAATTCTGCTGAAAGTACACAAAATATTGATATTGATTAGACATCTGATTGATTTTTGCATATTTACATATTCAACAAACATCAGTAAAATGGCCTTTTATCAATACAAAGAAAATAAATAAACATAACGTGATATGATATGATGTAATATAATATGTATGATATGATGTGAAATGTATGATATGATGTAATATGATATGTATGATTTGTAACACTTGCTTACAATTCACAGTGAAATTGCTGAATACTTGGAACTGTTTTTACCCATGAAGGTACATATGTGCAGTTTGTTAGTTACAAAAACTTGATTTCTGATACAATTACCATGGGTTTTATCTGGCAATTAAAATGGTGTGGAAAATGCTAGTTATATAAAAAGAACTCAACCTGAATAATTATCCCATCGAACGAAGTTCGGAGGGATAGGAAACGCCTCCCTCCGTCGTACGTACGTACGTCTGTACGTCCGTTTCTACGTCCGTCCGTCCGTCTGTCCGGGCAATAACTCAAATACTGTTTGCCCGATTTTGTTCATATTTTGTACACTTACCCTATGGGGGTAGAAGTTCTGCTCGAAAGCCGATTTTCAAAATGGCCGCTCATTAAAAAATGGCGGCCATTTTAGTGCCAATTTTACAGAAATTTAGGTGCAATATGTAAAACTGTAATAGCAATATGTTTTAAATGTAAAAAAATTATGTAGGACATTAATAAAGCTAGAAATGTAGATATAAAAAAAGCACATGGCAGCCATCTTGAAAAATGGCGGCCTATACTCGTTATTTTACGATTTTTGCTGTAACTCGAAAAGTAGTAGAGCGATTCTGTTCATATTTGGTATGTGAATAATATAAGCATGGCACACTGTCTAATGACACTTTTGGTAGAAGGTGGCCATTTTGAAAAATGGCCGCCATTTTAACTTATTTTACTATAACTCGAAAAGTAGTGGAGCGATTTTGTTCATATTTGATATGTGAATACTATAAGCATGGCACACTGTCTAATGATACTTTTGGTAGAATGTGGCCATTTTGAAAAATGGCCGCCATTTTTTCTATATACTTTGTTTGTAAAAATGCCAGCCATGGCTGTTCGATGGGATTCGCTACGCTTTGGCGTTGCCGTTGTTCTGGTTTTTTACAAATATTTGAGAAGTATAAAACAATTATATACTTACACAGATAACTTTAATTTGGTTCAATGAAAACAAAGGCTTGTCAGCATCCTCCAAGAGATCAGATTCAGTTTGATTCGGTTCATCATCACTTGGAGCTCCTTCATTGGAATATTCATTTTCATCAGAACTTCTTTTAGTAAGAAGATAATCAGGCTCTTCAACATTTTTAAATCTTTTGGCAGAGGTTTCCATTGTTAGAGCTAGAGCTACAACTAGCACTGTAGCAATTTTGTTATTACAAATTTTCATCATCTAATGTGTGGGGTGTTTGTGTACAGCATGACTTAAAGAACATTTTAAGCAAGGATATAACATTTACGTGGGATGGATCATTTAAAAGTTTGACGGGCCAAATCGCAGTTTGACATATTCTATTTCAACAATTCCATATATTTCCTTGGCAAAAATGTTAAAAGTATTTATTTATTTAATATACTAATGGGAACATTATTGCGCTTAGTAAAAAAGCCATATGCCCTGTTATTGTAGTTATGGTTTGAAACATAAACAATGTCTAGAGACTTGAAAGATATATATAATTGATCATATATCCATACTGGTGTCATTGGCAAAAGAATGTTATAATTAATAAAATAAGTTCATTAATAAGAGACTCCAAGCTCAATTTTTGCTGTTTTTTTTTTATCTAGTTTTACTTGGTCATGATTTCTTTCTTTTGATAATGTTGAATCACTGTGAAAAATATTAGGTAGTTTACAGTTCTGAATATTGAAAAAATCAGTGATAAGACCGGTTTTCCCATGTTGAAGTTCAAATACCAAATTGTACAGAAAAATGTCAGAAAGTTGAGTCAGATGTCAATTAGGAAAAGTGAAAATTACCCATAATGACATATCTCACATGGATTGGTTCTTTTAAAAAAGGATCCTTCCCTTGTATAGAGGTTTCATATATTTTCAGTAGCCTTTGTCCAAATAACCTTGACAAATGATTATTGTCACAGGAAGTGACCGAAACCATGAATTACAACTACAAAGGAAATTGGATATAGATGACTTCCATCTTAAAGTATTGAACTACCAAATCTGCATTTCATTATACTATTGTCATATTAACAAAGTGTTTTAAATCAACATACGGTATACTATTGTGTAAATAAACTTTCAAGGTAGTATAGGTAATGGATATAAATAATGCCCAAGCATTATTTGATTTCCAAGTTTGAAATTCATTTTTAGCAACTTTTGCAAATGTTTGCAAACATAATATTTTATTTAGTTGACATAATATTTGTCTGCTAGTGATAGCCCTACATATACAGGAGTGACAATACTCACTTTATTCATTCAATGCCAATTATTTTCCAAATACAGGAAATATCGAAGTCATATTCTGAGAATAATTGTAAGATTAATATCCAAATATAGGAAATATGGAGGTCATATTTGGAAAACAAGTAAGATTAATATTTTCTGTGGTATCTATACAGAATGTGCTTCGCAGATGAAGAATCGATCCTGCACACAAGGTGCATCATGCCACTTATGCCATCTTGCCTTGTTCATGAATGCACATTTTTCCAAATTTCTCTGTGGTTGGCCTAGCGAACTATCCCATGATGTATAGGGAGCTAATGGTTTTGCTGCCCATTGTAGCCCACCAGACCATTTCCATGCACCATCTAACTCATTGCCACCTATCCAGAAATCATGATTGTTTTCTCCCATGCTTATTATTTTCTGAACCAACATAGTCTGTTCTTCTGCTGTCTCAATTGCCACAAGATTCGCATCCAGGGATTTACAACACGCAAGAGCATCTGACCAGTTTTTCAAAACCAGGTTGAATCTGTAGCATGTATTATCTGATAGTTCCCAAAACCCTTCAGGGCATGTACCTTGTGGTCCAACTGGCTTGGCATGATCTTGAGTGCCACATGGCCCCATTTCTCCAGTATGTCCTTGGGGTCCAGGTTCCCCAACAGGTCCCTGGGGTCCAGGAGGGCCTGGGCGACCAGGGGGTCCTTGTGGTCCAGGTGGCCCTTGTGGTCCAATAGGCCCCTGAGGCCCCACAGATCCTACAATTCCATCAAAAGAACATTGGCAGTTACATTGACGATTAAAAGTCAAATCATGAATTTTCTTTTCTGCAGCTTTTAGTTTTGCTTCAAGGTTGGGACATCTCCCCATATTTACCAAGCTACATTTCTGAAGCAATATTAGCACCAGCAAAGCATGAATGCTGATAGAGCTCATCTTTTTTTATTTAGTTAAAACTGTTAACTGTGGTATAAAGCGCCTGTGCATTATAAACTATAAAACCTTGATGGATATTTTAATGTATCAATTGATATTCAGGTAACATTTATTTATTGAATGACATTTTCCTCTGTTGAAAACATTATTAACAGAACATGATCTTAGACATGTTAGATATTAATGTATTAATGAAATAGCAACAGAAATGAAGGTGCTTGACGAATTGCACATTTCAATGTGACAATGCTAATCTTCTACTGAACATGATCAGCATCATACGGTATTTCATGTTATTTCATAATGATGCAAAACATTTATTAAATGCAGGGGTGGATCTGGGAACCAACAAGGGGTGGGGCAAATTTCAGGAGAGAAAAAAAAATATTTGGGGCCCTAAAACCCAAAAGTGGGCCCAAATTTTGAAATTTTGAGGCCCATTCTCTTCAAATTTTGGCCTGAAATTAAAAAGGGCCCAGTAATGACCAAAAAGGCCCACTTACAATAGCTCACACCATGTGATCTAAAAGGTATGGATATTATCTGATCAAATGTAGAAGCTGAGGATGAATTGTAATGAGTAAACATTTCTTTCAATACGTTGATCAAAGATTCATCACAAACGTTTACATAGCCATCTATAAATAATCAATATTGTAGGAATCTTTAACATCATATGCTAGCAATTATCATTGAATCACATACTTGTGCATAAATGCACTTTTTTCTTGTTGAATTCTGAATTCTGCACTGGGTATCTTTTATTTTTCCCATACATGCTGATGCTCTCCAGTCTCTGTGTGATGAGCTAACTTTCTATCGTAGAACCCAGGTATTATGTATCATAAAATTGGGTAGATATGAATCTTAACATAGATGGAACCCATTTGTTTTAAACAAAACCTTATATGTGGGAACAAAGATACTTTTAAAACACTGCATTGCCAATAATGTCCTGTTTGCTGACATGAGGAATTCTCACTCAATTAGTGGAGCCCTTGGATATGTATACTCATGACTGATTCGCTTTTCATTTTCATTTTTCATTGGGTAACAGAAGTATTGTTGATGATAGGGTATTGTAGTTTTATGTTGAGAAATCTTATACTATTGAATGCTTGATCGCTGACAATTAGATTTGTCATTTTTAATGGCACACTTTCTGCTTTATGGATTTCCATATAATAGGTACACACTTTTGGCGTCTCACTTTTCAGCTTGTCTACAGGTTTCCAGCCAAACGATTTGAGGGATTCATCTGAAATTTTCAGGGATGTTTCTACATATCAAAGTCAAGAACTGATTAGTTTTTGGGCATTCTGGGTAAATTTTAAGGTGGCCATTTTGGATTTTCCGTCCTAAAATCTTCACTTTCAAGACTTGTCTACAGGTTTTCAGCCAAACCATTTGAGGGATTCATCTGAAATTTTCAGGGATGTTTCTACATATCAACGTCAAGAACTGATTAGTTTTTGGGCATTCTGGGTAAATTTTAAGGTGGCCATTTTGGATTTTCCGTCCTAAAATCTTCACTTTCAAGACTTGTCTACAGGTTTTCAGCCAAACCATATGAGGGATTCATCTGAAATTTTCAGGGATGTTTCTACATATCAACGTCAAGAACTGATTAGTTTTTTGGGAATTCTGGGTAAATTTTAAGGTGTCCATTTTTGATTTTCCGTCCTAAAATCTTTACTTTCAAGACTTGTCTACAGGTTTCCAGCCAAACCTTTTGAGGGATTCATCTGAAATTTTCGGGGATGTTTCTACATATCAACGTCAAGAACTGATTAGTTTTTGGGCATTCTGGTTAATTTTAAGGTGGCCATTTTGGATTTTCTGTCCTAAAATCTTCACTTTCAAGACTTGTCTACAGATTTTCAGCCAAACTATTTGAGGGATTCATCTGAAATTTTCAGGGATGTTTCTACATATCAACGTCATGAACTGATTGGTTTTTGGGCATTCTGGGTAAATTTTAAGGTGGCCATTTTAGATTTTCCGTCCTAAAATCTTGTCTATCGAGGCTTGTCTACAGGTTTCCAGCCAAACCGTTCAAATTTTTTACATATGTTACACAATGATAAGTTCTACAGCTGATTAACTTTTCTGCGGCCATCTTGCTTTCTTGGTCAACAAGACCACAATGCTGTGTTTTAGGTACGATATTGTTCACGTCTGTTCCTTGTTATTCTGTGTTTCTTTAATATGTTTTGTTTGTCCCCCCCCCCTTAACCATTTCTAAGTCGAAAGATAAATGGGTCCTTGTCGTTCAATGTCGGATTGGAATCTAAATAAATCCAGTCTTGACTTTGACCTCATCCCCCAAAAGTAGATACGATGAAAGTTGATCGCTGACTTTTGAAATTTTATTTTTTCTAATGTGTGTCTACTTCATTACGCTATTTTATGCACAGAACAAAAAACTTAATAGTCTTAATAGGCTTGTGACTTTATGATAGTTTCTACCTATAGACTCTCATTGTATACCCAAGATCATGCTAGTAATATGTGAAGAAATATCATAAACTTACTCTAAAATGTGTTCATGTTGGATTAATACCATCGATACAATGAAATAACCAATTACTGGGTGATCAAAAACAAGAACCATTTACTTCTAGTTTTGAATTTGCTGAATTTGATGCCTCCCCTAAGATATTATTTCATGGCCAACAGAGAATTGATAGGAGATTAACAGAGTTAATGTAAACAACTCTTTTTAACATTGGCATATCATCTAGGGTGTATGTCTTACTCTGTGGACAACTCTCATGAAGATCGTAGGGATTATGTTTTTCCTCCCACATACTTCTTGTATATATAACTTTAGTCAAACTTTGATAATCAGGTTCAACTGTTTGATCTTTAGTGCATTTGGCAGTCATGTATATTATCGAATTTTTAATATTTTCTCTTGGTCTTGCATTGTTTTTTAATTGGTTATCTGCTAACTTAAATGCTCTGTTAATCATTTCTTTTTGAGAGCTTTGTGACTCTGGACTGGCTGCTGTTGGAGGTATTGTAATTTTGTCTGAGTTGGGGGTTGTTTCATCATTGATAGTGGTTGGTAGAAATGGATTGTTCTTATTTCTGTTTTTTGTTAGAGTGATATTCCTTACAGCTTCTATGATCTTATAAATTCCAAACTCTTTTGAGATTGTTATAATATTATGGACATCATCAGTTATTGCCACAATGCCAAGTTGGACTTTAGTAGGTGCAATACCCAATTGCATTATAAATGATTCAATGGGGTATTCACTAATGTCTGCATCAGTTGTAAGATCTGCTATGATAATAACATTCCATTCTTTTACACAGACTGGTCTATGACATACACTTGGTGCCATATACACATCAGGGTTTGCTGTAATATAAAATAGAATTACTGTAGATAGATTTTATGCGAGGCTGAATTTAGTATTGCCTGACCTAGGAATGATGTTGATCCCTGGATCTGGTCATGCACCTATGTCACTGATTTTAACTATGCAGTTATTTATCCTTCATTCATTGTTTTCAACTGGGCCTCTAGGAAGACCAGTTTTGTACTGATAGAGCTACCCAGAATAAATATAGTTTTCAAATCAAATCAAATCAAACAATGAACACTGAATGATTGATTAGATTCTACTCATGTATCTGGATTTTTTTCTCTGGAAATTGGCAGAGCATTTATAAACATTCATACATGTTAACATTCCACACAGTTTATCACCTTTTGATAACAGTTGCCGGGATTACAATAACCTTTATGGTTAAATGTGAGCTGAGAAAGAATACATACTGCCACCATTTTGAATAGGTCCAGTTATGCTATATATCCATTTCAAATTATGGATAACTGATGTATAAAGTCCAGGGATGTCTCTGAGTCCACATTCAGGAGGTCCAGACCTCACCAGACCATAAACCAACCATTCACCTGTCATGTTAGACATTAATGGGCCACCAGAATCACCCTGTTAAGAAAAGATATGAGATTACCACTTAAATATTGCCTTTCAGGTCAGTTTCAATAAAAAAACTTATTTGACGTTATTGAGATTTTTTTTTGATTTTCCATAAAATTTGTAAGCAATAAGGCTAAAGTTTGCAGTGTTACACAATAACTTAACTTATCCGTAATATATCTTAGCTTCGGCCTTCTTGCAATTTTACATACTTTCGCAATTGTTTTTGTTAAATGGGCACCAATATAATTGAAAGAATACAACTATTGAATAAAGGAATTAGTTAAAGGACATTATCACCATCTGATCATTAGAAATCAGAGCATATATATTTTAGAAATACATGTATATATATTATTAGTATATTACCTTACATGTATCAAAATTTATGCCTCCAGCACAAATGGTATCTGCTGTTACCCTGATACTATTTAGATGAAAAAGGCGCCTCATAGTTTTGTCAGAATAAGTAGATCTACACTGGTCGAAGGGCTTTGATACCAAAGGTACTTCCCTCAATACATTGGATTGCCTGCCGAATATGGCTGCAAAAGTTGATTATTATTCCATAGTTACTGTGATATTCAAAATGCCTATGTCACATTTGCTCCGATTCATCGACCGGCGCCAGGCCGATTGAGTATTTTGTTCAAAATTGAAGGTTAAATCTCAAATTTAAGGTCAGATGTGAACTCTTAAGAACTTGTATATGATATTTCTTAAAAAGTTTGAATAATTTGAAGCAAGTTGAAGTCAGTTTTGAACAAAATACTGCAATCAGCCAGGCACCGACCGATGAATAGACTAGATGCGAGTAGAAATGATCTTGATTTACGTCATAAATATTCAAAATTCAGTCAAAGTGATGTCATATTTGAAATCTACATGTAACAATACATCAAAAAATATGGTTTCGAAAATTGTTTATCAACTTTGAAAATTTAATCTTTTTTGAAAATGTGACTTCTAGTTCGGGCTGATTCCCCATAGACTCCATATTACAAAATCACAAAAAGTGAAATATCTTTTCTTGTATTGGACATATAACATTTTCTTTTACTGGACATACTTTAATTTGTATAACTATTCGATACATAAGGGCTATATGAAAATTGAACCACTAAAACAGATGTAATTTAAGTTAAAGGGAACTTTCTACTATACCCGCCATGCTATCTGACCCGAGCGAGCCACCTGGTGGTGAAACTGGTAACTACCTACTCGCATTTGCGTTATTGGGCAAATGTGACCTAGGCACAAAATATCATAATTTTTGAAAACTTTGGCCAAATCATTGTTTTATCCACCAATAGCAATTGATATCCGCACTCCCTCCTTACGCTCACTGATGCAGATATTAATAATAACTAATGACTCATATCCTCTTCATATTTAAGATTTATGTATGTTTTTATATATGAAGGGATAAATGAAGACATTCTTCAGATAGCCCATCAGATAATATGGATAAAATTCTTATTCAAGCAATGTGCATTTCTCTCACATTTGGTTATGACTCCAAATCCTATTGCTGTGAATTTCCCTTGCTTTGTCACATAATCATTGAATTTGCGTTTCAAATTTCTGTCTGGCAGTTTAGCTGGTTGTATATTTCCAGATGTTACATTTGTGTTATAACCACCAAGCTTAACCAATGCAATGTCATTTTTGTCATGTGTCTTTATCATGCTTATATTATAGGCAACTTCCAAAGCTTCAGTTTTTGTGAGGTCGTGTTTGCCTAATACTATTCTTAAGTCTACTCTCCTTTTACTGAAATAAAAATATTCTTCTTCCAATTTTTATTTATTTATTTCATTTATATACTTACACAACATGCATTTCACAATAGCATTCCTAAATCGCCAGAGGGCATTATATAGGGATGGTTCAAGTACTAATGTTCTAATAATACTAAGTTCTAGATGTGGCATTACATAGTTGTCCAGTATTCTGGATTCATGTGTTCTATTAATTCTAACAATGATATATTTAACAGGCAAAAAATGGAAGAATCATGATCGTGTCTGATAAACAATTTAGATATTAAAGTGATACATGGTGACATCAAATACATCTTTGTCACATAAAGATATATTCCTTCCCACTCCATTGTTTTCTGTATATGGTTGCTAAAATATATATTTTATATTTAAAAATGTGAGAAAATATTTTGCTATGATCAAAAACGATAAACTTGTGTATGAGCATTATACATGTTATACTGGTGTATATTGCATGCAAACCTTTTAAAGCAATGAGCTGCTGTTAGAACCCATCCATCGTTAAGTAAACTTCCACCACAAAAGTTCACCCAGCCCATTGGTTGAAACTTATCCCTTCTCTGGATGGCAGCAAACCATGGCCAACAGTGAGGTTCTGTTTCAAATCCAAGATCAACTTCACCTGTAACATTGATTTATGTCTTTATCTAGACCAACTTAGTCCTGGCACAAGTATGTCTGTAATTTTGAACTTGTGGTTGTATTTACAAATATAAATACAATCAAATTGAATGAATCATACTTATCCAAAATACATTATAATATATTCATGCCCAAGTGCTCGTGGGAAAGTACCAAATATGGTTACAGAAGACAGCAAGAAAAAGAAAACATCTAAGTGCACAATGGTCATTAGTTAACCAAACCCCAACTATAACAAATTATCATCAAACGTGAAGAGAAATTATGTCTAATACCCCTCCCCCTCACCAATATCATAATTCGAGATACATGTAAAAAAAATACATTTAAAATTGATAGCCAATATTCATAACATAGTTGTTATAAAAATAGTTGTAGATACTAGTATTCATGCAAGACTCAAACTTGTAGAAATTGGTCTCCTTTTGTAATTTAATCTATTTTTTAAAACTGAAGTTTGCTTCTCTGCCATTTTTACTTTTTATATTAATCTTATCACAACACCGGAAATATTGCATACAATGGTGAATAATATAAAATAACAAACATACTGCATCCATAATCATGCTTTGGAGGAAAAGGTTGCAATTGTCGAAACTCATTTGCAATGTCAAATAATGCTGTATCGGACTCATTCCGTATGTCGAAGAATCGCTTGGCTCCAAACCTAGAGTTAGCTCCCTCAAAATCACCCTTTATGTCATAGTATCGCTGCACATTACTTTTTTGAAGGTTGTCTACTATGGAACGTAAGCCTTTAACTTTTGGCTTTCTTTTCCTAAAAGAATTTTATAGAGATCAGGTTAACATTTTAGTAAAGACACAAGATTCAAACTGAACACCATCTCATTCACAAAAACATGATTCTTATATTTTTGCAACTCGTATATATCAGGAAAGTTCAAAGTATTTTATTTATTCATTTATAAAGCAGATACTTACTTATTTATCAGAACTGTAAATAGATCAACTCCATATAGAACCAAATCATTCAAAACATTGTCTATGTTTTTTACCGATTTTGAATCTGTCATTCCATCTGTAAACAGGATAGCAGCCATGGCCTTTACTCTCCTCCTATTCGGACTTCGTGGTGTAGTGTCAAATGGCATGTGATCTTCGTATAGCGATCTTAACGCTACATCAGTTTTTGGTTTGCATTTCTTCTTGCTAAGATCTATTTCCTCATTGATATTGTCATAGCTTAAGAAATACCTTTCAAAGGATTCCATCTCAAAGGAAACTTTTACATCCTTGTCAAATATAATTGCGCCTACTTTGAAGTTTGAACTTCTTCTCCCAACTTCTTCTACTGTTGTTAACTATTACAAACACAAATATGAGTTTTCCATTTCTAATTTAAACAAAGTGTAGCATATATAGTACTGGAAAATATACTGCATTAGAAAAGATACTGTAGAAACTAGTATTCAAAGTCTAAAATGTTGAAAATGAAATTTTAAAATCTGTATTTGTTTTTGGACAGGAAGCTTTGGCTTAAGACCTTGCTCTATGTTTACTCCAAAGTCTGAGGAAACGTGGCCCAAAGGGCCAGACAAGTTTTACATTTGCTTTAAATGCACTGTAATAATACTGAATATGACTTACATGAATAACAATAATCATCCATTATTGATATGGCAACAAATACATCTAGAAAAATTTTAGGCGGCGGAAAATTCAGTAGTTATATATTAGAAATGATGTTAAAAGTTCAATTGTTCAAGCGAAAAACTATTTTATTGACAGTGAAGTGATTTTGAAAAATTGTATCAATAGGAATTTCAATAAAATATTTAATTCCATATTGGAAATTGACTCCTGGGTAAATCTTGAAAATTCAAATTATTCAAATTGTTCCATTGTAAATCTAGAGTAAAAACATGACTGCATCATTGAACCTGTCTCGGGTACTAAATATTTTGTTTGTTGGGATTAGCTTCTCCGTGGAGTTGCTGTTTTCTAGTTTTTAAATCAAAAGAAATAATCTTAATTACAATGACATACAGATGTATGTTTACCTGCAAGTTCATAGTCAGTACAATGTTTAATTATTATTTACAAATGTGCATAGTTATTTATCTCTATTATATTATTTATTCAAGATCAAAAACATCAAAGGTTTAAAAAGTAAATGCAATCTTACTTACATATGTTAAATTTTTAATCAAATTCAAAGAAAAATTGAGTGCTTTGTCCAGTGCCTTTTCATCCCTTTCACAAGAAACATCAAACATTAACATCAAATTGAAACAAGCTGAAAATGTAAAAGTATGGTTAATTCAGCTCAAACTGTTTGGTGCCTGTTTGTATTATAGCTTATAAGCTTGCATAAAAATTCAATACGGGAACCTGTCACCTGTTGCGCATGTTTAGAATTAGATAACTTTTTACCTATTCAGCATTTTCATGTCACTATACATTAAAATATGAATTATTTATTTTATAATGTACATAAAAGTATTTTTTGAAACAGAAACATGCCAAATTGAATATGGCTAACCATAGACAGTTGACCCAAATTTATGCTACCATTCTGGTCCACATATATACTTTATATTGAAAAAAGGTCATGTGGTGCTAACCCAAGGCTCATCTCAGGATCTGATGAAGGTATTTCTGAATTCATGGGGACTTTTTATGGCTAAAGAATGATTTGAACAGATTTATTATCCATTTAAATTTAAATAAACTGATAAGGAAGGTATCATATTCTCACTTGACTTCGATAACAATAAATTGTCAATGTTACGAGACCAATAATGCTATTTTGAACAAAGTACTGTAATAATATTTTATTTGCTTGAAAATCTATAATATGTGTACATTTACATACGTTTATATGTCACTATTGATTCTCCTTGTCCATTGACCCCAGCTTCCATGAGGGTGAAAATGACTAGTATCATCCGCAGAGTAACTCGTCTCATGTTTGCTACATTTATTTCAGCTCATTAAATAAAAGTGATCTAAACATTCAAGCAATGTTTGATTTTGCATTGTTTCAGTTGACTGCTTATGTATGCTCAATTGTACATAAAATGGTACATTAAAGTGAATAAAAATAGATATAGCATGAGAAATAAATTACATTTAATCTCAGTGAAGTTGTTTTAGCTTTATATTATAATATTGTACATTAATTTGTTAGATCAAGTAAACAGCAGGTTCATATTTATAATGTTCTCTTCAAGTATTTATCCATACTTATATTCATACATTTTGATTGTACTTGAAAAACATTATTCTGCTGTCATCTTTTGCTGAAATGCACACATACAGATAAAGTAAGAGAGCAAGACACTTGTTTCATTTTTAACAGATTATAGAAATGTGCTATTTTATCATTGAACATGTAACATTTTGTGTTGTTTTCTCTCTTTTATGGTATACCATTTAACGCTGTAATTAATGTATGACCTACTTTCCTTCTATACTATTAGATACCATGTAAAGATCGTAAACGTCTAGCATATGGGGTCTATGTATCCCAGCTTATTAGATATGGCAGGGCATGCTCTAAATATTTAGATTTTAAGTCAAGACACAATACTTTTGTGATCAAACTGTTAGGTCAAGGTTATACTTGTATAAAGCTTAAGAAATACTTTCTGGGCTTTGCTGAAAAATACAAATCATTTATTTCAAAGTTTCAAGTTTTACCACTTGAGATGCTGAATGATGTAGGAATTGTTTAAGACATTGGCGCTGAACTCACAATATTTTCACTTGGCACCTTTTGAGGTGGATCCCCGCTATGGCATTAATGGTTGAGAAATAGGGATCGAAACCAACCATAGTTTTCTCCTGATGACCATTGTGAATTATTGTGTTTTATGGATTATGGCGACAGCTTTTGTGAATGGATGTTGACCCTTTGAAACGCTTATGGACTTGGAGACTGGATTTTATCTATCACACATCATTTGAGACTGAATGCTCTATCTTGTATGAGTACTTGTTGTATCTACAACTATATTTGAGGTTATGAGTATTGCCTATCAATTTCTAATTTTTTCTTCAACATGTATTGTAATGACTTCAGTATGAATGGAATGTCCCTTGGTCTTCTGGTCTTGGATTGTGATATTGGTTCTTGAATGGTGGGGGGAAAGAGGGTATTAGACATTGTTTCTTTTCACGTTAGATTATGGTTTTGGGCTATATGGGGTTTGTTTTTCTTGACTGGTATGTACTTAAAGTTTGCTTTTTCTTGCTAAGTTCCATTACAACTTTTAGTCCTTTCCCTTTGGCACAAGTGCTTATATATATAGAGAGTTTAGTTATATTTACTGCTATTATTTTAGGAGTCTATTACACGTTTTAATGAGTTAATCGATTCTCTTTGCTCTTTTATTATGGTGATATATGAGTATATCTAGTTTTTTAAATCTCTTAAAGCATCACCACAAATCAGCTCACTGAGCCAAACAGATTGGCTCCAGGCATCGGGTTTGAGCCTGTCTTTTAGCTCATTATGATAACACTCCACCTTTTTATTGTAAGTATATGGTTGATATTTAGTTCCAACCCAGATACGTCTTGTGTGAACTTTTGTAATTGTAATTGTATTTGGCAAAAAATCTAATGCATCCTGAGCTTCCTCATCAATGCAAGTAGCAGACATAAATATAAAAGATGTCTGAACACCTTCTCTTTTTCTCACATTGTTATCTATTTGATCCTTTGCTAACTTAAAGGCTCTTTTTATATTTCTCTTTCTTTTGTTTCCATTACCTCTAAAACTTTGAGAGACATTTCTAAAAGCCTCAATAATCTCAAGGATTTTGAACTCTCTTGAGATTGTTATTACATTTTGAACAACATCGGTTATTGCCACAATACCAAGTTGGACTTTAGTTGGTGCAATACCCAATTGCATTATAAATGATTCAATGGGGTATTCACTAATGTCTGCATCAGTTGTTAGATCTGCTATGATAATAACATTCCATTCTTTTACACAGACTGGTCTATGACATGCATTTGGACCCACATACACATCAGTGTTATCTGCAATAAGAATTTCATACAAACATTTAAATGTACCCTATGATACAGAATTTTACAGGGTGTTTCATATGTATGCACCCCCCCCCCCCCCTATCATTTGTTCTTAACAGAAAGTCACTTAAGATTGCAAAGTTTCAGAATCTAGGGGGTGTCTCTAAAAAGAGAACCTATGTTTCAAAGTATGTGGGTACAGGGGTCATTTAGATGACAATTTCTGGTCATTTTTGGACTCAATCCACTGATCTGTCTTTTTGTCTGTTACCCATTTTTGGCTCATTAGTGATAAAGGTCACACCAGTGTGCGCTGTCTCCCCATAAGCCATTGCAGGAGTCCTATCTATATATCTTTGTGCATAACTGTCACACACGTGTGGACTGAACTCTGGCATGATGGTAACTACTAGAAAACGGAAACTAAATGGTTCCCCTCTAAATGACCCATGCAAACATACTTTGATATCTTTTTTCAGGGATGAAAATGAAAATTTAATACATGTACATACTGTCACCATTTTGAATTGGTCCAGTAATGCTATCTATCCATTTCAAATTATGGATAACTGATGTATAAAGTCCTGGGATGTCTCTGAGTCCACATTCAGGAGGTCCAGACCTCACCAGACCATAAACCAACCATTCACCTGTCATGTTAGACATTAATGGGCCACCAGAATCACCCTTTATAAGAAAAATGAACTGAAGATTCATGATTTTTTTCTTTAAAATAAGACTGACTTCCTAGGAATCTTTTGTGTATCTCTAAATTATGATTATTACCGTACTTGTTATTGTCAATTTACTTTTTAACCAGCTTCAGGTGGTAAGATGTTTCCTTGCTACTGTCCCATATTTCAAAATTTATATTCATAATCTTACCTTGCAAGCATCAAAGCGTAATCCTCCAGCACAAATTGTATCTGCAGTTACCCTTTCTCTCACACTAAAAAGACGTCTTGTGTCCTTGTCATCATAGGTTTTCTTGCATTGATCAAGTGGTTGGGATTTCAGTGATATTTCCCTCAGAACTTCAGATTGTCTGCCCCATGTTGCTGCAGTAAAGAAGGGATTCAATTAAACAATAACCCAAGATATGATCATAACATCATTAGATAATGACACCACTGAGGAAATAATTTTTTCACAAAATATTTCCAAATGTTCTGTATTCATCACCAAAGATTGAATGCATTAGAGATATCTAGATCAAAATGAAAACCTTGGGCTAAAAAGATACTGGTCAGCAGTGTCTATTTCATTGAGATTAAACAATTGATGACTAATTATTTATTAGTAATTTCTCCCAAAATATAGATTCCTTTAAACCAGTTGAAAGCAGTTCTGGAAAGGCATTCGATGAGTTTAGATGATGTTCATTGTAATTATATTCTTCTGCTTTATGGACAATGATGGCAGATTTGTGATCTTTTGACCATATTATGGATTTTGTGTCATACATCATTTGAAATTGAATTCTGTTTGTTGTTTGAGTATTCTCAAAAACTATTTTGATATGATATTTTCTGCATAGTCTTTACCTCTATTGCAGCTTTACTTACACATTTCTTAAATACTTTAATACTTTGAATATTATATTCTCACATTTTGTTATGACTCCGAATCCTATAACACTGAATCTGCCATGGTTGTTCACATAATCCAATAATGCTTTTTTCGCCTTTCTGTCAGGTAGTTTGGCTGGTTTGATTCTTCTGAATTTAATATCGGGGATACCATCAAGCTTTACCAAGGCAATGTCATTTCTGCCATGTGCTTTTATCATACTTATATTATAAGCAGCTTCCCCCTCCTCAATTTTAGTGAGATCATGTTTGCCCAATACAATTCTCAAGTCTTCTTCTTTTTTCCTTAAATGAAAAGATTGAGTCGGTATTAGTTTCATTCCATTAGAATTAAGTTTTTAATGTGACTTAAACGTGACCAGTATTCTAAGCATTTTATGTGTTTCACCAATTTTGATGATAGTAAATTAATACCAGAGATAAATTGAGGATATCCTAAGATTTTTGAGGTATACCATTTTTATCTATGAGTGGATATTGTTCATATCAACGAGTATCCAATGGATACTATTTTTAAGACGTCATATGAGTCGGATACGATTTTAGTGGCACATACCAGAGTTATCTTGTGTCGTTTTCCACAAACTGTATATGTTAAGTATCCATCGGATAAATAGTGATTAACTATGAAGAAAATAATGAGATGTGGTTCATTATATAACCACCACAAGTGATGACATATTGTTATAGTCTCCAACTTTTATGTTGACAGTGATCAGCAGTTGGATTTTTGTGGTCAACGTCTTAACTTAGCAGGTGATGACATTTTTTTATGTTTATGCCTTGTGTTTTTGTTGTTTATGCAGTCTCTATAGTGAAATATCATATCTCAATTAAACCTTTTAAAGCAATGAGCTGCTGTTAGAACCCAGCCATCATTAAGTAAACTTCCACCACAAAAGTTCACCCAGCCCATTGGATGAAACTTATCCCTTCTCTGGATGGCAGCAAACCATGGCCAACAGTGAGGTTCCGATTCAAACCCAAGATCAGGTGCGCCTGTAATTTTGTAAAGTAATGTTTGCCTTAAGATGTTTACTCTTTAAACATATATGTATATGGTACTAGTCCACAGACTTCATATATTCTCTGAAATTGTCTCTGTAATATCTACTACCAGTCTTCAGACCTTTGCAATAGCTTAACCTACAAGCTAGTTTTCAGGTTTACAAATAGTAACTGTATGTTTAACCAGATGACATTTTGACATGTGAATAACGGGTTTATAAGATTCTGCCTACTAATAATGTAAATCTAAACTAACCCAGGTGATAAACCATATTTGGAGGAAATGGCTGTTCCCTTTTAAATTCAGCTACAATGTCTTCCATAGTTGACTTATTTCTTATATCAAAGAATCTTTTTGCCCTGAAGTTGTATTTCTTGTTCGCAACTGGGCCTTTTATATCAAAGTATCTCTTGGCATTACTTATTTGTAGCTTGGGGATAATGGAGTGCAAAACTTTTTCATTTTTTCTACTCCTAAAACAAATGTGTTTAGAGGTATGATATCTATATTATAGATGCAATGTCCATGATGGGCATAGTATTACTAGATATAGTACTAGTATAAAGATCATCAAGATATCGTCATACTGGATATGGCTACAAAATGCATACGATAAGAGTTAGCATACAGTATAGTTTACATATACATGTAGCAAAGCAGAATTAGAATAATAATTTATACTTACATATTTATCTGAACAGTGAAAAGATCTATGTGAAACAGAACTACATCATTCAAAACATTGTCTATATTCTTGACTGATTTTGAATCTGTCAGTCCATCTGTAAACAGGATAGCAGCCATCGCCCTTTTTCCACAAACTTTTGTTGATTCAATTTCCATGTGGTTTTCATAAAGTGATCTTAATGCTATATCAGTCTTTGTTTTGCATTTTCTCTTTGTACTCATTATTTGTTTAATGAGTTTATAAAGGCCAGCGATATATGCTTCATATGGTTCCATGCCAAGATAAAGCTTTACTCTCTTATCAAATGCAATAACTCCAACTTTCAAGGGAGCATTTTCTGGATGTCGGGACACGCTCTAAAATTCAGAAGTTGCAAAGTATATTATCATATACCAAACTTTTTAATTGATTTTTAGGCAAAATTGACCATGGTGAAATTAATTCAATGACAAAAACATCTGATTAAGATACGATCCTCAAAAATAGTTATGGAGACTTGGATGAGTTGTGGAATCAATGTTACTCTAGTTAAGCAGTTTACTTTAAAAGATAAACTGTTGACATACATTAGATATTACTGATGATGTTAAATGTAAAGTTAAGTTGATATGAATTTGTAAATGAACATAACTAGGCCATACACACTTTCTTTTATACCCTTCTGTGTTCCTAAGGTAACGAAGAGAAGCTGCAAATATATCATTTTGCAATGATGAATTGTAATAGGCCCATTTAAGAAACACATGGCAGTCATCTTGGAAAATTTGGGGCGTTACACGCTATTTTATGATTTTTGGTATAAATTGAAAAGTAGTGGAGCGATTTTCTTCATATTCAATATGTGATGATTATAAGCATGGCACATTGTCTTTTGACACTTTGACACTTTTAGGGGGCCATTTTGAAATGGCAGACATTTTACACATGTCATTTATGTTCATGAATTTTTCATGACTTTTTTGACTATATTGATTGATATTAGTATGTCACACTGTTTTAGGACACTAAGAATGGTTTTATTTATATTTGGTATGTGACTTTTTTTGTTTTATGTAGTTTGCTGTCACTAAAATTGTAGTGAAGCAATTTTGTAAAGAGGATAGCCATGGCTGTTTGATGAGATTTGCTATTCCTTGGCATTGCTGTTTTTTACCAATGGTTGCAGCCATAATAGCTAAAGCATCCCAGTGCTACTTTACATGTCTCAGTGGTAATTGACATCTGTTATTTTATCAATTGCATTTTGCTTCATTTATTTTTGCCACTAAGGATATTAAGGATTAAGGATATTGGGAAGTCATCCATCTGGTTGTTCGTTCAACTGCTCATCTGTCAATATTTCCATATCCAGTCAATAACTCAAATACTGGTTTACTTATTTTATTAAAAGTTTATAGGCAAAATTGTGATAATTGAAATAGCCACCAGTTTTCATAAAATAATGTAATCTTTATTAACTCAAGTTCGTTGGGATGTGCTACTTCCTAGAGTAGCTGCTTTTCTTGTTTAATGTATAATGTAACCTACCATAATTTTTTTGATTAATCCCACAGAAAAGTTAACTGCATTGACAAATGCTGTGTCATCCCATTCACACGATACATCAAACACCAACATCAAATTGAAACAAGCTAAAAATAAGAGATTGTGTCCAGTTAAAAGATTAATGGCACATATAGGATTTTTATGGTTAATTCAATTTCAGAAATCAATATCTTTCAGAAAAATACAATTACTGTACAAGTGGAAACTTTGACAAAGTGCAAACAAACCGGTATGTTTGAAACCACATAGATCTGATTGTCAAGTAAATATAACAAGATTGTTCTTGGGTTACTATTGTCACTTGTCAAAAGTGGCAGCCAGTTTCCCAGTTGATATATTTGAGCAAACAATATGCTCAAATTTGTTTATTGTTTTGACAGATCACAAGAAGTAGGTTGCATTTTTGAAGTGCCTGCGGGCGAGTGCATTGCATAATATATAATATACACTTTCCGATGACAATTTGGCTGGTGAGCAACCATTTTGAAATATTTGAATATTTATTCGAATTGACTAAAACACTTTGGAAGTAAATAGAAATCACTGAATAGTTTTTGATTTTTTTATTGTCTCAAACACAAAAGTTTCAAGAAATCATAAAATAGTACCCTTCCCACAACAATGGAAAAATAACAATTCTGAATTTCATTCTGTTGTCTCTAACATTTAAAGTATTGGCAAAATGATCTGTCAAGTGTCATCATAAATTAGGTATAAATCCAATGTCTGTAATTTCAGTTTTTCGAAAACATTGACTAAACATGGGGATATCATCATATATTAATATGCAGCTGGAGACAAAATAAAAACAAAAGATGTGAACTTTGCAAAGCTTCTCCTACTTTCCAAGGTCAAGGTCAAAATTTTTTCTTAACAATGTTCTTTAATAATTTATCATATTTTCTCATTTTTGTAATATTTCTTTTTACAATTGATCATTTTGTAAATTAGGCCCCTGCTGAAATCTCAAATTAATAAAAATCTGTAATCTTGTATGATGCTCAACACATTCAGAATTTGTCAATGAATTAGTCATTAGACTGTAACAATGATTTTAAATCAAACAGTGTTTAATGAGTCATACCACCCACTGTGAGTTTGGAGTCCATTTTGATACTATTTTTCAGTTGAAATCGTATAAAATGTTCTTAATGCCAAAGAGTATGATATTTTTACTTATTTATTATCTATTCAAAACAAATCTTTAAAAACAAAAAAAATCATTTGAAAAATGACCTATGCGTAATCCCAAATAAATGATAAATGGTAATGTTGTGTGATGCTCAACAAGCATTACTTTGTTCAGTGATATAAAATCTACCGATACAATCTATTTGAAACAATGGTGGGTCAACAGGAAGAAGTTTGTCAATTTCTTTACTACTCTATGTCAAAGTTTCCACATCTAAGTAGATAAGTTTTTAGTTTTTATGGTTTCTTTATTTTACTTTACAATATGATTTACAAATGACAGGGCCGAGGCTGAAACTCAGCATTATTGGCCCTGTTAGTACAAAGTTTATTCAAATTTACAAAATAGCAACAAAAATGACTACCAACATGTATGTATGCATGGCAGAAATGTGTTAAAACTATTTAATTATATCAATGCATTCACACAAAAAGGATGTAAAATGCTTCAATATTGAAGAATTGCATGTTATGCTAACTCCATCTCTGCCATACATTAAGATATTCTGCTTTTGCTCTGTAGAGCATCCTGTAAAGAAAATGTTCATTTCTGGCATGTTCCTGAGTTCCCCCCCAAAATTTCTCTCTTATAACATTCAACAGAGGGCATTTGAAGATTAGATGCTTTGTGGTTTGTTGTTTAAAACCACAGATGCATTTGGGACTGTCAATACCTTGAAAATTATGTTGGAAAAGATGACCAGTAAAAATGAGATCACATCTTGTTCTATTCAATAAAATTTCTTCTTTTCTTGTAAGATCCAGGTTTGTGGTTGTTAATTGCTTCGTTTCCCTGAAAATTTACGTAAATTGGTTTTGAAAGTAACTCTTGATGGTGAACTTTTTAGATAATTTGGAATGGCTTCCCATTCACTTATGGCATTTATTATTGGTGACTTTTGTGAATGTGTAGTTAACTTTGGAATAGTGTATTCTCTTAACTTTCTTAGATTAATATTATGTTGCTTATTTTGATAACTATCAAAAAAATTTTGGACATAAGGTGGAACCAATTTCTGTCTAACATCATACATTAAACGTAAGCGTTTCTCCTTTCTCCGCTCAGACAGGGTATTCCAATTTAGACATTTCAAAACCTTAACAGTGGATGTTCCATGAATGCAGCCACTTACTAATAATGCTGCTCTATAGTGAACTTGGTCTAGTTTCATAATATTATACTTAGTAGATTTTTCAAATAATATACTTTCATACTCTAACATCCTCTCTAAGTGTTTAGCTCGAATCTTGTTCTTGAGAAGTTTCAATGGATTTAACATTTTTTTTTTTTTTTTTTTTTTTTTTTTTTTATTAAAATCAATGTAACATATTTACAGGTTGTAGTGGCTATGACCCCCATGAGGGAGTATTAGGTGCCACATAATGGTATTTACAATGATTTGTGAAATATTATGAGAAGTGTACATGTAATTGTGTAAAGTATGATATTGTACATAATTGAGAAAATAAACTGATTTAATGGAAATGATTAAAGGTCTCTTCTACAATAACAGGTGCAAGCAGTAAAAATTATATTACATGCTTTTATGATATCCTGTAAATGGGCTTCAAAATTCAAATGCTCATCTAGAATGACTCCTAAGTGTTTATGGGTTCTGGTTCTATTTATAACCTCATTTCCTAGGTAGAGAGGAGGATATAAGAGATTGCATCTCTTGAGCCTTTAAAAATCATATCTTGACTTTTAGAAGGTTTAAATTTAAGCTTCCATTTCTGGGACCATTCCCATAAATTATCTAAGTCAGCTTGTAAATGCTGGTTTTGTTCAATGATATTAGCTTGCAAGTAGAAATGATCTTGATTTTCATCATTGAATAACAAATAGTACCGCATCATTCATTATTTTGTCAAAGTGATGTCATGTTAGAAATCCACATACAATATTACATCAAGCAAAATTCCAAATTTGAAATATTATCAGCCTTATTATTATTATGTCGCTTTTATTCCCATAATAAAATGGATTAAACATGTAAACATAAATCAATCAAACAATACAACAATACAATAATAATTTTAGTTTTCATTTCTTGGAAATTTGATATATTATCAGCCTTAAGATTTTAGTTTTCTTTTCTTGGAAGTTTGACTTCTAGGTAACCCTCTAGTAATTAATAAAGACTGATATCTTTGATAATTTTTTGAAACTATATAAAACCATGAACCGCTTTCAATAGCTTTGTAATCACATATGTTATGGCCATTGCTCTCCAGACTTTATTACATACAATTGTCTGTTGATCTATTCATATTAAAGTAAAATTACATACGTAATCCAGGTGGTGGCACTAATCCAGGTGGTTGCCCTAATCCAGGTGGTTGACTATCTGTCATTGACAGACAAAGTATCAATAGACTAGATACAAAGGCTGTCTTCATGGCTGTGTAGTCAAATAATTGTATGATATTAAATTTATTCAAACTATCACAAAGTAATATGGATGCTTGTTTACACAATACCACATAGATCAGTATTTATTGTGGATATAAAGCTTGCTGTAAATATTAATATATGATTTTTTTTACAATTTGTCAGTTTGTCAATAGTTTTACAGGTTAGACACATCTTGGTCTATGTCCAGTTATCAATTACATATGTCTTTCCAAACATTATACAGTGTTTACATGTTCTACATTATATTTCCAAACTCCATTGCAATGTTTACCTTCTATATTTCCAAACAGCATTGCATCATTGCAATGTTTGCCTTCTATATTTCCAAACATCATTGCAATGTTTGCCCTCTGTATTTCCAAACATCATTGCAATATTTGCCTTCTATATTTCCAAACATCATTGCAATGTTTGCCCTCTATATTTCCAAACATCATTGCAATGTTTGCCTTCTATATTTCAAAACATCATTGCATTATTTGCCTTCTATATTTGCAAACATCATTGCAATGTTTGCCTTCTATATTTGCAAACATCATTGCAATGTTTGCCTTCTATATTTGCAAACATCATTGCAATGTTTGCCTTCTATATTTCCAAACATCATTGCAATGTTTGCCTTCTATATTTCCAAATATCATTGCACTGTTTGCTTTCTATATTTCCAAACATCATTGCAATGTTTGCCTTCTATATTTCCAAACATCATTGCAATATTTGCCTTCTATATTTCCAAACATCATTGCACTGTTTGCCTTCTATATTTCCAAACATCATTGCAATGTTTGCCTTCTATATTTGCAAACATCATTGCAATGTTTGCCTTCTATATTTCCAAACATCATTGCAATGTTTGCCTTCTATATTTGCAAACATCATTGCAATGTTTGCCTTCTATATTTGCAAACATCATTGCAATGTTTGCCTTCTATATTTCCAAACATCATTGCAATGTTTGCCTTCTATATTTCAAAACATCATTGCATTATTTGTTTTCTATATTTCCAAACATCATTGCAATGTTTGCCTTCTATATTTCAAAACATCATTGCATTATTTGTTTTCTATAGTTCCAAACATCATTGCAATGTTTGCCTTCTATATTTCCAAACATCATTGCAATGTTTGCCTTCTATATTTGCAAACATCATTGCAATGTTTGCCTTCTATATTTGCAAACATCATTGCAATGTTTGCCTTCTATATTTCCAAACATCATTGCAATGTTTGCCTTCTATATTTCCAAACATCATTGCAATGTTTGCCCTCTATGTTTCAAAACATCATTGCATTATTTGCCTTCTATATTTGCAAACATCATTGCAATGTTTGCCTTCTATATTTCCAAACATCATTGCAATGTTTGCCTTCTATATTTCCAAACATCATTGCAATGTTTGCCTTCTATATTTCCAAACATCATTGCAATGTTTGCCTTCTATATTTCCAAACATCATTGCAATGTTTGCCCTCTATGTTTCAAAACATCATTGCATTATTTGCCTTCTATATTTGCAAACATCATTGCAGTGTTTGCCTTCTATATTTCCAAACATCATTGCAGTGTTTGCTTTCTATATTTCCAAACATCATTGCAATGTTTGCCTTCTATATTTCCAAACATCATTGCAGTGTTTGCTTTCTATATTTCCAAACATCATTGCAATGTTTGCCTTCTATATTTCCAAACATCATTGCAGTGTTTGCCTTCTATATTTCCAAACATCATTGCAGTGTTTGCTTTCTATATTTCCAAACATCATTGCAATGTTTGCCTTCTATATTTCCAAACATCATTGCAATGTTTGCCTTCTATATTTCCAAACATCATTGCACTGTTTGCCTTCTATATTTCCAAACATCATTGCAATGTTTGCCTTCTATATTTCCAAACATCATTGCACTGTTTGCCTTCTATATTTCCAAACATCATTGCAATGTTTGCCTTCTATATTTCCAAACATCATTGCAATGTTTGCCTTCTATATTTGCAAACATCATTGCACTGTTTGCCTTCTATATTTCCAAACATCATTGCAATGTTTGCCTTCTATATTTCCAAACATCATTGCAATGTTTGCCTTCTATATTTCCAGATATCTTTGTTTATTTTGATATTGTTGGGTGGGAATTATTGGTTATTTCTACATAACCTTCTGAATAAAGGTTATTAAAAATAGAATATATATCCAGACATCAAAGTTTACATGTTTTGTATTTTCAGATATCTATGTTTGCATGTTCTGTAATTCTAGACATCAATGTTTACATGTTTTGTTTATCCAGACATCAATGTTTATATCCAGGCATCAGTGTGCTATATTATGCTATGCAGTATGCTATGTTCTATATTACCAGACATAATTGTATGTTATTGTATTTCCAGACATCAAAGTTTACATGTGCCATATTTCCAGACATCAATGTTTACTTGTTCTGTATAACCAGACATAATTGTTTATTTTATTGTATTTCCCGACATCAATGTTTACTTGTTCTGTATAACCAGACATAATTGTTTATTTTATTGTATTTCCCGACATCAATGTTTACTTGCTCTGTATAACCAGACATAATTGTTTATGTTATTGTGTTTCCAGACATCAAGTGGTGAAGTGAATGATGATGACAATGAAGATTATGATGAGACAGAGGAAGATGACAGGTTAAAGTTCAAAGAGGACCTCTGTTGTATTGGGGTGTTTGCTCGTAGAAACCTTGGCTACACACTACCTCTATTATCCAAGTATGACACCATTTACATATGATACAACATTAATGCCATCTTTTTATTTTCTAAATCTTATTTTCATTCATCTTTCCATATACAAGGTGGTAAAAATGGAAATCCTACCTCTATTTTCCTTATATTTTTGTCATTTTTGGGAAATACACCCTGATATTTTTCACATTATTTGAACATCATTCAATTTTCTACCAACTAACCATTATATCATGTCCGTATTCCATGTTAAATTCATTTGTCGATGTTAGAACAAATGTAGCTAATGCAAATCTACTTTCCGTGCCAGATATATTAATTTAAAAAAGTAAGTGGAAATCGTTTGGGAAATGATTTTGTCATATTAATATCCAATACCACACGCATCTAAGATTGTTGGTCAATACTGACTTGGCATTGGCATATACTGTTAGGTCTGTAAGAAAAATATAAATAAATAAGAGAAATTATTGTCGGCCAAGACCTTTGAATATACGGAAATACTTTGTAGATTGTTGGAAGGTAGAATACAGCGTCTCCATGGACAACTACAGAGAATGCAGCAGGTCTCATCACCTGGTAACCATGTTGCTATGGATACCTCAATGCTATCAAGTCTGAATGAAGACCTCCATTGGACCTTGCTTATCATTGGTAATGTTTTGACTATGTATTATGTATAAAGGAAAAATTCTTAAATACATGGACCATTTATTAATATTGGTGAGCATTAACGTGATAAAAACTGATTATATTCTTATCTTCCCATTGTTGTTTCTCATTGTACCTCTCTGAGAAAACACAATGGGCAGTATTTGAAAACATAAAAAAAAGTTTCATCCCATATGTACATGTATATACAAAAAAAACAATAACACTGTAGAATATGATATAAAAAATGCTGAATTAAAAGCAGAAACCACATATCTCTTACACAAGGTTTGCTAATGACATTTCCAGCAAATGTAATAACAAGGGACCCAGAAGGTGAAACTCCAATGATACCCTCAGAGATCATGGAACATTCTATAGAACAAAATAAATCTATTGACCTACAGACCAGTCTTAAAGTACTTGCCTCACCTGGTGAAGATGTTGCTACAATACCAGGTGCCGACACATCAACTGATCATATTATTAGGTAAACTTTTAGGAGCTTAAAGGCCACATATAAGTTTTGTTCAAATATTGAGTCAATTATGCTTTCAGCTGAGGCCTTCCACAATTAAGATATCATATCTGTAATTACCATACTTGAATTCATTGGGATATAAAAAACTTAAGCCTTTAAAAAGAAAATTTCAAACACCCTATCTGGAATTCAACCCCCAACCTTCTAGCTGTTTGCTTATGAGGATGCAGAACATTAACATTTTTATATAAATCATCATAATAATACAATGGATATGGAATAAATAATATATAATATGAGTCCACCAGCTAATGGCTCAGTGGCAGAGTCAAGGTTACCACTATCGCTTGGCCTCGGGTTCGATTCCTGGTTCAGACAAGTTTGGTTGTGCGTTATGTAATTCTGGGTGTTTGACTGAGTGGTTCACAACTCGTGTAAAAGGCTGTGGTGTGTACCTGTATGTCTATGTACCCGTTCACAGAAAAGGACACAGGGCTCCTCCAAGGAGGGGTTTCTGGCTATATCTTTGAGTGTAAAATACGTAAAATACAGAATATACCAATTAGGTATTGCTCCCCAAATATGGTGGAAACCAAGATACAATACAATATGGAATAAATGAGCAATGAAAAAAAATAATAATACAGAATTCCTAAACATGTTAAAAGAAATTTTGGTGCAAAGTACTATACCTTAAACACACACATCTGAATCGTACATTGTCTTGATTTGTCAATGGCTTGTTGATTATCATCATCATGTATTGTGTATTGATGTTTCAGACTCATATCTGCTGTATTCAAGCTATGTGAAGTGGAAAAACGTGCAGTTGCAGCTAACCTTACACATCTCCTTAGTCCCCAAGTTGCTAGTACACTAATGTGGTTGCTATGGCGGTGGGTTCCAGCCTTTTTACTACCAGATGAAAATTACTACGCACAAGTAGGCATTTATGGATCTTATAATGTATTTTTTATTGATTTATTTTAAACAAAAATATCCATTTAGTAAAAGTATTATGATTAATTTGAGTCTAGCTTTCTAGCTTTCAACCTTATATGTAAAGTGAAGGACATAAACAAATCTCTATTTCTGTTGATATTAAATGTTTTAAGTTGATGCTTCATGTAATTGTAATTGTAACAGGTCGTTGTAATTGCTAGATAATACATGTACAAGAATTAAAAGTCAAATAAATTAAATTATATATGCAATATGTTTCATAAGTCCCTGATCTACCCCTGCAAAGTTAATTCATGAACAATGAGATTAAATACTAATTTTTGTAAAAAGATTCAAAATGTTCCCCGATTGTAGATCAGTCCAGCCATCCAATCAGCATTTGGACGAGACACAGAGGGTGGCCAATGGGTCATGAATTTCTTGCTGGAGAAAATTGTATCAAACCTTTCCGTGTGGTCCTCAGAGGAATCTCTTATACTAGATACAGTGCAGCTATTCTCTATGATTGTAGAGAATAAACATAGGTTTGTAAATATGTTTGTAGAGTATATAGCATGTGATATTGGTTTTATAAATATTTAAGATCTACTAGTCAAAATACCATACCGATTGAATGATTTAGGTTTTGATCGTTTCATGTTTAGAATCTTTCAAATGAGTTGCTCCATGCACTAGCTGTGTATGTATTAGGACTGACTTACAGAAAGTCAGCAAAAGGGGCATAATACTAGTAAGTTATACACAGAATTTTAAAACTGGAACATTATTGCCATGCTTGATTGTCCAGGTATAAAACAGGTCGTATCATCAAAACTATTGAGTCAGATCTCACATTGGTACAGTACCCACTTGCTATAATTCCAGTGAGACCAATAATATAGTTTTTGTCAATTTTAGATGCAGTAGTGCAATGAAGTGTCCATCAGTATGGCAGTTGGCAAAAGAAGAAGCAGCCAATCAGCCACCACTTAGTATTCTGCCCTGCTCAGGAAAGAGGCATTTGTTACGAGCTCTGGTACTGGCTGGATCTGCTAGCCTTGAAGAGAGTGTGAAACAGGAGTATTGGAAATATGTAAGATTTTGCTGTCTTCTCCTGCAATAAGATTTTTATGTGAAAATTTTAATTCTGTATCACTGTTATAAGATGGCATGCATTCCCCAATCATTAGGCCTGGTCATATATCACTGTGTTGTTTTTGTAAAAAGGCAATTTTCAGGCAACATTCTGTTTTCAATAACTTTAGGATAAACAATTTTGATCCAAACTCATGTAGCACTTTCAACAATACACACTAGATAAATGTTTTACATGTTTATTTTACATGTACTTTCAGATTTTACAGTCTCTACATGACAGATTTAAGACCACAGTGTGCCATGAAAACTTTAAGCGTATCTCGAATGATGAAAGTGTCCGTAATGAAGTGATTGGACTCCTTGAGTCACTGTGTGGTGTAGCAGAAGCAACAAGAGTCACAAATGTTTCTCTATTGTTCAATTTTCTTCACCCAGCTCTAGTTGAGTCAGTCAAACTTGTAGGTATGTTGAGAAATATTTTTAATGTACATGTTATATGTATGCTCTAACATTGACACAAGAGTGATTGAAAAGATCAATACATGAAGGAATAGGGCATTGAGAGGTCCATGTGACAATACTATAGTATGTTCATGTCTACTTCTGGTTGCATGACAAAATGTCACTTCCTATTATTGTGGATGAAGGTCAACCAAAGGTCAAATCTCATATCTTAAGTCATATTTGAACTTCTGAGACCTGTAGATGATTTTGAAAAAGAATTGGTCAATATCAAGCAAGTTGAAAAATACATTTTTTGACCTTCAATATGTTTCAAAGTAGAAATTTGAACTCTGATTCAGATGCCGAATATGACTTAAGACTAAAGATATGAGATTTGACCTTTGGTTGACCTTCATCCATAATAATAGGAAGTGACATTTTGTCATGCTAATGCCTTGTTTTAAATATTTCCATGTCAAATGTTAATTTTGCAGATATATACCACACTTATGTGCAAGTAGTCCAGTTGATCCTAGAGTTATTCTGTGAGATTGCGAAGAGACAAATATGTTACCTTGGCTTGGTATGTTACAGCTCTTCAGTTGTATAAAGCTTCTTAGTGAACATCAAACCATTACGTTTGTATATTCTTGTAATTTGTGAAACAAGTGAAATTCTGTGTAAATAAACTTTTGGGATGATACTATATTTAAATTTGAATGACCTTTTACATGCACCATATTGGCACTTAAGTTAAGACCATATACAAACATGTACATGTATGACTGCATAAGTCATTGTTTTTTACAGTTAGTGCCTTTCATATTCTTTGCAAGGCAGAGAAAGTCTGAGTATGAGAATGCTTGTATTTATAATAATTGTTCATGATATTGTAGAAAGATACAAAAAGTATGTACAACTGTTACAAACTTATGCCACAGTATGAGAGTATCAGAATGCTTGTTCTTATATACATGTATTCCTTAAACCTAATGATTTCTTTATTTTAGAAAGATACAAAGAGTATGTATGACTGTTGCTTACAATTGTTACAAACTTATGCCAAGCACAGTGCTGGAAAGTTGAACTTAAATAGTAATGCTGAAGAGGAACAATACATGGACCTGCTCATTGTCATGGAGCTTCTAACACATCTACTTTCAAAGGATTTCATCGATTTTGGGGTAACAGGTATGATTGGCTATTTTATAGACGCACAATTGGCTTTATATTATATAGGTGTTATTTAAGGATTTAAGCCCTGAACTCAGTGCAATGTTTAGGAAACAACGCCTGAAAGGAATGGTCATTACACAATGCATTTAAATTCTTTTCACACATTGCAAAATGTTTATGTACACAATCATCTAAAAGATACAAAATCACTAAAAGAACATATTTTCAATGAAACCTTTTGCAAGGGTCAAGTTGGCAAAGTATCAATTCAATATGAAAAGTCCAGTCATCAGCAAGAAAACAGTTTGTTGTTATTGGTTATATAACGGAATGCAGTTTTGTGATATAGCGTCTTCTGATTGTCTGGAATTGGATATACCTTGACTAGCTATGTGTGATTTATATTGCATAGGTATGCTTGACTGTATTACATAGGTCTGATTGATTTTGCATTTAAATTGTGCTTGGTTTTCCAGAAGAGGAAGAAGCAAGTGGTCAGAATGATGTTCTTGCAGCTGATGTGGTTCTCTATGGATTGAACATTGTAATACCTCTTATGAATGCTGAACTTCTCAAGGTTAGCCGTAAATTTTACATTTGTGGGAGGGGAGAGTGATTTCTGTGGATTGAACATCGTAATACCTCTCACATGCTAATTATAATCATTTTAGTTGTTTGAGGGAGCATTTTTATGTCATTAGGCTATGTTTCCATGAGATTGAAGCAGCAAAAAGGGGAAGATTGGAAAAATAAAACAGCCATGATCCCTACATGTTTGTGTTAGCCATTTTACGAAGTTACATTTTACATCGAAGTTATCATTTTTATGAATAAAATACTATGAATAATGAAGAAAAAATGCATCTACAGTAAAACCTGTGTATAGGTAGATGTTCACTACAGAGAAGCAATTTTATACAGAAGTCAGTGGAGTATGTGCTGAGAAGGGGTGTTCACTAGACAAAAGTGTTCAATAGAGAAAAGTGTTCACTAAGACAAGTTAAACTTTAATATCATAATACCTAACAATGAAAATGGACAAAATGAATTAAAAAGTTGTTTGTATGGTCAATGGACTTACTTTCTGTCAATCTGTGGGATGGTTTAACACTAATGAATGCTTATTGTATTATTTCTATGTTTTAGTTCCCTGCACTATGCAGTCAATACTTCAAACTGATTACATATGTTGGTGAGATATATCCGGAGAAAATGTGTAATCTTCCTGAGCAACTGCATAAAAATCTGATGGCATCCCTGGAACTCGGTTTCACCTCGTATCCTTATTAGAAATATCTTTAGTCAATTCTTTTGTTTTTACAACTAAGGCGTAAGAAGTAGATTCTTTGTTTTGCGTCCTTGCAAAATCGAAATCATGCAAGGGAACAAGGAAAACAAACTAAAAAAAAAACTTGTTTGCTGAGAAATGTATACATTTCATGGGCATAAAAAGGGATGACATACCAATTTGTAGTCATTACAAACACATATCTATACTTTATACAATACATTTAAACATATTGCTATTATTCAAGGGTAAAAAAAATAAGAAAATACACAACGTATGCCAAAGTAATAAAAAATAACACTGTCAATTTTAACACACATTAAATTATCCGCTATTTCGTCTGATTCTGATTGAACAAAATGCGATGGTACTTTCAATCCCTCGTAATTGCTATTTGGATGTGGTTGTTTTTTCTGATTTTCTCAAAACAAAGAATCTTCTTTTTGTGGCCTAAAAGATGAACAGTGAACTTTACTGCAGAATACAAGTGTTTTTTATCAATAACAATTGAGTGCCATGTCTTTGATATCCTTAGTTTAAAAAATGTTTTCTTAAAAAAATGTGAAATCTTTGTTTGCAATGTTTAGGATTGTCTTATTTAGGATTCTTGAAGAATTGATATTGAAACTTCTGTTATTCATTCCTTGACATACGGCAGGTTTGGTGAAGATATCAACAAATCATGTCTTGACCTGTTAGTGTCACTGGGGTCTCATGTAGCGCAATCTGAACCAATCGGCTCGCAAGGACACACTGCAATGACACACTTTTTAGAGGTAACATTAACAGACACATTTTATACCAACTAATGAAGTTCAGTGGGATTTAGTGAAGCCCCCCATCCATCAGTCAGAGAGATTGACATTGGTAATAATTATAATTTTACCCAAAAAAATTCAAGATGGTCAACGCTTTAAAAATGGCGGGGATTTTCAATGAGGATGGTATGAGGCTTCATGAAAATAACATTGGTATTTTGATCCTGTCTCGTATGAAATTGTTGAGATAAATTCAATTCAAGATTAAATTCTGTTTGTGTTTCAGGTTATGTTTACTCTGCTAGTGACTGATAGCTTTGATATGGATCAGTTGGACACTGCAAGCTCAACATTCCATGCCCTTATATGTTGTAACCAGGTACAGTATGTAATTGTAGACCTATCCAGAAGTAAACTGGCTAAATTGTATACCTCCTCTGTAAAGTCAGCTTACTTTTTGAATATTGTTTCATTAACATGTAATTATAAGTATATTACATACTTAATTCATAAAAAACATTTCCATTTAATATGTATGTGTCATCAATCCACCCCTCCCACTCTAGAAGAATGTTTTCGAAATCTAGCTGACAACAGCCCATTTCACTTGACACTTCTCAGTTATTTTCTTTTTTCGTTTATGATATAATTTTATTTTTCAGGCCAAATACAATGAGTTAGTCCACCATCTAATTAGCGAACAATCGGAAGAGCTTTATTCTAAAAGACTGGTTGATGCATTTAATGAACTTACTCCCCCAGGAGAAAAACTGTCCTTGGAACGCAGGGCAAAAATTAAATTCATTGAACGATTTGAAAAATTTGTGTTGAATGTGCGAGGCTTTCTGTGTGTGAGATAAAAAAGATTTTGAATCACTCATATTTAAAAACCGCTTAAAGTCTGTATATTTAAATGGAGTACATTATATCTGATGTGCAGTATATTTTCGAATGTTGACTACACACACTACCAGAAAATACAAGATGGTCAGACTGATCTGTTGACCTTTCAACTTAGCCAGTCTGTATTTTAACTTACTGGTCAAAATGAATAATATCATGGTCATCACTTCTTGAGGTTAGAAGATGATACAAAATCATGGTCATCACTTCTTAAGGTGAGAAGATGATACAAAACCGTGATCATCACTTCTTGAGGTTAGAAGATGATTCAAAATCATGGTTATCACTTCTTGAGGTTAGAAGGTGATACAAAACCATGGTCATCACTTCTTGAGGTTAGAAGATGATACAAAATCATGGTCATCACTTCTTGAGATTAGAAGATGATACAAAATCATGGTCATCACTTATTGAGGTTAGAAGATGATACAAAACCATGGTCATCACTTCTTGAGGTTAGAAGATAATACAAAACCATGGTCTTCACTTCTTGAGGCTAGAAGATAATACAAAATCATGGTCATCACTTCTTAAGGTTAGAAGATGATACATAATCATGGTCATAACTTCTTGAGGTTAGAAGATGATACAAAATCATGGTCATCACTTCTTGAGGTTAGAAGATGATACAAAAACATGGTCATCACTTCTTGAGTTTAGAAGATGATACAAAATCATGGTCATCACTTCTTGGGTTTAGAAGATGATACAAAATCATGGTCATCACTTCTTGAGGTTAGAAGATAATACAAAACCATGGTCTTCACTTCTTGAGGCTAGAAGATAATACAAAATCATGGTCATCACTTCTTAAGGTTAGAAGATGATACATAATCATGGTCATAACTTCTTGAGGTTAGAAGATGATACAAAATCATGGTCATCACTTCTTGAGGTTAAAAGATGATACAAAAACATGGTCATCACTTCTTGAGTTTAGAAGATGATACAAAATCATGGTCCTCACTTCTTGAGGTTAGTAGATGACACAAATCATGGTCATCACTTCTTGAGGTTAGAAGATGATACAGAATCATGGTCATCACTTTATGAGGTTAGTAGATGACACAAAAACATGGTCATCACTTCTTGAGGTTAGTAGATGACACAAAAACATGGTCATCACTTATTGAGGTTAGTAGATGACACAAAATCATGGTCATCACTTCTTGAGGTTAGAAGATGATACAGAATCATAGTCATCACTTTATGAGGTTAGTAGATGACACAAAAACATGGTCATCACTTCTTGAGTTAAGAAGATGATACAAAATCATGGTCATCATTTCTTGAGGTTAGAAGATAATACAAAATCATGGTCATCACTTCTTGAGGTTAGAAGATGATACAAAATCATGGTCATCACTTCTTGAGGTTAGAAGATGATACAAAAACATGGTCATCACTTCTTGAGTTTAGAAGATGATACAAAATCATGGTCATCACTTCTTGGGTTTAGAAGATGATACAAAATCATGGTCATCACTTCTTGAGGTTAGAAGATAATACAAAACCATGGTCTTCACTTCTTGAGGCTAGAAGATAATACAAAATCATGGTCATCACTTCTTAAGGTTAGAAGATGATACATAATCATGGTCATAACTTCTTGAGGTTAGAAGATGATACAAAATCATGGTCATCACTTCTTGAGGTTAAAAGATGATACAAAAACATGGTCATCACTTCTTGAGTTTAGAAGATGATACAAAATCATGGTCATCACTTCTTGAGGTTAGTAGATGACACAAATCATGGTCATCACTTCTTGAGGTTAGAAGATGATACAGAATCATGGTCATCACTTTATGAGGTTAGTAGATGACACAAAAACATGGTCATCACTTCTTGAGGTTAGTAGATGACACAAAAACATGGTCATCACTTATTGAGGTTAGTAGATGACACAAAATCATGGTCATCACTTCTTGAGGTTAGAAGATGATACAGAATCATAGTCATCACTTTATGAGGTTAGTAGATGACACAAAAACATGGTCATCACTTCTTGAGTTAAGAAGATGATACAAAATCATGGTCATCATTTCTTGAGGTTAGAAGATAATACAAAATCATGGTCATCACTTCTTGAGGTTAGAAGATGATACAAAATCATGGTCATCACTTCTTGAGGTTAGAAGATGATACAAAAACATGGTCATCACTTCTTGAGTTTAGAAGATGATACAAAATCATGGTCATCACTTCTTGAGGTTAGTAGATGACACAAAAACATGGTCATCACTTCTTGAGGTTAGTAGATGACACAAAATCATGGTCATCACTTCTTGAGGTTAGAAGATGACACAAAAACATGGTCATCACTTCTTGAGGTTAGAAGATGATACAAAATCATGGTCATCACTTCTTGAGGTTAGTAGATGACACAAAAACATGGTCATCACTTCTTGAGGTTAGTAGATGACACAAAAACATGGCCATCACTTCTTGAGGTTAGTAGATGACACAAAAACATGGCCATCACTTATTGAGGTTAGTAGATGACACAAAAACACTGGTCAAATTGATTGCCAACTATGCAACTTCTGCCAGCCCAGTGCTAAATCTACTGGTCTGTGACTGGCTGGAAAGGTTGTTAATGACTAAACTACACACATAGTGGGTATGTTACCACTAAAAAGTTGTGATATATTGATATTGTTACAATTTTTGAATGAACATTTGGTGTTTGGCATTAATCGTTGTAACAACAGTGTTACAGTTTTGTACACTTAAGCATTATCATACCAAGTGGTCAGTTTATGTCTACTAAATTCCATGCAGATCTTTTTTTCTCAATTTTGAATTTCAAAACATGAATGCTGATTTGCATTTTATGGTGAGACGAGTAAGATTGTGTTTTATTTATTTATTTTTGTAAGGGGTGATGTCAAAATAATGTTAAGTGCAAATTAATATGTGAATCTCATGAGTTTTGAAATCAAAGAAATAAATTCAGTTAAACCTGTATATATGTACACCTATCCAATCTGGACACCTCTTTAGGTTCCAATTTTATAATCTGCGATAGATACCATGTAAAAAATCTTAAATGTGAACACCTGCCAATCTGAACACTTGGTTGGTCCCAATGGTATTCTGATTTGGCAGGTTCCACTGTAGCTATATCATACTGTAAATATTCAGTTAAGTATTGCACCAGCCATATTTTGTGATTCATATCTGTAAAATTGATTGTTGCTTCCATTAAATAATATTGTGCCATGTGTCAATGATATAAATAATGCCTCAGTCACATGTGATCTACAGCAATGGCAGACGAATGGCAGTTTTATTTAACTGATGGGTACACATACAGCAGACAAGCTGTCTGAAACACATATTCATAAGTGAATGACATAATTCCTATTTAAACCATTTACAGTATCTTTGTTCATCAACCTTCACTTTAAGAATATAACACCTTCACTGTATTGGCAATGGGATGATATTTGAAATGCAATTATGAAATAAACTTGAAAATAAATACATAACTTTATAGTTGTTGATTTTTTGTATCACATTAGTCCTATCTCTGCATTATGAAGAATAATTATCCCATCGAACGGAGGGATATAGGGAATGCCCTCGTCTGTCCGGGCAAAAACTCCAATACCATTGGCCCGATTTTGTTCATATTTATCTATAACTCGAAAAGTAGTGGAGCGATTTTGTTCATATTTGGTATATGAATACTATAAAGCATGACACACTGTCTAATGACACTTTTGGTAGAAAATCATTTTGAAAAATGGCTGCCATTTTTGCTATATACTCTGTAAAAATGCCAGCTATGGCTGTTCGATGGAATTTGCTGTACGCTTTGGCGTTGCTTTTGTCAAGTTATCATGTCCATTTATCTTGCAATGACAACAAGAAAACAGCAAGAGAAGCAAACCCCATCGAACAAAACATGTTTTGATAAATAGCAGCCATTTCTTCCAGCTTTCTTTCCAGCTTCTTTGTCCCTAGGTATCTGAATCAAATCTGTCCACTTGAATTTGAGTTATCAAAGATTATATTCTTTTAAGTGAAATAGCATTTTGAAATTCAGCTGCCATCTTAAAAATTCCTTCTGCAGAGCTCCTGTGTCCTAGGCGTCATAGTAAAAAATTTGAACCAAATCTGTCCACTGGAATTTCAGTTATTAAAGATTACATTTTTACGAAAAAATTGTGGCCATTTTCGGATTTAGTTGCCATCTTGAAAATTTCATCTTGAGCAGAACTACTTTGTCCCTAATAAAATTTGAATCAAATCCATCCACTGGTATTTAAGTTATCAACGATTTTTTTTTTTTTAAATGGTGGTCATTTTGAAATTCAGTGACAATCCTGAGAATGTCTTCTTGAGCAGAGTTCTTTTGCCTCTGGGCATCAATGTATAAAATTTGAACCAAATCCATCAACTGATATTCGAGTTATCAAAGATTCCGTTCTTTTACGACGAATGGCAGCCATTTTGAGCTGCCATCTTCAGCAGAGCTCCTGGGTTCCCTGGCATCAGCTTATAAAATTTGAACAAAATACGAGTCATCAAAGATTACATTTTTACAAAAATGGTGGCCATTTTGAAATTCCGTGGCCTACTTGAACATTTTATTAATTTATTGAGCATAGCTCCTTTGTCCCTGTGCATCAGCATGTAATTTGAACCAAATCCGTCAACTCATATTTGAATTATTATCAAATAACAAAAAATGGCAGTCATTTTAAATTGAGGGTCCATATTGACAATTCCATCTCCAGCAGAGAGAGCAGAAACCATAAGCCTAGAAAAGAATCATCCTGACAGAAGAATGGTCAGACTGACGGACAGCTTTTCTATGTCCCTCACTAACTATGTTCTTTTTAAAGGTACAGAGGGGCTATTCAACGATCATAGACCAATGTCAAAACATATTCCAGTTTGTATATTTCATCAAGACTAACATATATTTCTATTTTCTCCAAAGAAACCCCCTGGATGAACATTATTTCCACTGATATTCCACTTGAAACGTGGTGGGTCTTAAAAATTTTGAACTGAATTTACACTTCTTCATTAATTCATCCAGAACACACAGAAAAATAATTATGAATATTCAAATAAAAAAGTTTTATTTACATATCTATCAAGTAGGGATTGTGGTGGGATCTACCAAGTGAACTTTTATACAAATGTAGGTAGTATCCCCCTATGAACATAAACAGGTATGTACAGCACATAAATAAGTAATACATACAATTCTTATATCCAAAAACAGATATATGAGGGTTATGTTGTTATGGGAGGTTTTGGATATGGGGTATATTCCGAGACATCTTACCATGGGTCCAAGGTAAGACCATGGGTCCGAGGTAAGATATCATATTTCCCATATTCAAAACCGAGCATCACATTACTAATTTATCCTTAGACAAGTGAGATTTTCAGCACACCCATATCCAGGTTTGTTTTCTCTAAGTGTTCTCATTCTCATTATTTTCAAGAAATCCATCAACATTTTGGTCAAAAAAATTCTACCATCTGCTGCATCCACAAGATATTCTAACAATTTGAATGTTTCTTCATTGAACATAATTGTTTTCCCAAGAATATTGGAGCAGGAGGTAAACATATATCCAGCTCCCCCAAGATATCAATTCTATATCCTGCTGTTATGTACACGAAACCTCACTTGTCATAGGATAATATAATATATTTAATTATAAATCAAACAAAATATACCTAAAAGAAAAATATATTTTGTTGTCTGGTGTCAGTGATGCTTGATTTATAATATATTGAAGATGAGTCACTATTTTCAACTTTGGCAATAATTATATCAATCAATGATATGTTTGAAATAGGCTCTGGAAAGTCCATAGCTATACACACATGTAATCCATGAATATTGTTTTAGGTCCGTTGCAGGATAACAGGAATACGGAGTAATACAATTGATCAAAGACTTGTGTTGACCATACAGTCAATTTCTCTAAGATTATAGGTTGAATGCATTTGCTGTCGATATGATATTCTTCCATCACAGCCTACCACAGAAAAGTTCTCAATTTAATTTGACAATTCTTCACAGATTGAATCATTTTTACAGTACATACTGACATAAACATAGTATTTATGATGATGATATTTAAATAATATTTAATATGATGACCATGAAACCTGATGCCAAAAAGCACTAAATACAATGTATCTTAAATAAAATGTTCACAGACACAGCAGTTATGATGTGTTTTATCTACTTCTTTTTCTTCAGTTCTTCAAATCTCTTAGTAAGATCATCAAAATCAACACTCTCATTCCCTGCGCCTTGGCTCATGCTGCTCCCTGGATCTGACCCTGGTACAGCAGGTAGATCAGGCAGTTCTGGGAAGTCTTGTGCAGCATTAGGATTCTTGGTTTGATTCTGTGGCGGGTAGCCAGGATTGTTGTAGTTCATTGACTGGGGTGGAGGATGTACCACAGCAGGGGGAGGGGGCATGCCTGGTGGAACAGCTGGCATCGTAAAGGGAGGGGCATGATTCTGGGGTGGTGGATATCCTCCTTGGGCCTGGAAAAAGAAATAATTAAATTGAAGTACAAATGTAGTTCATTTAACTCAGTAATTAAAAATACAGTAAAACCTATCCAAGGGAACAGCTTTCTGTACGGAGCACCTCTCTACAAGGAACAAGTTAAATGCTACTCAAACCATTCTGAAAAGTCTGTTCTCTAGGAGCCCATGGTTACCTTAATAGCACGGTTAGCACCCCAAAGAGGCTAGTGCTCGGTATAACTTTATTATATCCTTTAATAACATGATTAAACAATATTTCAGATTTTTGGATGAAACAAAACATGAGCCCTTTCTCTAAGGAATAGTTTCCAGTACGGAGAGCCATTCCCACATGCAGGTTCTACTGTATATTGATCTCCCCAGCATTGAAAGTCTTGGCATTACAACCATTTGCATTTTGGTAAAAGAAATGCACTCAATATGTATTTACAGACTCGTTTATATAAATATACCACTAGTTTACCAATATTTCACAAAACCACCAATTGGATATGTTATAAGTGTAGTGAAAGTTCATGGAAAACCTTTTTTACACTTAGTTAACCAGAAGATCTTTGAAATTGAATTTTGCCTTGTAAGATAATAAATTATGAGCTTTCTAGAGAAGGGTATGCAACTTCCCAGAATCTGAAAATATATGAGCATTGCCATGGGTTTTCAAAATTTGAGGAAATGGCGTCTCTGAGTTACATAACCCTTCTCTTGAAGTATCATGGATGATCATGGAACATGATAAATGTGTGTATATACCTGTGCTGGAGGGTAGTTAAATGCAGCATTAGGGACAGGGGCCTCATTCGATCCTCCTCCTCCCCCACTTCTTGCGTTATTTGTTGCATTGTCAAAATTCATAAGCTGATTTTCTGCCATGTAGATTTCATCTTCTTTCATTATGGTTGGATCAGGTTCAAATGCAGCATTATAAGTCCTAGCGATTTCTATGAGATATTTTTCAATAAGGAGTTTTGGGGGAGCTTCGACACTCATTTTTTGTATGATTCTCTGATTTACATTGCTCAACTCATTTTTCCTGCATGCGTCAGCAAATTCTTTACTATATTTTGAAGTGAGTTGTTCAGTAACAGTCTTCAGTTCAGCAACATCAGATATTAAACGAGGTGTGATCCAGATAATGGTTGCTATGGCTTCCTCAAGACCAGGATCTAGATCCCTGTAACAAGAAAAAGAGGTAACTTATATTGCATTATTATGACTAATTGTTGGATTTATCATGAACATAGACAGTATATTTTCAATTTTGTTTGACATCTACTTTTTTCAACTACCTTAGACTATCTACAACTAGATAATGGCAACTCCGCGGAGTAGCAAATCCCAACGAACAAAATATCAATTACCGAATTCCAATCAATTATACTCATTACTTTGGTTAAAATTGAAAAAATTAGATTTTAGAATTGCGAATTCCTGCTAAGCAGCCATTTTGAATTTTCTGAGGTACAAATCTGAAAAATAATACCATAATTGTGATCTACTCCAAAAATCCTTCAATTTGAGTATAATATAGCCATACTTTGAAGGGATCGAAAAATTATTGCGAAATCGTACATTAGACGGCCATTTTGAATTTTACGAGGCTCGAATCAGAAAAAAGATACAATATTTGCAATCTACTCTCAATTGCCTTTCATTTGAGTATAATAAAGCTATACTTGTGAAAGATCTAAAAAACGGCCCCTGGGGGTCAGGATGAAAAACACGGACTATATGTGAAATAGATAAATGTTGTGAATATACTACCAGAATTTCAAACAATAATATTAATTACTTTGGTTTAGAATGAAAAATTTATGATTTTTGCGAAAAAGTCCCGTCATTTTTAAAGCGGCGGCCATCTTGAAAAAAAAACTATTCACCAATATACATCTTTCCACTAAATATGAAGAAAATCCGTCTACTAGCATTTGAGTTATCTTCCGGACGGACAGACGGACGGACGGACGGACGGACTGACAGACGGACTGACGGACGGAGGGCTTCACTATATCCCTACCGAACTTCGTTCGTTGGGATAATAAATACATGTTGAACAGTGGAGCAACATAAATCTCAATAAAATGAGCTTCTCATTGATTATTCTTACTTTTTATTCTGAGATTCAGTTGGATTGTGCGTCAATCAAAAAAAGGACGATTTTGATAAAAAATACACACAGTGTCACTTTCCTACCAGTTTTTAATAAGCACTCATACAATTAACCAAATCAGCTGCACTTTGTCAAATATGTCACATACAATATAATACCACTTTCTTATATAAGAAAGTGTAAAGTTAATCATAAATTAAGAGAGGAAATGTTTTGTAAAGTAGAAGGTATATATGATCTATTTGAGTCTTGTGATAATGAAAAGAAAACAATGTACTTATTGAATTCTAAATCACTCTGTAAATATGTTTCAAATTTTTTGCTTTTGTCTTTGGAGGCTTAAGATAGATTAAAGTAAGTGTTAATTCTGACTTATCTGCTTATAATATGATTGTAATTGTGTCTCATAAGCCTTTGGAGGCTGGTCGTATAATTACGGGTGACACTGTAATAAATAAATAAATAAATAAATATATTTCTAAGTACCTTAGCACTCTTTGTGCAAATGTGAACCATTTAGACCATATACTGAAAGGCTGGACACATGGTCAGTCTTTTATACATGATATACTTTGTCTTTTATGCATTTTCCTCAAAACCTAATTTGATATTGTGTTTAGGGGCTACCTGTGGAAGACATCGTCCGATAGGAGGGGTCGGTCTTTTCGTAAACCCATTGTATGCGTGCAAGACTAGAACCTAGCTCAATAATGTAATTAACCTGCGGTTCACATTTGTGACAGTACCAGTGAGTTCCATTAGTTGATGCATTGAGTAGGGCTAGATCGTTTTCATCAAGATTTTCACAAGTGTTACAAATCCAGAGATCACAGAACTCACATCCGAGTAGGTTGGAATTGGGAACTTTGCATCTATCACATTTATGTTGAATGGAAGAAGTTGAAGGTGTATGCTTACCAGCTGTCGGTGTCACCTCGTTCGCGTTCTGGTTCTTCTCAGAGTTGGATTTTGGTGAAAGGATTTTTTTCAATTTTTCAATTTTTGACGTCTTCTCGTTTGATTTCTCGCGAGATTTAGGGCCCCTTTTCGACTTACTGTCATGTCGTTCATGGTGGGTCTTGTCCTCAGTATCGTCTACAATTATCGGTACTTGCTCAGTAGTTCTAGTTCTCATCTTCAGGTAGGATCTATTATTACCTTACTTAGAATTTGAACGGTACTGGCGTTGGAGGATTGATGTCGTAAATTTTTCTTTGCGTGATGAAGACAATGGGGTAGTCTAATTTGGGTACGGATTTCTGCAAAATGCGTCGCGCTCAGCTCGGAAGTTCCTTTGCATCAGGTAGTTGAGATATTGTTGTGGACTCTCCTTAACGGAATCACAGCTACACTGCACTAGGATACTCAGTAAAGCACATTGAATTCAGAAATTTTCAGAAAATTTTAGAAGACATTTTATCTCGCGCATGCGCATGCCATTTTTAGATGTACAGTACTTACTTCTGATTCTCAATGAGACCCATACGTGCCAGTAGAAGATCACAGTACATCTCGAGTATCTCCATTGCTTCGACAAGGTAGTCTTCTCGGACGATATGCTCAACTCTGATCCTTGCTCTATCAATTTTGTTACTTGTGATATAATTTACAATTTCCTTTCGAGCTTTTTCTCCCATTTCTGTCTTCTTTTTCTCCAAGAGTTTTAGCCTGTTGATTGACAACCTCAAATTGGTTCTCAGCTTGGAGTAATTTGGTCCAGAGCTGAACATTTTGATACAGCACTTTCGAAAGAAAATAAATTGTATTTGGTTTCTACCTTTATCAACATAAAAGTGCGGTAATATAAAGCAAATGGTCAAAATAAATAATCACAAGAAGATGAATCGTCCAAAACTCGGAAGTGATGTCAATTTTGTAATCAATGATTTGATTGGTTGAAATTGACGTCATTGTGCGCGAAATGTTTAAAATTAGAAAGGAAGTTGTCAGATGGGTGAAATAAATTTTCAAGAATGAAATAATTAATTTCTAAAGAAGAATGCCATGTAAGTATGTATTTAATTCAATCCATTCCGGTTCATATGAATTCTCTACATACGTTGTACGTAATTCCAACGGTATAATTTGTGAATTTCATTGTGAACTGTTTATATGCGTTTTTTGCAGCTCTGCAATCAGTCACTCATCAATGGTCTGAATGAATTCCATACAATGTCTAAGTTAGACTCCAATCAGAATCAGTCTTTCTTTGCCTCCATGAAACCTAAAAACTGAGCACACAAAGGACCATGGTGCAATATTTTATGGCAATGTATTGTACATTCATATTTTAGATCATCCTCCCCGGCCCGTAAGGTCAGACTGCATGTTCGCAGTTTTGATGCAATCCTCAATAGAGTCACTAGTCCAACAACATTAGACCTAGCCTGGGCCTCGTTTCTTATCTGACATGTCTTATGGCCCCTGCTAGGTCTAACCTCCATGACCATTTTGCCCTTGATGTGTTAATTTAGTCGTTCAGCAGGTTCCGACATGCGGAACTAATTAAACTCCGAAAACATGGTAATATTACATAAAGAATGTGATTCAAGCATGCATACATACCTTATAAATACATACACACCATCCCGTACCCCCCTTAGACCATATTGATGCATAATTACGAAAATATTGGAGACAGGTTTGGAATTTTACGAAAATATCGGTCAACTCCGGTAACATCGAAATTGCAAATCGTATCAGGAATTAACCGTCATTGCGACACTGCATCAACGAACAGTAGGTTTGCAATTAATAACTATTTTGTGTGTATACAAGCGCTATATAAATCAATCAAAGATACCTGCTATCCTCAAAAATAGTTATTTTATCCCGAGTAATCGCGTGATAATTATCAATCTATTTGACAACAATTTCGTTTCAATAGTTTACATTTTAACCCGGGACGAACAGACACAATGGCGGACATGCGGAAATGTCATTTTAGAGATTGGTAAGTTTAACCTCATTTTACTTGTATAAATGACCATTTAATACAATAATATTGTGTTTAATCGCTTGATGTTATGTGTTTTTATATTGTTGTCAAGTATCAGTTGCATGTTATCGCGGAAAAATGGTTTCGGTGGATCCAAAACTTGCATCAATGGAAAGAATAGTAAGGAGGTTAAACTCAATAATGGCCCCAAGAAAATTCTTAATAATAAATAACGCCGTTATTGAGTTTAACGACGTTGAACTATAGAGTCACATGTTATTTTTCAAAGATCAATCACACCTTCACCAAATTGTCTTCATCTATCAGATTTGCACAAAGAGAGCACTAACGTACATAGAAAAGAATGTGAAGAATATTTTTTTTGTAAAATGTATAAAAAACTAGAAAATTCAGTAACCTACTGTCATCCAGTTTTCACGTTTTTCTGCAATTTATGAAAAACATATTCTTTCCACTCTTTATCTAAGTGCTCTCTTTGTGTGAAACTGAAAGATGACATAATATGTGGAAGGAGTAATTGATATTTGAAAATTAACATGTGACTCTATTAAGAATTGCATCAAAATTCCGAACAACAGACTTAGTTTAAAATCCAGAATATCTTCTTCCTTTTTACACACACTGTACCTCATGCCAAGAAGGAGGTACGGATTCTGGACACCTGCTTAGGAGGATGGAAGAAATATGCATGGGTTCAGAATCTGAACAATTCCCTTAAAATAGATAGAAAATAAAAATAGAATTATTGACTTATAATTATGGCCTATTCATTTTATTTTCAGGCATTTCTAATTCAATGTGACATAGCATGGCTGAAGGAGGATGCATCTTATACACATGTGACATCTGTGGAGAAGGGGGTCTAAATGAAGATGACATGAAAAGCCATGTGTTGATTGAACACATAGAATCATCCATATACTGCCCATTCTGTGATCTCCAAGGTACAACCTTGGAGGAAATGAACTGGCATATTAATGCCGAACACTTGGAGTTTATGAGCCCTGTTAAAGAACGTCTTCCTGATATTGTTACAAGCAATCTTCCGCACCAATCTATGCAAGAAGACACAATGGGAAATGGAAGATCAAGATGTAAAAAATCAGCAGCTGCTAAGTCCATAGAGGATGACTTTATGGAAACTGAGGAAAAGGATTTGAAACCAAAGTATGACAAATACACTGGGAGTACATTTGATGAACATGAAAATGTCGTGGAATCAGATCAAGTAAGAAAACGTGCGAAACTTCACTTGGATGTGATACCAGTGAGTCCGAGAAAATCAAATGAAACCCTAGAGACGAAAAAAGTTGTAAATTGTGATGTTCATATATCTAATGAAGTAGATCCCGAGTCAGATAAAGGGACTAGTTCAAGCTCCCCACAAGATGTAGAAATGGTTAGTGATGTAGAAAATACATGTTATAGTTGCCCATTGTGTGATTGGGTAACTGCTTCTCCCGATGCAATCCAACAGCATGTAAATGATAAACACTTGGACATTATCAGTCCTGAATCAACAACAACAACGGCTAACACTACCGACAATGCTGATGTTGATAGTGAAAACAATATACTGGATACAAACTTGAACCCAAAACAAGTCACACAGCTTTATGAATGTCCATTATGTAGTGTAACAGCTGACAATTCTTTGCTTATGGAAGTTCATGTAAATAATAACCATGGCGATATATTAAGTCCTAAGTCAGAAACAACAACATCACATCAGGGGGTACTTGCCAAAGATAAAAAAGCTGCTTCTCCTGAGGTAAGTAAAGTCATCACTGTATTCAAAATATAAGGTTCTGGAATCTGTGAGTAACCTTCCCCTTAGAAGGAAGGTAACTCACAGATTCCAGAATTATGCAGGCAAAAAAATTGAAATTATGCAGCAAAAGGCACAAAATTATGAAGGAAAAATGCAAATTATGCAATCACGTTAGGGCAAAAAAATCATATTTCAATCATATCAAGTAGGCTAGATAAAAACCTTCTTGTGATAGCACCAACCTCATCTCACATGTATGTATGGCAATTTTAAACTTTTTAGAGTTTTTGTTAAGTTTAGACATTATTTACCTAATAATATGAAGATGATGGAGCAGTGAAACATGTGAGATATTTTAGAAAAGTGTAAATTACGCAAAAATTATGACTGATGAATGAATTATGCTGCGCTGCAGTTCTTGAAATTTAACTTATAATTCTTGGATCTGTGATTTATGATTAACATTTCTCCGTATTGTTTTTGAAACTGTTTGAATCAACTGTTTTGCAGTATACATCCAACTAATATTTATATTTTGAACATATCATACCTCTCCTGGATGGTACAACAGCCAAATAGGGGCAAAATATCTTTATTAAATTGATATAAAGGGATATCTTGCAGGTGTGCCCCATGTGTTCCATGGAGTTCCCAGATCTTCAGGGCCTTGCTTCTCATGTTGATGGTCACTTCTCATCTGAGCAAACACCAGGTGAGAGATTACAACATTACGCTTTAGAAAATACAGGTGTAGATTCTACAAGTATCACACCATAGCAATTTGTTAATTTGAGGCACTTTACCTTCAATAACAGAAAAATATAAATAAACATATTAATAAATGTTGAGTTTGAAAACGATACAATTCTCCAACTTTTGAATTGATAATATGATTTTTAGTAATTTTTTAAATATGAACAATAACAATATTAGCATTCACACACAATTCAAATGCAGATACAACTATTACATATCGTGTTTTGAAATTGTTAAACTGTCACTAGACGGACGTAACAACTATAATGTCACAAGCAACTGGGTCTGTCATCTATGACATACATGTACATAACTTAATAGCAATAAAATCTGTTTTTGAAAATTAACGATTGCAGTTAACGATGAGGTTGCAGACAATATGTTTGCTCAGGAGATGGAGAGGCGGGAGAGAGAAGCTGCTAAGCAACAGGAGGAAAAAGATTTTGAGAAATTAAAAGTAGGTCTCCATCCATCCTTGGTCCAAGGGTATTTCACTTCTTTCCATAATTGAGTAATGAATGAAGTCCTTTGAATGAAGGATGATCTCTATCAAGTGTTCCAGTTGATGAACTTAAGAGAGGAATAGGTTTATGTATTTGTTCTATGGTTATGTTGATTTTAGTGGAAATAATGTTGATTGAACATTCAATTACAAATGTCATTGTGTAATACATGGCAATATTGGTATTTTCAAATGTCATTTATGATTATTTGGATTCATAATGAAATGAGGTAGAGTATGTGTACATACAATTGAGTGAAAAATTTGACAAGAAAACTATCTATACATTTTATTAAATGCTGCCACTTTGAATATCATTTGTCTTGTGTGTGCATATATGATGGGTGTGCAGGCTGGATGGGTATCACATAAATCTTTGGGATGGGTGTCACATAAACCTTTGGGATGGGTGTCACATAAACCTTTGGGATGGGTGTCATATAAACCTTTGGGATGGGCATCCCATAAAATCTTAGGGAGGGGTGTCACATAAATCCCCAGAATACAAGGATTACCATTTATTCATTCAACTTGAAATTTTCACAAATGCATTAGAGCAGCCAAGTCCTAAGATCTGATTAGATTTTGGGCATGTTGGGTAAATTATGGCAGCCATTTAGCTTTTCTAAGTGTGATAAGTATCACAGTGTGTGTCTTGTATTACAGACAGAATATGGTATGGACAGTTCAGGGTCATACAAACAACAAGGAGAGAGCCATTTAGAGAAAGAAGTGGGCAGAGGCAATATTAACATAGCAGAGTACTATAACAAGAAGATTGATCTTCAACAAGCCCAATCTGCTGGTATAGATGATGGTCACTCATCCACAAAAGGTAAGCAGATGCAAGAGTACATGTCAAGTCAAAAATGGATTAGTCTAGCTACAAACCCTCGCGATCCCCTCACTACACACCTCCCTAGGTGGTAAAGTTGATAGAGGGTACAGGGAATTGGAGCAAGACTAAATATTGATTAAAACATAACCATTTAACAAAATTATTGATAGGATACATGGATTTCTGACTCACAAGGCTGTGCAAATCAAATACATGTATACTGTATGTTTACTTTGAAATTTTCAGGAATCTCATTCTTGAAGGGTTGTAGGAACCCTAGGGAGTTTTTTCTGTATACTGCATCTCAATTTACATCACATTTCCAGACAAACTATCATTAATTTGGTCCAAAGTCAGTAGAAATTGAGGAACTTAAGGGTCCTTGCAACATTAAGGATGACTCCATATTTCAAACAGAATGTATATAGTATATAGTATACATAACCTATATAATGATATTAATTTTATTTTATTTAACGTAATTTAAATCAAGCTTTGGATGTTTCAGTTCATGCCTAAAATCTTTATTTTTCATTCTATAGAATTATTTTACATCAAAATATTGTCACAATTCTTGATAAATTGCTGATTCGACACTCTGTGTTTTGAGTCTTGTCTTCTCATACTACAATATAGAAAAATATCTTGTATGAATCACACAGGCCTTTATGATATAGAATATTTTCCCATTGTTAATTTCTTTAGCTTATGTTAGATGTACATGCATACAAGTAATACATTAGCTATAATAATTAGATTCGGGTAAGAATGTTGAGTTTATATATATGTTTATATATTTAAGCACAGTCTTGATTCAAGTCTCTTGACTCCCCTCCTCTCCTTATCTTCCTCAACACTTGTGGGGAGGTGTGTAGTAGAGGGGAGGGGGTCACAAGGGCTTTAGCAAGACAAATTAAGCAACAGCATTTAGGATAAAGATTGGAATGCAAACCTACCACAAACAAAATTGAAATTCCCACATTGTTCCGCATAGGTCCTCTCCAAATTGCATTTCATACCAGCAGGGGCATTGGTCACATCCATTTTACAACTTTCTTCTAAAAATGCTATTTCCTCGGAGTTTGTATTATTGAGGTATCCATCTCCACATAGCCTTGTCAGGTCACAATCTGTATTTGCATCATCAGCTGCTTCCGCAAATGCAGCAAAGACTGGATCCCTCTGTAAACCACCATTAAACACCATCCATGGGAGATCAGGGAGAGAGCAAGGCTGACATCTATATATTAAGAATTCATCATTATATTTGATTTCATTTACAAGGTTTTAAAAAGAATTGTTAATTATGCTCAAAATAGCTTAAAACAAACAATACAACTTCATGCTTTGTCTTACTGGAATGTTTGCCCAATAATAATATTTTATTTACTATTTCGACTCATGGCTGATTATGAGTCAGTTCATATATCTAAGACATTAAAGGACAACTGAAATAGCCTTTCTCAACTTGCAGCTACAAAAATGCGGTGTTCTTAATTGTAAGCCCAATGTAGAGTTCTTGCGATAGCCATTATAGAATAAATGTTAGATAACTGCTAACGGTCATAGATAACGAAATAAACTGATCAATCAAATTGGCCCCTACGTGATTAGTAACGCCATATACAAAATATAGCTTTGGTTTATTGGTTCCTTAGTAATCACAACTTCACGGCAACCATAGGATTGTTGTGTAAACAAATAACAAAACATTTTGGCAATATGACGTCATGATCTAATGGACCAAAGCGGGCCACGTGAGGACCAGTGAGAGATCACGTGGGGGCCAATAACGTCACAACCAATTCGAATATTGCTTATTAAGCAGCTATAACGATCGTTTGAGTGAAATAATTTTCACACTACTGATGAGAAAACATGTCCAAATACATTTATCAAAAAATTATATTGATTCCTTTAGGTTAAAAATACCATTTCATATCTGCTTTAAGTGAAATGAAAGTTTGTATGAGAGTGTTTGCAATCTAGTTATTCAGCCTCGTAGTCAGCTTTTGCCAAGGGGGGTTCACTTTTTAAAAATTTCCAGCGGGGGTTAACTTTTGACAATTTTTATCCAAAAATGACCAAAATCAAGTGCCCAAAAAGGTGAAAAACTGCATGATTTTGAAGGAATTTTTGCCAGGAATGGGGACTACAGGCCTGATATTGTTTTTAAGTTTGCACCCTTGGTGACAATATAATCACAAACACTTGGACAAGGGTAAAGTTGCTGGCCTTGTTTGTTACAAAAAGTTTAAAATTCTGAAATAAGTGAATTGTAAGTGCTTTTCTGGGTCACATACTCAGGGTCTTCAGGATCAAACACTTGGTAGCTGTTTCCTATCATTGTCCCAGGGTTCTCCATTCCTTCAACATTAGTACCATCTCTCATTCTCCAGTCATTCATGGCATCACCATCAAAGTTTTGACAAAGTCCATTTACCTTTCTCATCCAGAATTTGCTTAATGTGACCCTTGCATCGGCAAAACCATCAAACTCCACCTTATACCAAAATAAAAGAAATCTTTAACATATATGAATACAGTACATATATGCCAGGCCCTACCAATTCAACATAACTCATGAAGACAAAGGATGAGTCAGGATATATGCCCTTTTGATTTTGCTTAATGTGACCCTTGCATCAGCAAAACCATCAAACTCCACCTTATAATACAATAATAATATAATGAATTAAATCTTAAAGATACAGTACTTGTATTATTTTACTCAACCAATTGAAGATGACAGGAGCTTATTAATAATGGTCTGTCAATTTATGAGATATAGGGTGGCAAATAAACTTGGTTTATTTTCGGACAGTTTGCTTATTGAGGGGCTCCCCTCCCCTTTGATAATTGACTTTTCCACATCAGCCCTTACCACAGGAGGGAACTCAAATAAACTCAGTACCTGGTTAAATCAAATATCATAAAAATTACTTTTAGTCCAATTGATGGAACTTCAACTGTGACAAATCGTGAGATCCAGCATCTTGGTGGCGGTGGAGGCATAAAATCCGCTCTCAGTGCGTCATCTGCCTGAACAGGTTCTATAACTGGCATTGAGCCAGCACATTCATTCCCACCAAAGTTGATTTTAATCAGTCCATACTTTCCAAGCTGGAATGACAGCAGGTAGATTAATTAGTTCAGGATAATTTAAGGGTGTTTTGTATGTATTTATGATTGTTGCCCTTTGTACTTTCAAGTAAGCACATAGTTCAACCATGTTAATTACTTTATGAAAATTATATCACGAGTAGCATTATAATTACTGACATCAGGTAAAAAATGGCAAATTTAATGAAAATTATAATTTTAAATGAAACATTGACTCAAAACAATAGGGGCTTTTAGTTGGCCTGTGCCTTGTGCTTATGAGATGCTCATCATGATAATTGTAATGTCTTACCATCATTTCAGAATCTCCAGTTACAGTTGCTGAAAATGGTCCAATTTTCAGTGTAACTTTTTTATCCTGCCCCAGACGAATAGTTAATCTTCTCAATTCTACTTCGACATACTTGGTCCAGGAAGCTCTTTGTATTTCATCACCAGGAAGGTACCAATTTTTAGAGAGAACCTTTAAGGAAATGATATCTGTGTATTCCAATTCTTATAAAGTTTTTAGATTGGGCCGTGGAGGAAAAAATAGATGTAGATTCAGCTTCAGCTTCTTGGACAGAACCTTTAAGGAAATAATATATTTGTATACTCAAATTCTAATAGACACATCCTTAAGGGAAAAAATATCTGCGTATTCCAATTCTTAGACAGAACCTTTAAGAAAATAATATCTGTATATTCCATTTCTTAGACAGAACCTTTAAGAAAATAATATCTACACATTACAATTCTCAGACATATTCCAATTCTTAGACAGAACCTTTAATTGTATATTCCAATTCTTATGCAGAACCTTTAAGAAATTCCACTTCTTAGACAGAACCTTTAAGTTATATCTGCTCATTGCCATATTTAGACAGAACCTTTAAAGATTAAAGCTCGCAATAACTCACTCAGACTATAAGATGATCAAAATGGCTGCCATCTCAAAAATTACAAATTTCTTGCTTTCCTGATCTATTTAACAGAAATGTATCCAGATTTTATTACCTTGAATGGAGTCCGTGTTTTGATAATAGATCCCAGTAGTAAGTACTTGCAGTCACATTGGTGGTGGTAGCCCAGGCCATCAAGTGACCAGTAGTGAACCTCACCCTGGGATCTGCATGTAGCATTACCTGGGGGTCAAATATTGTATGTAAATATGTTATCTTTGATAATTAAATATGAACTGTAAAACATATTAAATTTGCAGATATCTTTCATTTGCATGTATTGATTGGTATGAGTGTAAAATCTAGATCCAGGATGCCTCAAAATTATACTTCTGGTACAAATTGAAAAATCACAAAAATGTGAGTATGCAAAAAGAAACAATATACAAATTCTTGAAAATTGCTCTTGTGAATTCAGTTTGTTTTACAGTATCCCAATCTTGTAAATTAAATAAGGTCTTTACAACTATTTTCAATGTCAAGAGTATATGCCTTGCAATTTTGGTTCCTGAAGTTGTGCTGAAGGAGAGTATTAGACATTGTTTTTGTACAAGATCGTTGTTTTGGATATAAGATTTTCCTTGTTTCTTGTGCTCTGAGATGTTTCTTTTTCTTACTATGTTTTTTTGTAATATTAGTGCTTTATGGAATTTCCCCTTTTGGTTCTTGTGCTAAAATATTGTAAAATAATTTTTTCTAATGCATAGATAGATACTAGATAGCATTGAGAAGATGTACATTTATTTGCTTGTCTGTGATTGATATTATTTGCATGATGCGGTAAATCAGTAGATATAGCAAAAGATCATACCATAGCTGTCAATGATGAGTGTTTCGGCATTGGATGCATGGACCAGAAAGCATGCTAGGAAACTTAAAATACCTGTAAATTATAGAACAATCATATCAATCATGATTTTCAAGAATATTTTCTTCAAACATTAAAATAAAAACTTATTCAGTATGTACTTATATGAAACAATACATCCAATATATTCAAAATATTTTCATAGATTAGACCAACAATTCCCTTTTAAAGCTCAACTTTTTAAGACATGAAAAATAATATTGGATGATTAAGCAATTTTTTCAAATTGTCACATGCCTTTAAATATTTTTAAAAACAAAGCTTACCTAAGAGGGCCATCTCTGTTGCTTAAGCAAAGCCTAGTTATTTTGAATTCTGTTGACTATGTGCTTATATACTAATCTGTCAAGTTTATCCCAACCTTGTCTTTCTTGGTTTATTGTTATATATGAGATCTAATTATGATAATTATGGTAAAAACAACCAAATGGTTTGCAATTTGCTATTTAGTATATCAGACTTACAGGGTGGTCCAAAAAATTGGAACATTTGATAATTGAACTCAAAATCGTTATTATGTCACCACCAAAAGTGGTGACATATTGTTATGGTCTCCGTTTTTTGCGACGGCGGTTGGTGGTTGGCGTCCGGCGGTTGGTGGTTGGCATCCGGCGGTTGGCGTCCGGCGTCTGTAACAATTTCTTACAACTTCCTATAACTTAACAAATACTGTTTAGACTGACTTCAATTTTTTTCTAAATCATCTACATGTTCTCAGAAGTTCAAATCTGACTTTAGATTTGACATTTGACCTTGAATGACCTTCTCAAGGTCAAAAAGGTCTTTTTTCAACTTGCTTCACATTGACTAAATTTTTTTTCAAAATCATCTACATGTTCTCAGAAATTCAAATCTGACTTAAGATTTGACATTTGACCTTCAAATCTGACTTTAGATTTGACATTTGACCTTCAATGACCTTGTCAAGGTCAAAAAAGGTCAAAAAGGTCTGTTTTCAACTTGCTTCAAATTGACTAATTTTTTTTTTCAAAATCATCTACATGTTCTCAGAAATTGACATTTGACCTTCAATGACCTTCTCAAGGTCAAAAAAGGTCAAAAAGGTCTGTTTTCAACTTGCTTCAAATTGACTAAAAAAAATTTTCAAAATCATCTACGTGTTCTCAGAAATTCAAATTTGACTTAAGATTTGGCATTTGACCTTCAATGACCTTCTCAAAGTCAAAAAAGGTCAAAAAGGTCTTTTTTCAACTTGCTTCAAATTGACTAATTTTTTTTTTCAAAATCATCTACATGTTCTCAGAAATTCAAATCTGACTTTAGATTTGACATTTGACCTTCAATGACCTTCTCAAGGTCAAAAAAGGTCAAAAAGGTCTGTTTTCAACTTGCTTTAAATTGACCAATTTTTTTTTTAAAAATCATCTACGTGTTCTCAGAAATTCAAATCTGACTTAAGATTTGACTTAAGATTTGACATTTGACCTTCAATGACCTTCTCAAGGTCAAAAAAGGTCAAAAAGGTCTGTTTTCAACTTGCTTCAAATTGACTAAAAAAAATTTTCAAAATCATCTACGTGTTCTCAGAAATTCAAATCTGACTTTAGATTTGACATTTGACCTTCAATGACCTTCTCAAAGTAAAAAAAGGTCAAAAAGGTCTTTTTTCAACTTGCTTCAAATTGACTAAATTTTTTTTTCAAAATCATCTACATGTTCTCAAAAATTCAAATCTGACTTTAGATTTTACATTTGACCTTCAATGACCTTCTCAATGTCAAAAAAGGTCAAAAAGGTATTTTTTCATCTTGCTTCAAATTGACTAAATTTTTTTTCAAATCATCTAAATGTTCTCAGAAATTCAAATATGACTTTAGATTTGACATTTGACCTTCAATGACCTTGTCAAGGTCAAGAAAGGTCAAAAAGGTCTTTTTTCAACTTGCTTCAAATTGACTAATTTTTTTTTTCAAAATCATCTACATGTTCTCAGAAATTCAAATCTGACTTTAGATTTGACATTTGACCTTTAATGACCTTCTCAAGGTCAAAAAAGGTCAAAAAGGTCTGTTTTCAACTTGCTTCAAATTGACTAAAAAAAATTTTCAAAATCATCTACGTGTTCTCAGAAATTCAAATCTGACTTTAGATTTGACTTAAGATTTGACATTTGACCTTCAATGACCTTCTCAAAGTCAAAAAAGGTCAAAAAGGTCTTTTTTCAACTTGCTTCAAATTGACTAAATTCTTTTTTTCAAAATCATCTACATGTTCTCAGAAATTCAAATCTGACTTTAGATTTGACATTTGACCTTCAATGACCTTCTCAATGTCAAAAAAGGTCAAAAAGGTATTTTTTCATCTTGCTTCAAATTGACTAAAAATTTTTTCAAAATCATCTACATGTTCTCAGAAATTCAAATATGACTTTAGATTTGACATTTGACCTTCAATGACCTTGTCAAGGTCAAAAAAGGTCAAAAAGGTCTTTTTTCAACTTGCTTCAAATTGACTAATTTTTTTTTCAAAATCATCTACATGTTCTCAGAAATTCAAATCTGACTTTAGATTTGACATTTGACCTTCAATGACCTTCTCAATGTCAAAAAAGGTCAAAAAGGTATTTTTTCATCTTGCTTCAAATTGACTAAATTTTTTTTCAAAATCATCTACATATTCTCAGAAATTCAAATATGACTTTAGATTTGACATTTGACCTTCAATGACCTTGTCAAGGTCAAAAAAGGTCAAAAAGGTCTGTTTTCAACTTGCTTAAAATTGACCAAATTTTTTTTTCAAAATCATCTACATCTTTTCAGAAGTTCAAATTTGACTTTACAAGTTCTCAAAAATTCAAATCTGACTTAAGTTTGAACTCATAATATTGTGAGCAACTAGGTGGTGACATTTTGTCATGTTAATGCCTTGTTTTTTCTCTAAAATGCACCAAAATTTTACTGAGTATTGTTCAATCACTTACTTATCTGATGTAGAGTTTATAGGTGCAAACAACAAAGTTAATGCATTAAACTAGAGAATGTTTGATATGACACCCTTTCTCCTGAATTACAAGTTGAAGCCTGGGACTCAGTTTTGAAATGAAATGAACTTTGCTGTTCGTTTGATTTTATCCAAGCCATCTTGATTAAAAAATCAGCTTGAACAAACTACTTATATGTTTGCCTTGGAAGATCAAATATATGAACATATTCAACATTATTTTACCCAAATCGATGGGTATGAAGCATATTTTGATGGCTATTGTTGGATATATTACTGATTGAATATTCTCCAGAAAGAGGCCAGGGCAGTCTGTTTTGACTGGTAAATGAACCCCCTGTAAACCATAGATGTTAATATCCTATGTCAACTAAATATGATTTTATAAAATGTGTATAGCAATCAACATGTTCATAAACGTTTTGAAATAAAGAATACTTGAAGAAGTAGCTGCGAAATTGACAAGTGTATATTTAAGAAAAGGGGGTCATATCAAACATTGACTAGTTAAATGCATTAACTTTGTGGTTTGCGCCTATCAACTTGACATCAGAGAGATAAGTGACTGAACTATGCTCAGTGAAATTTTGGTGCATTTTAGAGGAAAAATAAAGGTTTTGTGTTCAATTAACAAATGTTTCAATTTTTTTTGGACCACCCTGTAGAATTAACATTTACATTAACATTTGATTTGGTATTATCTAAAAAAGCAAATTATTTGAAAATGATATTATCTGATATAGTAACATATTATAAGCAATAATTATGAGTCACTGTGATCTTTCAAGTAAAATGACATATACATTACATAATGTACTTAATCATCTCAATGTCATAGTTATACAAGGAAAGTCTGATTGATTTGAAAGAACTATTTTAAAATTAGAATAAAAGGTATATTTTAAATTTATCTATTTTTGGGGGTATTTATTTTATTCTATAGAATACTTCTTCTAAATCAACCTAATTTTTGTTGTATACGTACAAATGGTACAATATTGAGAGAACTAAGAACATTGTGTATATGTTGGATAGAAGTTCCATTTCATTCGGAAGAATTTGTAGAAAGAAAAACAATTACACTGAAAAAAACAAATATTGTTTACTAAAACGATTATATAGAAATAGACATTAAATAATCAGTTTTTAAAAGATGATTGTCATTTGACTTAAAAAGTGAGGTGTTTTTTATATTTGCTTCCAAAGTTAAAATGATTCAGTTGGATAAAATGAGGCAAGTAAAGCCACTGTGACTTAAATGTTAATTACATGAACAGAAAAGGAGCTGTGCCAGTTATCATGCACATTCAAAACATGTCTCGACACTGTTTTTCAAGTGTCATGGTTAAACTTCATTTCAGCTAGGTTCTACAATTTAGCCAACTACAAAATAAAACCAAAGATTTATGGTTGGCATCAGATATGACTCACTGGACCATGCAATTATTTCTAAAGACAGATGTTTTAAAACCATCTTGTCCTATCTATGGTTCAATGTTCATCTAACGTATATGATTTTTGTTTATTCAACTTTAAATCAAGCTTTTCATATTTCATTTCATGCGTAAAATTCTTTATTTTATTCTCTTGAATTATTTTACATCAAAATATTGTCATATTCTTAATGTAATGCTGACTCGGCACTCTGTGTTTTCAATCTTCTTCATTCTACAACATAAAAAGTATCTTGTATGAATTACAAAGAATTTATGATAAAGAATATTATCCCATAATTAATTTCTGTTAAGCTTATGTTAGATGTACATGCATACATGTAATATTGTACACTAACTATAATGGCAATACATTGTGCATAAGTCAAAATACAGGGTGGGTAAATGGTATAAAATTTGAATCAAATTAGATTTAGAGTGTTGAGTGCGTACATATTTAGACAACATCATTTAGGATTACAAACCTTCACATGTGAAATCGTCATTTCCACAAGTTTCCGCTATGGTCCTTTCGATATTGCATTTCCTCTCAGATGGGGCCAGGGTGAGATCATTTTGACAACTCTCTCGTAAAAATTTAATCGTTCCAGCGTCTGTATTTCTAACATATTCTTCTCCACATATCCTTGTTATGTCACAGTCTGTATTTGCATCTTCAGCTGCTTTTGCAAATTCAGCAAACATTGGCTCTCTTCTTAAACCACCATTAAACACCATCCATGGGAGATCAGGAAGAGAGCAAGGCTGACATCTATAAGTGTATATTAAGTATTCATCATTATACTCGGTTGAAGCCTAAGTCACATTTGCTCTATGGCGGGTGTACAGTGAACATAGCTTCACAAAATCAATATAGAAAATCTACATCGTACTGCTTATCCCTATATTTTATGCTGAACTTTTCTCTCAATTTTAGGAAGCTATAGCCACGTAAGGTTGTCATTGATCAAATATGATTGAGAGTATAATTTCACACAAGTTCACACAATACGCAACAATATAATTGAACAAACTTGGACAAGGGTAATATTGCTGGCCCTGTTAAAAATCTAAAAATCTAAATTCTAAAATAAGTTTATTTTAAGGGATATCCTTGTTCACATACTTGGGGTCCTCAGGATCAAACACTTGGTAGCTGTTTCCTATCATCGTCCCAGGGTTCTCCAATCCTGCAACATTAGTACCATCTCTCATTCTCCAGTCATTCTTGGCATCACCATCAAAGTTTTGACAGAGTCCATTTACCTTACTCATCCAGAATTTGCTTAATGTGACCCTTGCGTCAGCAAAACCATCAAACTCCACCTTATACCAAAATAAAAGAAATCTTTAACATATATGAATACAGTACATATATCCCAGGCCCTACCAATTCAACGTAACTCATGAAGACAATTTTTTCTTTTCACCTATTTTGTCTACAGTTTATTTAAACCTCATTCACATTTGCTCTTCAGCTGGCTTACAGTGGGCGTAACTTCACAAAATTGATGTAGAAAATTTACATCATACTGCTTATCTCTATATTTTATGCTGGATATTTCTCTCGATTTTGGGAAGCTGTGGTGTGTCTGGGGCATTACATGTATTTCTCAAGGATCAAACAGATGTTTGATAGACTCAGACCTTAGCGCAGAAGTGAAGTCAAAGTTAGTCTGAATATATGGTTTAATCAAAAATCACAAAAAATACTTTTAGTCCAATTGATGGAACTTCAACTGTGACAAATCGTGATGACCAGCATTTTGGTAGGGGTGGGGGCCTGAAATCAACTCTCAATGCATCCTCCCTCAGAACAGGTTTTATGATTGGCATCACGTCTGCACATTCCTTCCCACCAAAGTTGATTTTAATAAGTCCATATAGTGGAAGCTGGAAAAATAGCAGGAAGATTTAACTACTTGTAGTTTAGGATGATTTCATTAAGGTCTTTTGTGTGTACAAAAGTTACAGACAGAACTTCAGGCTTTGGCACAGAAGTGTTTTTGACTGATTGTTGTGTTTAATACTGTATGTATGATTGTTGCCATGGTTCTATCTTTCAAAGTATAACATGAATTGAAAACATTTGCTAAAAACAATAGGAGACTTTGGTAGTCTTGCTTCAAGACTGTGGACCAGTGGCTCTCTTTCTAAACATCACCAGTTGCTAGAGTAGATAGTCGATGGTCTTGCAGCAAGACTAAGATTTGGGTTGGCTGTTGCCTACTACTAAAGAAACCCTCATTATGATAATTGTAATATCTTACCCTTATTTCAAAATCACCAGTTACAGATGCTGAAAATAGTCCTGTTTTCAGTGTAACTTTTTTATCTTGCCCCAGACGAATCGTTAATTTTCTCAATACTACTTCGACATATTTGGTCCAGGAAGCTCTTTTTATTTGGTCACCAGGAAGGTACCAATTTTTAGACAAAACCTTTAAGGAAATAATATTACTTTATTCCAAATCTTAAATAGAACCTTTAAGAAGATAACTTCTGCATAATTTAATTTTTAGATAGAACCTTTAAGGAAATAATATATGCATATTCCAATTCTTACATAGAACCTTTAAGCAAATAATATCTGCATATTCCAATTCTAAGACAGAACAATTTAAGCAAATAATATCTGGATATTCCAATTCTTAGACAGAACCTTTAAGCAAATAATATCTGCATATTCCAATTCTAAGACCTTGATTGAAGAGTTTGCATGGTGGCATGATCTTAATGATATCATATTCAAAATGGCTGCCATTTCAAAAATGACATAAAGTGTTCATTAAAATCTAAGTTTTTAATTCCAAACTTAAATTATATTATTAGACTCAAGATTGAAAATCTGGAGTCTATTGTTTTTGCCTGTTTTCTTTTTATTATTCTTTTTCTTTTTCTTCTTCCTCCTAACAGATTTTCTCTCCAACTATAACATCTTACTTAATCCAACTTACTTGGTCAACTAAAGACTGTATCCGGCTTTCTGGGAAATTAGGTCAAATTTTTATCTAGGTCAAAGGTCAAGAACTAGGTCAAATCTTACATTTTCAACATTCTTCATCATATCTTCGTCAATATTCTTCGTAACTCCTTCATCTTTTTTTCATCGTGTAGCTTAGAAAAAGGCGAATCAAAGATATGACATCAGAATTTTGATTACTCTTACCGATTTTGAGATATGGCGTCCGAAAAGTAGGTCAGAACAAAAAATTCTCCAAATTCAACATACGAGTTATGAAATAAGTGTAGAATGATCTCAGAAATCCGAATCTGCAAACCAAATTTGGATCAGACTTCCGGTTCGGAAGTTATGGCGTTTTGAAAGCTCAAAAATCGCTAAATTTGGTGCCTGTGTTAAGTCAATGGGAAAAAAGACTTTTTCGAAGTGTAAAATACAAGATATAGACTGGGTACAGCTTAACATAATGAATGCTTATAAAAGAAGGGGACCTCAAAATCTACATAGCTTCAAAATTTGGACACCAAAATACCTAGGTCAAAATCTAGGTCAAATTCATTGTTTTTCCTTATTTTTACGATTCTACCCTGCGTGCAGAGTCTAGTTAAACTACACTCTGCCTAGTAAAGACCATATTACAGTTTAGTAGCCCCGCCCCCACGACGGGTACCGGTGACAGTTTGGGTAAATCACTTTGACCTACGCGCCAATCAGCGAGATTGAAAAAACATACGCCAAATGCATTCTAGTTAAATATGCGCATGTCATTGGTCAATTCCGGGGTCAACAATGACGTCAGAAGGAATGACCATATAAAGAACGTCGGTCAAATTTGGCCGACGAACATTGATTGGCGCGGTGAGTTCACAGGTTTATTTTAGTTTGAAAGAGTGAAGACGAAGCTCTCTTTTAAGAAGTGAAGTCAAACGAATGCAAAGGGTATTACGATTCTGACACTACACTTTAATAATTTACTTCAAAATTTTGTAAACAGGTAGCAAAGAGTATGCTAATAGTGTTAGCCTTTTGCCGTCAGAAAGTATTTTGACCCACTTTTGAGATATGGTGTCCGAAAAGTAGGTCAAAATAAAAAGTTCTCCAAATTTAACATATGAGCTATGAATTAAGGGTAGAATTTTCTCAGGAATCAGAATCTTTAAACCAAATTTCGATCCAACTTCTGATTAGATAGTTATAGCGGTTTGAAGTCTCAAAAGTCGATATGATGATATCCCCATGTTAAGCCAATGTAGTCGAAGATAACATTCTTAAGAGTTGTCTAAATGTCTATATCCTAGCTGACTCAGCTTTTTCTGAATGACTCAGCTAACAAGTATTTGGATGACTCAGCTTAAAAAAAGTTTGAAATCTGGAGTCTTAAATTGAACTTGTTCAATTTACATGTCTAGTTATTCATATGATTAATATATTAAAAAAATGTATAAAAAAATATGATAATATTACTATCTGAAATTTTGGTAGAATAAAAGCTATCTCAAACTGTTTTTCAGACATCAATATTTCAAAAAATGTATCCATATTTTATTACCTTGAATGGGGTCCGAGTTCTGACAGTAGATCCCAGTAGTAAGTACTTGCAGTCACATTGGTGGTGGTAGCCCAGGCCATCAAGTGACCAATAATGGACCTCACCCTGGGATCTGCATGTAGCACTACCTGGGGGTCAAATATTGTATGTAACTATGTTATCTTGGATAATTTGAGATCTATACTGAATGTTCAATATTGTAATAGCCTTTACAACCTTTTTCAATGTCAAGAATATGATCTTGTAGTTTTGGAATGTGATTGTGGTTCCTGAAGTGGTAGTAGAGGGGAGCATTAGACATTGTTTTTTCTATAAGATCGTAGTTGAGCATAAAGAGGTTTTCCTTATTACTGGCTAGTTTGTAATATTAGTATGGGATTTCCCATCATGGCACTTACGGTAAAATATTTACATAATTTTTTTTTATGGAACGGAGAGCATTAAAAGATTTACATTTACTCATGTGTCTGTGATAGATATCACTTGATGTGACTAGATGAATAGATAAAGCAAAACACATACCATAATTGGCTATGCTGATTCGTTTAGCCTGGGATGCATGGACCAGAAAACATGCTAGAAAACTTAAAATACCTATAAATGATAGAACAATCACAGTATCATATTAGTTTATCATCAAATAGATTGAGAATATACTTGTATTTTCAAGAATATTTTCTCAAATATGTTTTCAGTGAAAATAAAAAAAAACTTGTTCAGTTTGTAATAAAGAGCTGTTTCCCAATGTTTTTTCATGTACAATTTGGATGTACATTTCAATTTTAGATATTTTTCTTATCTTATTTTAAACCAAGATTTCTTTATTTTAATCCATGAAAAATAATATTTGAATGATTAAAAAATGTTTTTTAAAACTACTGCAAACTTACCTATTGGAGACATCCCTGTTGTTCAAATGAAACCTTGTTTCTTAGAATTTTGCTAAATACTGTCTGTTTTTATATTAATATAGGGATTATTAAATTAATATGCCAAGGATATCCTAACCTTGACTTTTCTTGGTTTATTGATATGGAAGGTCTATTTATGATAATAATGATAAATCAGATCTTAAACTAATGGTTTTGCAATTTGTCAACTAGTACATCATACTTAAAACTAACATTGACATTTACATAAACATTTAATCCAATGATAGTAATTAAATAAACAATTAAATAAATAACAGATATTCCATTTTATTGATGTGAACAGCCATTACCTTTTCCTTACTAACCAGTAAAGATAATATAAATTTTATTTGATGACCATGTAATAAACAATATTTACATTATATCCAATCTATGTGATCTTTTCAATCCTAAATATCTCAAATCATAGGAGAGGTTTCGCACAATGTAAATGTTTGGTTACACATTCACTAGATTTATTGCATCATAGAAAGTTCAATTATCATGATTAAAATGAGATGCAAATACATCTTAGCTATAACCCAATGTGCGAAATGTATCTATTATCTCAATATTTAGACTTTAAAGTTATAAAGTTTAACTCAACTGCATTGATTAGCACTTACCAAGAAATAAATGAAGCTGTGTCATTGTAGTAACACGCTAGACTTTTGATCCACATACAGTTTGTAGGAGTTCAAATCTCCATAATTTTCAACCACCTTTTATACTGAATTTATACGGATTTTGCACACAGGCATGATTTAGCTGTTTTTCTTGCTATTGTTAAAGTTTAATTGGAATTTAGAAATTGACTTGCGTATACATGATGTTTATAGATTAGTTTTGCAAACTCATTCCATTTATTAAGAAATTTATAGTCCTTGACCATTAATTGAATATTTTAAGATATTAATTTATATTGTACATGTACTTACAAATTGAAGTCATTTTATGTGTCTTGTATCACGTACATGTAGTAGCATGATATGGTGGAAATCATGTCTTCTTTTTATAGCTTATCGCAATCAGGTATCTGATAAACCAACCATGTACTGTATTGAAGCTTTATACCCAGAGTGATATTCATTAAATTGCTTTAACTTTGTCAACTTACGCAAAGAATGTGTTAAAATTTCATCCCATATGAGATATATTATTACGAAAAAAAGAAAACAACAGACTATCATTGTGAATAAATCATTATCCCACCGAACGAAGTTCGAGGGGGATATAGAAAAGCCGTCCGTCCGTTCGTCCGTCCGTTCGTCCGTTCGTCCGTTCGTCCGTCCGTCCGTTCGTCCGTTCGTTCGTTCGTGTGTCCGGGCAATAACTCAAATACCGGTTGACGGATTTCATTTAAATTTTATAGGCTTATGCCTTATGGGTGTAGGACCTCTGCTCGAGAAGGAATTTTCAATATGGCCTCTAAATTCAAAATGGCGGCCATTTTTCGGAAAAAATATAATCTTTGATTTCTCAAATACTAGTAAATGGATTTGGTTCAAATTTTATATGCTGTTCCCCAGGTACAAAGGAGCCTTGCTGGAGAAGACATTTTCAAGATGGCCACCATATTTCAAAATGGTGGCCATTTTTTGTAAAAAATCGTTATCTTTGATAACTCAAGTACCATAGAATGGATTTGGATCAAATTTTATATGCTGTTGCCTGGGTACAAAGGAGCCTTGCCGAAGAAGACATTTTTCAAGATGGCCTCCATATTTCAAAATGGCGGCCATTTTTTGTAAAAAAACGTTATCTTTGATAACTCAAGTACCATAGAATGGATTTGGATCAAATTTTATATGCTGTTGCCTGGGTACAAAGGAGCCTTGCTCAAGAAGACATTTTCAAGATGGCCACCATATTTCAAAATCTTTGATAGCTCAAATACCATTGAATGAATTTGGTTCAAATTTTACATGCTGATGCCTAGGGACATTGTTCGAGAAGGGATTTTCAAGATGGCAGCTAAATTTCAAAATGGCCACCATTTTTCATAAAATAATGTAACCTTTGATAAAAGTACCAGTTGACGGATTTGGATTAAATGTATCTGCTGATGCCTTTGGACATAGGAGCTCTGCTAAAGGAGAAATCTAAAGATGACAGCTGAATTTCAAAATGGCAACCATGTTTCATAAAAACACAATCTTTGATAATTCAAATACCAGTGGATGGATTTGGCTCAAATTTTATATGGCCGCTATTTACCAAAACATGTTTTGTTCGGTGGGATTTGCTACTCCGTGGAGTTGCTGTTTTTCTAGTTAGGATTAATGTATAGTTATGTATGTTCATTAATTAAATTGCCATTGCAAATAACTATGATATAGTTGGTGTTTGGCATCTGTATTAAATGGCAGGTGGTGTCATTTTGCATCTTAATACCATGCTATTTTGACATGGATGTTTACATGTTATGGTAGAATTTGATTTCAAAATCAAAATATTTTGTTTAAATGGAATCAAATTTACATTTAATATTTTGTTTAAATGGAATCAAATTTACATTTAATATTTCGTTTAAATGGAATCAAATTTACATTTAAATCAAACTGACATTTCCCATGCGTAATATATCCTTAAAAGTTGAAATGATTCAGATGTGATAAAAGGAGGCAAGCAAAGCAGCTTTGACTCAAATGTTAATTGAACAGAAAAGGAGCTGTGCCATTTACCACACACATTCAAACATGTTTGGATACTGTTTTTCAGGTGTCATGGTTAAACTGAGACAATTCTATGCTTTAACTAACTACAGTATAAAAGATGTGTGGTTGGCATCAGATGTGACTCACTATGCATCCTCCTATGCAGATAAAGGTTGGGGTTGTGGCTATAGAAACTTACAGATGTTACTTAGTAGCCTAGCAACTAGTCCTACGTATGAGGAAGTCTTGTTCAATGGTAAGTGATTTAGTATTGTATTAAGCCCATGTGTTACCCCTCCCACAGGGGTAAAGAGTGAAATACATTGATGGTGAGACAAGATGCAAAACTTAATTCCACTGATGATGTCAGCCTGTAAATGAAAATAATTTGACTACCAGTATTATTTCCACATCACACATAAAAGATCCCATACGAAAATGCCTTATTTGTTTAACTTGAAAAACTTGAAAATTTCATTGCTTTTTAAAGTGCGATATTTATCGCTGTGTGTCTTGTTTACTGTTATCATGATATAAATTCAAGGAAGACCCCTTATACCATCTATTTAGTGTTATGCTAATCTGTGTTCCAGGAAGACCCCTTATACCATCTATTCCAAAGATCCAAAGACTCATAGAAGCTGCTTGGATAAAAGGCTTTGATGTTCAAGGAGCAGGTCAACTAGGCAATCAGCTCGTTAACACAAAGAAGTGGATCGGTGCTACGGAAATTGTTGCAACATTATCTTCATTGAAAATAAAGTAAGTCAATGATTTGGATTAATGGTGGAACATCGATTTGAAAAAATTTCAAGTTCATCTTAGGTAATCATCATCAATCGTAGAAATTTATCAGGCCCATAGTCAAGGGGGGTCAGATTTTGAAAAATTCCAGGGGGGTTCACTTTTGACAATTTTGGTCCAAAAATGGCCAAAATCACTTAAAAAGTGTTCAGAATGATGAAAAACTGCATGATTTTGAAAAAAAATTGGCCAGGGGGGAGTGATGAGCGAACCCATCGAACCCCCCCCCCCCCCTGGCTACTGGCCTGTTTATTACTCAGAGATAGCAATGGTTATCTATCTTATGTAAATGTGAAATGTGGTGTTGAATTTCGCCAATATGGTGGCGATGTTTCAGCAAAAGCTGTGAAGACACTTCTCGGTGACTCCAAAGCCTCAAACTTTTATATCACCACCTGTGGTTGGCAGTTTACATTCGACATTTGATGGTTGACGTCTGTAACAAATGGCAGGTGGTGATATTTTGTATGTCAATGTCTTGTTTCCATATGCCAGGTGTTAGCTTTACCTGCTGGTCCTGGTGGGCCACACTATATCTATTTGGTGAAGCATCACATCTGAGCTCACCAACTCTAGTTCATCCTATTTTTGCAGGTGCCAATTGCTGGATTTCCATGCTCCCTCTGGTCCCAATGGTTCTCATCCACGTCTGTTCCAGTGGGTTAGGGACTACTTTGCAGCACACACTGACTTCAAACCACCATTGTTTTTCCAGCATCAAGGTATTTGTTAAAGGCACCATAGTCTTAAAGGCACCATAGTCTTGCATTATGCCTCTTGTCCCCCCCCCCTAAGAGGTATATATGTTAGTTGGGGGGAGTACACAAGTTCCATGTTCCTTCAATACCAGTCAGTTTATCATCACTTAAACTGACCTGCCAGTTATGACCCCAATGTCCAAATTCATTCAGATTGAGAAAAGATCTACTTCATTCAAAAATAGTAAAGTTGTAACAATTTTTCAGAAAGTTACATCTCGTCTCTAGACTTTGTTGCACCTTTAACTGGACTAATGTGGCTAAATCTTTGTGAAAAGATGCATTGTTGCATTCATGGTATATCCAAGTGCTGTATACTTTAACAATGAAATGTCCACTGTCTTTCACAATTATGTGATTGTATTGATTGAACCTGTTTGATTATGAAATGTGTTTTTTGATACTGCTAAACAATGCATTGAACTTCCTGAATAAGAAAACTAAATGAAAAATATTTTACTTCAAGGCCACAGTAGAACCATAGTTGGCATTGAAGAAGTTCGAGACAACTCACTACGAATGTTGATATTCGATCCTAGTCAGGCTAAGAAGCAGATGCAACAGTTCCATGAGAACATTAACGGCAATGTGTTGCGGACAATACGGCGTACTGTACATGGGATGAAGGCCAAGCAGTATCAGATTGTGGCAGTAGTTGGGGTACTCTCTGATGAAGAATATGAGGTAGGATTTATAACGCTGAAAATTTGTACCGGATTACCTTTCTAATGTAAAGACTTCTCAATTTGAACATATTTTTGTCCAATTTGTTGTAATAACTCTTAATCAAATCAGTTTTGAATATTCTGTTTTTACATTTGTTTTGAACACTTTTTTTACATGTGTTTTGAACACTTTATTTCTACATGTGATTTGAACAATTTTGTTTTTCCAGGCTAGCAAGGTACTTAAATCAGACAGGATTGCCTAGGAAGAAGGTCAGTGAAGTCAAACTAGGACTGGGACATGCAGCCTTACTAGTCTATGAACCTGTGTGCAATATGTAAAATAGACCTGTGTGTTAAAGAGACCTGTGTGTTCAAGTGACCTTTGTGGATATGGACCTGTGTCTCAATAGACCTGTGTGTTAAATAGACCTGCAGTTCATTCAGTGAAGCGAGCAAAATTTTATGTGGATAAGTTCATTTTTGGAGTTGAAAACATTGGAAAAAATTGCTTATGAGATGCAAAAACTGTTTGTACTTTACCATCTTTTGCTTGGTTTTTCTCCATATTGAACAGGAAATAAGATTCAAGTATTTCCCACCAGAAGGGATTAAGGGGATTTTTTGTTTAGTAGAACTTGCACAATTAATAGATATTATACAACCCTTTCCTTTTTGAAAATATTACAAATATCAGAAAAACTTGCTTCTTTAGTGAGTTAACGGGTACATGCACTTCGCTGACTAGGCAAGGAATTTCTTCAAACTAGTTTGACAGAAAAACAAGTTTGTATCAGAGGGTTTGAGTCTTGAGTACATATGGGATCAGAATTAGAGAAACTGAGCTCTTAAATTTGAATGCAGTAAAACCTGTATACATGGAACACACTCTAAACTGGCCAAAATAATTCTTCATAGACCGATGTTCCTTACAGAGAGGGTTCATTAACATACCTGCTTTTTATGATGATGATGATGATGAGAGGTGTTCCTTATAGAGAAGTGTTCCATCTGACAGGTTTTACTTAGAGAGTATTGAGAGTAAAATTTTATGAAAACGGCACATAATGTCATGTTCTTGTCATCGTTATTAAAGAAAATGGGCTATATCAGTGTAATCGGGCAATATCGGTGGATATATTTGATATAGCCCAATTACTTTCCCATTGACTTCCATATAAATGATTCCCAAGGTATGTAATACTGCAATATATTGCACTGTAATTCTGGCTGTGTTAATGAACAATGGGCCAGATGTATGTTTTAAGGTATATTGTATAAAAACTCATAGAGGAGAATCTCATAAAAGTCTATTTAAGGCAGGAGTAGAATGTTTACTCCGCCTCTATAAGGCCTACATCTTTACATTACAGGGGGTGATGCACAAAGCGCAAACATAAGGCAACTGCAATTCTATAAGGGCTTGTACAAAGCAAGTGATTTCTAGAAATTGTACTTTGTAATTTACATGTTTTTGACTTACATTATTTTGTGGGTGTCCTAATATATTATCTCCATTTCATGTATTAGAATTTGCAAATAACTTTTTAATTGGACAGAACTGTATTCAAGCAAAACTGTATGCATAACAGTCCTATTGTAAACATATTTTTATTCCATATGTGTGACTACATAAACTGTACTATACATAATGCATGTACATATACACGCTACAATGCATTCTGAGAATATCAGGAACACAGTTTAACCAAAGATTTACTTGTCTTTCTCTATACACATAGGTGTTGTATCAGAATATATGTACAGTATATCTAGCTCAGAGGTGAAGTATTTAATGTTTTACATATTACACATCTGTGAAGATGTTGTTTGTGTACAGCTGTAGTTACAGGGTGACCACATAAGTTAAGAAATAGGTTCAGTTGTAACAGCAATATTTATCATATTTATAATAGTTGTCCGGCTTATTCCTAAACCAATCGATTAGAATTATATGTTTATCTGCAAAATTGTTACTGTGGTTGCTATGGTAAAATAAGACAGTGTAGGGGTACCATAAAGTCAGTGCACATTTTTAATTGATGAGTATTCAAGCATTAATATTTAAAAAATGTGAGTGCAAATACAATTATTTTCCTCTTTAAAATATTTAAGGGACACTGATCAATAGTGATGAAATGCCTACTATGAATCTATGTTCCAAGTATGCATGAAAATTAAAGAGTGCCATATTTACCCTTAAAAGCTAGTCTGGCTTCAAGACTCTGGACACCTCTCTTATCTACTTCAACAATAGTTGTAATAGGGGGGGGGTGTTCACAAGGGCTTGTATCTAGACTTGTAGCCATTTTTAAACTTAGGATTGAAAGTGTCATATGCATCTTCATTTCGATAAACTGGGAGGAAACTTTCAACTTAGAGAATAGTGGCAGTATTCCTTTTATGAACCAGGGAAGTCAAAATGAAAATCACATAGATCATTGGAAAATAGGCATTGAAATCGAATTCAACTCTTTTGTAGTTTATTGGCAAGATTATTAAAGTTAAGGAGGAGTTCATGATGGTTACAAAATGTGACATTCTTGTACAGTAAAACCTGTGGCAATTCTTCACATTTTAAGGTTTTACAAACATGTAAGGCAATGGGAGATAACAATTTTGGGACCCAAAAATTTTTTTTTGAGAGGTGTTTGGATATACTGGTTTTACTGTACTTTAAATTAATGAAAATGTGGATTGCATGAAGTATATCTGCTTCGATGTGTTTTGCTCACAAAGTTAAGCTTCCAATTAAGTCTAGTTTTCATAAAAACAGAAAACAGGTAACTTCTGATTGGTCCATAGAGAGCTCCTTTTTATAAGTGTACTTCTACTTAATTTGGCGGATTTACTGTTTTGAACATTTGGCGGCTACTTAATTTGGCATGCTTGAAATATTACAATGCACTAGTGGGGCTAATTTACATGGTACTAAAATTACCATGGAATTTGGCAGGTACTTAATTTGGGGGACTTTAGAGATTTGCCAAATTAAAACAGCCGCTAAATCAAATAGAAGTACAATATACCAATCAGATCCAAGGAAGATAAGCGGCCATTATTCAAAAATTATCTGCCATTGTCTGGCATGAACCATTTAGTAACAATAATGAATATTTCTATAAAGTTCCCTTTTAGACTATTGGGACCAATGTTGTCTTTATAATAGTCTGTGACTATGAGTATCATGGTAATATTTAAACCTGTTTGGTTGTGCTAGTCTTCAAGATATGGGAAATATTGTTACCAAATTGGTCCATGTCAGGTAACGGAATATCAAGTCTGAATAATGTCTGCTAATCCTCCTTGAATCAGACACAAAAGTTTACGAGTTATAAGTAAGTTTTTTATGTTTGTATGGTGAATACCCTTGTTTTGCTCAAGCTCTGATGTTCCCTTGTACCATTCCATTATTCCAACATGGGATGTTTTATTTGTTCTTTGTTTATAGATATCTATGTTATGAATATTTCAATTTTACAATAAATATAAGTTTAAAAAAACTGAATGTTGTGTAAATCAATTTAAATCTGACACAAAATTAGAACATGAATAGCAGGGGTATTTAAAGGGTCTTTTTTGCAGTGCCCCTTTTTACAGGAACAGCTTTTGTCTGAATTGTACAAAATTTTCACTTTTTTAAATCCTTATTTTAGAATAATAACCATAAACAAATAATTTACACAGAACAAATAGTTATTGAACTGATGTTTGAATTTTGACTGACTGAATTTTTGGGGTAAAATCCAGACACCGTCTATTTTTACCACGGATAAAAGAACCGTGTTAAATTGACTTTCAGAATAATCATTTTGCATTCAGTTGTAAATTATGTGTAGAGCCAACAAAACATTCTAATAAAAAGCAAGCCCAATGTCCTGTTAAAGGACCCCTATACTTATTATAGAAAATGGATTCTAACATTACTTTCCCAAATCAAACTTGTTCCATACAAAGCATAACAAAATTGCCTTTCTGTTGGTACATTATACTATTTTATAACATACCTATGATGATGTATAGTGCAAAGTGTTCACAAGACAGCGGGCCAATATAAGTTTTGAAAAGCCCGCGCCCGCTAACTTTCTGATTGGTCAAGGGGCTGACGTCATAACCAATCAATCGAAGATAAAACTGCACGAGCAAATTTTCTAATCTCATTTCAATCATTTTCAAACCATTTGTCTGTCAATTCTATAAGAAAACGGTTCTCTCTGACCAGTCTACATCATCATAGGTATGTTATAAATCGTTTATGTCACTATCGTGGCACATATGCCCTCGGTTCTCAGAGATCAATGTCCCTCCCAAGGTCGGGCCATATATCACTGAGACCTCGGGCATATATGCCACGATAGTGACATAACCGCTAAGTACAGCCCCCCCCCCCCAGCGGAGTTTGGATCCCCAGCTGTGAGAGGCGCTTATAACAGCTGGGGACCCAAACATAGTTAAAAGGGACTCTTATAACTGAATGATGTACAAACAGAAAGGCATTTTTGTTTCGCTTTGTATGGAACAAGTCTGATTTCAGTAGGAGACTCAGTCCTTGATTTTCACATATTTGGTTGGTCTAAAATTCAAATTGAATTCTCTTAAAATTAACTTGAATGGCAAGCACAATCCTGATCTAGCATAAGCATTGTTTCAAGATGGATAATATTCATAATGTACAATATATTCATAAACCTAAATCTCTTTTGTAAGTAATGGGTGGCCCTGAAAAGGGCCTTTGGGTTTGTGGTGGTTGAAGGCTTCACTGCTTATTTCTTGGCTGGTTTCTTTGCTGCTGCCTTCTTCTTGGGAGATTTCTTTGCAGCTGGCTTTTTTGGTTTGGCAGCTTTCTTGGTTGGAGTTTTCTTCACTGCCTTCTTTGCTGCTGGTTTCTTGGCGGCCTTCTTGGGTGTTTTAGGTTTCTTTGCTGCCTTCTTTGGGGTCTTTACTTTCTTCTCTTTCTTGGCCACTGGTTTCTTTGCCTTGGGTTTCTTGGCAGCTGGTTTCTTCTTCACTACCTTGACCTTCTTTGGCTTCTCAACCTTGCCAATTTTGAAGGAGCCAGATGCACCAGTTCCTTTCGATTGCTTGAGAGCACCATTCTTCACACCAGCGCGAAGAGCCATCTTCAGGTGAGAGTTAACAGATGCATCGCCACCAAGGTCCTTGAAGTTAGCCTGGATGTACTTCAGGATAGCAACTCGGCTGGATCCTGTACGATCTTTCAGAGCACTGATCGCTTGCTTGACCATCTCGCTGTATTTGGGGTGATTGGATACCTTCTTTGGCTTGGCTGCCTTCTTTGCTTTTGGTGCTGCTACGTCTGCCATTGTTGATTGATGCAGTAAGGTGCTGTAGAATTTCTACGAAGTCCTTTTAGTATAGTAGGAACAAGGGGTTCCCATGCACCCATAAGGTGTGAATAAGTTACATACATTTTTGTAATCCCTAGGGTGTCTATTTAATGAATTCATTTGTTAACATTGCCAACTAATGTCCCATAGTACTTTTATGGCGGCATTCAGTTACCATGGTTACGCATCTTTAGAATCTTACCTTGGTATCTTAAATCATTTGTAGCTCTGTCATTATTTGGTCTATAGAAATGATATTGGTACCAAATTGAACCTCGTTAAATTTTCAATAAATTTCTGATATTCAATTATGCAAATTATCTAATTTGCATAAATTATGACGTCATCAATCTATTTTTGGTTCAGAATTTCCAACTATAGCAACATATCTATTAGAACTGAGGCTGTATGGCAAAATTTCTGAAAGGTTTTGTCCTTTATTCTATAAGTAGAAGGTATAAGCAACATAAAAGTGAAAACAGATTCAAAATTGAATCAGTATTACGAAAGTTATGTAACTTTCGAGGCAGCTATCGTGAATGTCATTATTTGACAATAATATACATACATCTTACCTTGGAGTCTTGAATCAATGTAGCTTCGCCATTATTTGGTCTATAGAGA